AACATTGAAATATATCAAGGGTTGAAATATATTATTATTATTATTATTATTATTATTATTATTTACATGTGAACGTGTCATAATGGGTCGATTTGGGCATCTGAGAGTCAAAAAAAATGATCAGAGACTGATTGTCTAGAGGGCTGTCGCTATATAATTATGTGGCAGGAAGAAGGGATTTTATAATTCCCAAGTTGGGTTCCACCGAATACCAGAGTTGACTCAGCCCGTCCTTTTCCGATTGACTTTGACTCCTAAATTTCGGGGGGAAAAGGGACTAGACTGAAACAGGCTCTAAGCTCGTCGCACCCATTCACATCCTAATTCTTTCATCTCCTACCAGAGTGATCCTCTTCAAAACAGCTGACCCCTTCAGTTGTTGATCTCTCTCTCTCTCTCTCTCTCTCTCTCTCTCTCTCTCTCTCTCTCTCATGGCGAAACCCAACATCAGGACCCAAGTAAGAGACTTGCTCAGATTTCACTACGTAGACCTCCTCATGTCCATCTTCAGTAATACATGCCATCCGATGACAAACTGCTTCCACCCAGATGAACCCTACCCATCTTATAACGTTTGGATCTTTGCACCTGTTTGTGTGCTACCTTCACCTGTTGCCTCCATTTCCATTTTAAGCTTGGGATGACGACGACCCACATCACCACCAACGAGGGGAGCTCATTCCTTTGGAACAAATAAATTTTTCTTCATTCTATTCAATTGAGGATACAATGAGCAGAGTTGACCCAGTGGAAGGTGGAAGAAGAAAAAAAAAAAAAACTACCAACACCCTCCCTCCTATCGATTTCTTCACAAAAAGAATCTTGGGGGGACCCTTTGACTTCTTACAATTGTGTCAGTGAGGAAGAACCCAAACTCCTCGGGCCCGTCTAATTCCGGGGCCGGGAGGAAACCTTCCATTTTTGGGGTCTTCCTATTTTGCAGTGGCGGCGAACTCCCTCTCTAGGAATCTGAGCATCTCCTTGATGTGGACTGAGAGGGTGGAGAAGACGTTGCCAGATATCCGCTTCTGATGCTTGGTGCTCTTCAGCCATGAGATGCCCATGAAGACCTGGACATTGCAGGCGTTCGGTTTTGAAGGAGCAGCATCAATAATGTACCTCAGATGAAGCTGCACAAGACCAAATTTTTCTCATTAAATTGTTTGCACAGAAACAGAAAAACATCTGGGATTTCCTCATTAGGAAAACAGGCAGAAGCTCATCCATAAGGTCAACGGGAGTACCCACAATTTGTTTCCATAAAAGCATATGGATGATCATTCATCACATCCAGGATTTCATCATGGTCAGACATCAAGAAGCCCAGAGGATCCCATCAGTACGATGCCTACCTTCAAATCTCCAAAAAAATAAATAAATCTGGGATTTCCTAATCAGGAAAACAGCTAGAAGCTCATCCATAAGGTCAACGGGAGTACCCAGAATTTGTTTCCATAAAATCATATGGATGATCATTCATCACATCCAGAATTTCATCATGGTCAGACATCAAGAAGCCCAGATGATCCCATCAGTGTGATGCCTACCTTCAAATCTCCAGAACCTCCTTCACTGTTCTAGTGGGTGGGTTGGTCCGATTGTATCTTATCATAGTAGCAATAATAATGATGAATATGTGATAATTGCCATGGATTCATGAAAAGGAAGGTGCACACGTACATTGAAGTAGTCGCCGAGGGAGACCCCGCGGATCTTCATGGACTCTTCGACAAGCCACCCATTCTTGTCGGGGAGGGGAGATCTCTGCTGAATGCTTGTGATCGCCCCTCCATAATGGGATATTTGCTTGTCGAACTTGAAGCTGATTTCCCTCATAGACACATCGGCCTCAGCTGGCTCCCTTGACCAGGGAGATGCTGAATAGTCCACGCAGCCCACTTTTGCCATGATCTTGCTCTCCAGAGCCCCTCCGTTGAATTGCTCCATCATGAAGCTCATCTGAGAAGGACACCAAGAAATTAAGATGGTTTCCAGAGGGCCGAGCAGGATATCTCAAGTGGAGGAGAAGGGCCTCACCGGAATAGGGTGAGAGGAGGAGAACACCTCTTGCATTTGGGCATCTCCTGCGCCTACAGAAGGACCAGACCCTTCGATTTGATGGCTTTTTGATTCGGATTCCGGCTCCAAAGCTTGAAACTTCTGCTCAGGGTTCAGTAATGATTTAGCCTTCCACAGCGCCATGATTGTCCTGTTGGTCATTCAAGATATCAATTAGTAGATATTGTCGCTTGAAGCTTGAACTTCTAGAGGTAGTTCTCAAGACAGACAGAAAAAAAAAAAAGGAACTGTCGCACTGTTTTTTTAACGATCCACTGGACATATGGGGGGAGAAAATAGCTAGTGGCCTACGACGTAATTGACCTTGAAGTTATTGCTGTCGAACATGAGGCATCTAAATGGAATGAGAGAGATGAGACGAAGATATGCCTTGGAGAGAGAGAGTAAACATAGATTGAATCCATAAACATGAAGGATGCCTTCCACCATTCAAAGGAGATCTTGAAAGCCGTTGACTTTATACCTGTTGGCCACATGAAATGACACGAAAGATTGGAAAAGAAACTTCAGTCTTCCTTCATTATCTTGGATTTTCGCCCCGTGCCTTGCATCCACGCCCCTTCCTCGACGGAGAATAATCATCAAAGATGGGCTGCCCACTGATGAGATGGACGGAGGAATAACTTGGATATCTTCAACATCCTCCCAAAGAAAATAGAACTTGGTTTTATGGCCAAAAAGATTTGCATGAAACCCGATTATCCTTCGTGACAGAAAGAGGCGACCCTGCAAATAAAAGTATGAATCAATCCAATCCAACAAAATAGTAAAAAAGAGGAAGATAAGCTAGTTCTTCATCAGTCGTGATGGGACCCTACAAGCAAGAAGCGTTTTCTTCGTGGATAGAACACTCACCTGCAAAGGCATTCTGCGCTTCAAGTAACAAGTGAAATCATTGATGAGAAACTCCTCCGATGGAAGTCCAAACAGCTTCTGGAATGCAAAGTTGGACTGTGGTGACCTCAGACTTATCTACAAATGCAATCATAAAATTTACAGAGGAAGATTAGAACATGATAGATATATAGGGATATTTGGAAATCGACCCATCAGGAAAAAAGCTTCACCTTTTTTCCAACCTCTTTCTCCATCTTTGTGATGTACTCCTTGGCAACTTCCGTCCCCCGTGTATTCTGCAGAAAGATCCTGAGATGCAACCTGGACTGGTATGCCTGCGCGAGCTTACCCTGAAGGGGTACCCATATATCTGCTAGATCTGAAAGATCTGATCTTAAGAAGCTGATTTCTGCGTGCCCAAGAGAGATAGCTTCATCGAAAGGGCCATCGAAAGAAAACACATCCACGTCCATTGTAGATGGAGGATCATCCATTGCATCAAACTCGAAAATTTCTGTAATTTCAAAACGTCAGACCCTGATCAAATCATGATACAGAAATCAGAGATGGGCAAACTGGCGCTGCATACCATTCCAGTGTGGCTCTGGCGTTTGAAACTTGATGGAACTTGTTTTTGTTTTCCCATTGCAGGTGAAGACCACGTAGGGGTCAGAAAATTCAGCCGAGTTGACAGTTGCTAAACTGATGCCTTCAATCAGGGCAACAGTCAACATCCAGCCATCTCCTTGTGCTTTCACTCCATGGTCGCTACCTGTGGTAGATACATGATGAAGAAAAAGCAGTTACATTCTCCAAAATGTAGAATTATACTTCAATGCGCAGAGAAAAAAAACGGAGGACAAACTGTGGAAATGAACCAGATGAAAAAATATTTTTTACAAAGGAATGTGCGCTTTGTCTCCTCTAATTAAATTCAAACAAATGCATTCAATACTACCCCTATGTATAGGTTAATACGACTATGAGGATGTTCTACCTTGAAAACATAAGTGACCAGAGAGTGGTTTCAAAACCAAGGGGAAAACAAACTTTACAGAAAATAAACCACAAAGAGGAGGTCAGAATCGTATTAATAAGCCAGAATAAATACCTCGTTGTTTCCTGGCCTGCAAGAAGCGCCCTATCATCCTTAAGACACGTTCGCCTTGAAGAACAATAACCCCAGAAACAATGATCTCCCCAATGGAGTCTGGCAGATCCAGACTGCTGAATTCAAGACCCTGTATCGTGCTGGGATTGGCCAATAAGATGTGCGCAAGGACGTAAAGTATCCCAAACACAGATGACAAAACTGTGAAATTCCCAAGAAACCGGAGGGCCAGCCTGAAGCTGGACTCCCGCTCCACAATCAGCGAAGCCAAGATCTGTTCTTTGCCAGAATTCAGGTCTTTTGAATCAACCGGTTTAACACTCTGAGACAGCAGATTGGCAAACTGCACATAGCTGTCTCCAAGGCCTTGCTTGGCTCCATTTTCGATCATACCCTTCATTATTGTACTCTGCAGAAAATTCATGCGCCAGGATATGACCAATCGAGATGACTGGTCTTCCAAACGCAATTCGGGTCCAGGCATTATACAATACAGAAGCTCTGTCCTGAAATAACTTCCACATGGAACATCTGGGGTGCTCACACTCATTAAAACTGCATATGATTTACCATCAGCCTTCAAATATGTATGCTCTTCTGTAGCTTTAACAGCCTTAATTAGTCTAGTAGCTGCCTTGGTATAGGTAACTTCCCTTTTCAAGCTATCTCCACCTTCGTCTAATCTCCAGGGCCCCAGTTGCATTCCAGTGGTACCCTGAATCTCTGCCAGAGATGGGATGAAATTAGAGTCAGGTGAAAACAGAAGGGTGTTCAGGACAGCTGGAGCAACCACGTAAGCTTGATCAAGAAGAACTCCTCCTGAAAGGTTATTAGGCATTTCCTTCCCTAGATCTTTTGCAATCAACTTTGTCATCAGCTCATCAAAGGAGACATCGGGGGATGCATTCTCACATGCATTCTCCACAGGTTGGCTTCCACAGGTTTCAGGATCAACCGGTATCACAGCCTGAGTAGATGAATCAGGTTCTTTACTTGGTACAACTTCTGGATATCCCCAGGTAAAGATCTGATAAATACGATTGAAAATACTAGGTGCCATTGAATTTTCTTCGTTGAATGATCCAGAACCCTCTACTCCAGGTACTTCTGAGTATTTTCCAGACATATCGGAAGATGAAGACTTTGAATCCCTTGCAAGCTCACCTGACATGTGCACAAGAGATGCTCCACTGGCATCAGAGAATGACAGCCTGACGCCATCGTCTGGGGAACTGTTCTGAGATAAGCAGATTCTGAGAAGAATTTCCCCTGCAAGCCAAGATGGGAAATAAAATGGTCAATATCGAAGCATAAGGTCTATCATATTACGAACTGCATATCCATGAGAAAAGCAGGCGGATGATTTTTCTCTTTACAAACTTAAAAGACAATGGAGATCCACAAAAGATTAATTGATCGAGTGCATGGTCACAATAGAGCTAATTCGACAAATAATTTAATGAGAATCAAAGCTGCTGTCTTTAATTGCATGACACAACTGTTGAAAAATCAACTTTAATTGGAAAACTCACACTATGGGTAGGATGTGAGTGAAAGTGAAATTGTGAAAGAAGAAAACTTTAGAAGTTTTTTAAAATGCATTGATTTCAAAATTCCATATTCTTTTCACAATCACGAGAGGAATTTTAATTCAAAACCAAAAATAAACAAAAAACAAAGCCTTGTGCACTGAAGGACCAAGGGCATGTTGAAGGATCAACATTGAAACGACTAATTGAAGGATCAAACCAAAAAGCCAAGCTGGTGCTTGAAAATGCCCATGGCATGAACCAACACTGGCAATATCTGCCAGTGGAAAAAAATAGGTTCATTTCAGTTTTGACAGAAAACTGAATGCTTCGAAAGAAAACTAGAATTGCGGCGGACATGATTTTTATGCAAAACCTGCAAACTCCAGCAACCTCTCGGCCAACAAAATGCGAAAAACCAAAAGAAGCTGCTTAAGGCAGTAGACATTCTTCAGAAACAAAGGCCCAACAAGCACATTCTTTGGTCGGTTCAAATAGGTGTAAACAGATAATCATAGCAGTCTGCTGGCAGCTTTACCACAATCTTTGTACTTGGGCTTCTTGATGTTCTTAGGCTGTAGAGAATACCAAGTAGGCCCCAATGTCTTGTTCTCTGCATCCAGGACTGCCGACATGGGAACCTTGATCTGCCCCACAAAGTCATCGTTGAAGTACTTATCCTCATCCATCACAGACAAAGTAAGCTCCTCGCTCAGATCATCAACACGGAAGCTGAATTCTTCGTCCCAGAGGGGGTTCAGGCACTTTTTAATCACCCTGCTCTTCCATCTGTACTTCCCGAGCTGCAGCTTCACGTAGGGATCACTTAGGCCATTGGGATCAGTTGGTGGAAGGTTGCGTGCTTCGATGATGTGCACTTTGAGCTTCATGAGGGCAAACTATTCAATGGAACAATTCTAAGAGATCGAGAACAAAAGAGATTTATAACACCACCTACGTCTCAGACTCCGGTTTCAGGAGTTTTCGAAATGGAAAGGGACTTGAGGAAGAAAAAACAGAATTGTGATCTGCTAGAATGGGTCAATGGGAGACCAACTCTGTTGGCTCAACGAATTGTAATCCTCCTTGTCGAAGATTGGAGTTAGAGTAGTAAAAAAAGAAAATTCAGACAAGCTAACAACAAAAAAAAGTAGAAAATCAAGAAATGTTAAACTACGTATCGAAGTAAAAGAAACCTAAAAGCATTGACTTGGACATCTCAGTTTCTCTCTCTCTCTCTCTCTCTCTCTCTCTCTCTCTCTCTCTCTCTCTCTCTCTCTCTCTCTCTCTCTCTCTCTCTCTCTCTCTCTCTCTCTCTCGCTTACACACACACACATCAATATAGGAGGCAGCGTGCTGATCCAATCAGTTGGGACGACAGACAACTGAGAACCGGACGAAGACACAATTCCGGGAGCTAAGTCCTAAGAACCCGGAGGCGGAAAGGAGAAATTAACTTCAGAAAAGAGAGAGACCAACGGTTCGACTAATCCGAGAGGTGGCTCCTCATATAACCCTCCCTAAATCGGCAGGATCAATGGCGCCAGAAGGACGAAGAGGTTTCCGGGGCACGAAGAAACAGCTACAGAGACTTTCTCATTAAATCAACGAGAGATGAGACCCCAGATGGAGAGACGAGCTAAGCCACGGCTCCAATTGGCCGAGGAGCAGAGGAGAGAGAGAGAGAGAGAGAGAGAGAGAGAGAGAGAGGAGGGGAGAGGATTTGACTTCCCCCAAACCCTCCCCTACCCTCCTACCTCCTTCCCTCCCCCTCTCCCCGTAGTCTCTTGTTGACCTTCCAAATGTCACAAACTTGACCAAGAACCTCACTTTTCTCAATATAACCCTACATTAATATGAAGTACTTACATGCTTCATTTTAAAACCATCGAGTATTCGAAGCAATAGTTTTTAAAAGCCCGCGTATTATTTATAATCCAATAAAGTAAGGACAAAACTTAAAAAACCAAACGCACACGCTATTTGACCGAATCACGCCGGAAAGTCTGTTTGAACTGACGTTCTGACCACATAACTCATTTATTTATTCATCTATCCCTATATTTCAGCGCGATCCCAAAGGCAGTAGTTATAAAGCATATATTTTAGAAAGAGAAATTAAAGGAGGTATTTGAAAACATTATTACCCTTACTTTATCATATTTATATATATACTATTACGTCCACCTCGAGGGCACAACCCCAAACAAAAGTGATTCTTTTCTCTCCCCAGAAAAAATTAACTAAAAACACCCTCTTAAAAATTAATTGTAAACTAGGGTCCCCCCTTTGAAGTTTCCCGAAATATAAGGAGACGTAAATAATTATAGGAAATCAACGTGCAACGGAGATGAAAACATTACTCAAAGTACAAAAGATAATCATTGACGAATGAGAAGTGGGTCCCACTTACTGTACACGCGGTTGCTTCACGGCGGGTTTGACCCGGGCCACGGCGAGCGGGAAAGGTGTCCGTCGTGCTCGATTCGGCACGTGCCCTGACCGATCCGCCACCGATTTTCTGCGAGGATTTTTGACCTTTCTGCCGACAGCCGCCGGTCACATCGCCGGCCCGGACTCGGTAGGGGGAAGAACATTTCTCTCGTTTCTCTTTCTCGCAGATCTCTGTACTTTCTCTCTCTATGCAACCTCTCACGTTACTCCATCGTTGTTCTCTCTAGTTTCTCTCTCTAGTAAACCACATGATGGCAGTTGACTTCCATCCCCATTCCTAACTCGACTAGAAAAGTCAACCATCTACGAAATAGTCAACCTAGATCAGATCTTTAAGCTTGTTGTTTCAAGCTACCGAATGTTCTCATTAATTTCACGTGAGCCCACAAGATTAAAACTCTATCCAAGGTTTTGTAGGTCAATTTTATCTTTGACTTTATCTTCAATTTCTCTACATTTGACTTTTTTATCTTTTAAAAAAAAATAGTTCTTCGGTTCCCCAAGTTTTTTGATAGATCCAATGGGAACCTTGTGGGGAGGTACGCTGAGGATTGGGTTGACATTTTTGCGATGTGTCGTGCACTTAATCATCCGTAAAAAGGTTATATCTCTAATCAGATAATAGGGGTGAAAAAGTCAACGCATTAATAAAATAAAATGAAATAATTTTTAATGTATTAAATAAAGTATTATGGGGATTACTAAGGTACCCATGCATGATATGGGGGGACCAGCAAGCTAATTTCGAGATTATAGAAGCATGAGCTTTACATTTCAACGATTAGAAAACCCAAAGATCAGGATTGAGTTGACAATTTTTCCATGTCTCCTGCACCTAATCATCCGTGCAAAAGTTATATCTTTTATCAGATAATAAGGTGAAAAGTCAAAGTATGAGTAAAATAATGGGAAATCATTTTTAATTTATTAAATATTAGGGATTACTAAGGTATCCATGCATGATATGCGGGAACCAACAAGCTGCTCTGGAGATTATAAAATATCGACCTCTATATTTCCACGATTAGAAAAACCCAAAGCAAGAAAGTCTAAGTCAACTACCCAATGAAGATCAACGGGTTGACTATGCCTTATAAAGAATCAGACATACATACTAATAAAATCACGAACAAGATGTAATCAGTAAGCCATGTTATTATGAACCCAAGCAAATTCACATTACCTTCGATAAAACTATCAAAAACATGATTGCACTGGCTTATAAGCAAGCCCTATGTGGCCACCTCGGCACAAGTTTAGGGGGGGTAATTAGAACCAACCTTGCAAAAATAAGAATTAGAAGTAGACAGACAGACTGTCAGATAGATAGAGAGAGAGAGATAGAGATAGAGATAAAAAGATAGATAGAGAGATAGAGATAGAGATAAAAAGATAGATAGAGAGATAGAGATAGAGATAAAAAGATAGATAGAGAGATAGAGATAGATAGAGAGAAAGAGAGAGAGAGAGAGAGAGAGAGAGAGAGAGAGAGAGAGAGAGAGAGAGAGAGAGAGAGAGAGAGAGAGAGCGCGGGGGATTAGGCCAAGCTGAGGCAAGACTGAGCTCTTCGTCTGAAGAACTTGCTACTTCTTCCTCTTGTAGATCTTCCCCAAGAAGGACTTGAGCACCTCTTGAACAGCGACACTCGGCTGGGCTTCAATGGCAGAGATCAGTTGCTCGTAGCTCTTGCTCTCATACTCAAAGAATGCTGCCTGATGTGCAAGAAAATGGAAGAGGATGATGAGATAAGGGAATAAATGGGCTGACGGAAGCCAGTAAAGATCGATCTTTTGCTAAGTTTAGACATCAAAATCAAGCCCACAAGGAAAAAAAAGGACCCAGCCTAACTCATCCAGAGTTGGTTCATGTGTTAATAAGGGATGGATTCTCTCTCTCTCTCTCTCTCTCTCTCTCTCTCTCTCTCTCTCTCTCTCACACACACACACACACACACACACACGCACATATTTTGCTCACTCTATTTCTTAAAGATCTGCAATGGGGCATGTTTCATTGACTTTTCTCTGTATGTGACTGGGCCCCGGCCCCAGCTGTCACTCCAATGCTTGGCATCACTGATTCGATAGAAAAAATATCAATGTTTTTACCAAATATAACCCATAAATCCAATAAATGGCCACTGTTTACTTCCCTAGAGTGACCATCTCAAAAAAAATGAAGAACTTATTCACACGTATAGAAAAAATTCTCATAATCTCAATAATTGGAAGAACACAAAAGCAGTAATAAAATATAAAAAATAATTAAATCATCAGCAAGTCAAGATACTAAGAATAGACTAAAAAGTCAGCATATAATCCACACCTCGAGATTAAGATCCTTGTAGAGAGCCTTCACTTTAGAGACACAATCTGCATCAAGTTTCCCATAGTTTTCCTGAGAAAATGGATCCAACAGTGATTAATATTTTGCCGTCATCAATATGAAGGTAGCCCACCAGAGAGGAGTGCTCTTACATTTAAGATTTTCTTCTGGTTTTCATCAGCACGTTCGAGTGCTTGAACCACCAGCCAAGAGCATTTGAAGTCTTCGATATCAGTCCCAATCTTATATAATATGCCATGAGATATAGAGCAGCCCATGAGAAGAAAATTTTAAACATATATTATGATTTTAATCGAAGAACGAAATAACTGCGCTTCTACCTTGCCAATTACGTCAGGATCACCAAAGCAGTCCAGATAATCGTCCTAGAAAGAGAGAGAGCTAATTGTCTCAGACAGGAGGGAAAAAATTACAATATATATATATATAGTATCTTTTTAATTATGATGACGGTATAACTACCTGTACTTGGAAGTAAATTCCCATCTGAACAAGAATATCTTTGACTGCAACAAAGTTATCTAGGTTCTCGCCTGACATTAGCAATGCGCATGCAACCTTAATGAAAATCACCAATCGAATATGGTCAGCAAGCAGAAGGTATGACATGCGAATGGAACCACAAATCAACAAAAAAAAAGAAGAATATAAATGAAGATTCGAGCCAATTTGCTACAAAATCCCGTGAAGATTTTAGTCATCTGTCTGAGGAAAATATGTGATATTTGGCATGCATGTGAAGATTAATTTAACTCACCGGAAGGTAAAATGAGTAATAGGCAGTCTTGTACTCGACAATCCGGCGATGACTGAATAGACAGAATATCATGTTGTAAGTAATATGTCTAAGCAATGAGATAAGAATAATAGAGTGAAGTGTAAAAAAAGGACTATTATTCATGTTGTAGGAATTTCGTTCTAATTTCTATATTTTTCACATTTTAATTCATACACCGGCAATTTGTATTTTGCTAGATCCTTCTCCCCTTCAATTGTTGTAATCAAATCCAGCATCTGGCCAGAAGCTGTTTGAAATTCGACCTGCCAGAAGATAGTATAGGCTAGTAAGAGATAGTAAGATTAATCTTGGAAAAAAAAAATCAATCACAAAATGAAAAACATCTAAACATATTTTCTAGAGATGAGTACCTCGTTGAATAAATCCATGAGCTCTACGTAGTAGGGTCTTTCCTTAAAATGATTCTTAAGAATCCTAAATATATGATTCCGTAGGATTATACCATCATTAGCAGCAATAAGACCGACCTACAAAAGCTTACTGCACATAAGCACATATAATCATGGAAGTAGAAAGCAGAATATATGGATGACAGAACAAACATAAATTAGAACGTGCCCGTGATTATTAGATAAAAAGTATCAAAGAGATGCCGAAAAATTCCGCTGGAATCACAATTTGACCTTAAACATCTGTTCTAGTTCTTAAAATAGGCTCTAGATTCAAGCTGGCTTTATATAATTAGAACGTACAGATTCAAATGCCAATAAGTTACAATAACTAATTGGAATCTGAATTGGACTTTCCTAAAGCTCAAAACGTTTGCGTGAATTAGTACTATCTGCGTCTGGTTTCCATGCAAGAATGATAAAGTATCATTTGAAATATTTACTGTTTTACCAAATAATTTAAACGAAGGAGATCCTAGCATCAGCTATCTCTATTCTGCGTAGGGCTTGTGACTAAAAAAGCCTTTCTTTTTCTCCATGGGCAGAGCTAGCTGTGGTAACTGTGGCGGCCAGCAGGAGATGTAACAGCAATAAACTTACAACTATTACCCAGAACTATTTAACTTGTTATGCTAGAATACTAGAAGAAGCAAATGGGCTGCAATTTTTCCACATGAGCTACATATGTATAAGAAACCCACAGTGATCAGGCATCCTAGCTTGTGCTGGTTCATCCAATTTTTTCCCTAGTTTAAGCAACCATGCTCAATAGAAAGACAGCATCAACTTATCTCAAGACGCATCAGATAAACTTTCAACGCCATCTAGTTTTCTATCATACCGCTTTGTTTGTTTCTCATAATTATCACCCTTTCAATGTTTAGTACCAAAAAGTGCTGAAAATATTTCTAAATTTTTATTAATTTGGAATTAATCTCTAACAATCGCAGAGAAATAAAAAGGATACATTGAAACGGAGAGAGAATAGTTTCTCGTCTGAGAAAAAGAGCTCCCACCTTAGGTAGTCTGAACCAGCAAAGTTGTCCTCGCCTTGTGTGAGAATTGTCCATGATGTCATCCAGCACAAGAAAGTATGCTTGCAACTGCAGAGATTGTCGTTAATAGGGATTCAGATTTCAAAAACGATCTGAAGATCAGATGAAAACATCAAGGGTTTGAAACAGGCGCAGTAAGGAGTATTTACCCATTCAATGCACCAACCCAAAGCACATGCCAGAAATATTTCTTCCTCAGACAGCTCTTTGCCTTCTTTCAACAATTTGTAGCTATCAACAACTGACAATCCCCGATTTAGCTTTCCTGCCAACAATCACATTATTTTTATCACCAAACAACTTGCATGATGGGTTTTATAGACTTCAAACTCTACACATAAAAGGTAAGATGGACAACTATGCTTTATCACGAAATATAAACTGCACCAAAAAAAATAAATCTGTATGCCTTCTAATTAACTCATACCTTTAGGTACATTGTAGTCGAGCATCTGTACATAGAAAAAAAGGAGGGTCAAAAAGACATACCGTAATAGGTTAATTCCGGTTGTAAGATAAACAGTAGGGAAGACAAGACATGAGAACAAGTACAGAAAACCAAATGGAACATCCACCGAGAAAAAGCCATAGAAGAGAAGCATTGAAGAGAACATGCCATAGCAAGAAAGCTTCGTAACATCATAGAGGAACTTTTTATGTTACATCTGAAAGAGATAGAGCAAGAGAGAATGTCAAAAAACGATCATTTGCAAGACTTTTTGTATAATTCCTTAAACACAATACACCGTGTGTTATTGAGGCCAAAAGTCCAGCTCGCTACATAACTCTACCAATTGCCACAGAACAGTCCACTCTATATTCTAGACCCACTGAATCATTACTATGAAAAATTTTACTCTGATTTCAGCTTCCCCTGTGTCACACTCAGGATATCAAACACTTTCTAATGGCTTAATGTATCCTATTCTTGAAATGTAAAGTACATGAACCTTATTTATTTTTCCACCCCAAAAAAAATAAAATACAAATGGATACTTAATGCATAGTGAATACTCGGGTGAATTCGATCATTAACAAGAGCAAGAGCTTCGCTGTAGTCAATTGCTTCCCAAATAATCAACAAAGGAAACAGAAATATTCAGAAGAACCATTCAAATTGGACTTGAACTTCCTCAGCGATCAAATTGGATTGCTTGTGAGCCATTCAAAAAGGGAAGGCACAAGATTATCACGGGAAAAATCCCAGCATGCAGCAATTAAATTTTATCCTGAAAAGGTTTGGAGATATAATATATATCGCAAGCACGAGTCACCATCAGAATAGTCATAAATTCTGATAATAGATCAGTCAATGTATAGATGTACGATAGTGTTCAAGTTATGAGGTGAAATAAACGCTAAATATTGGACGTTATTTCTGTGGTTGATCCTGAAAAAAAAATGAAAATTGTATTTCAAAAGAATCATGAGATCCAAAAGATGTATACAATCCACTAGAATTCAAGAAAAATAGTAAAAAACCGAATCAATGTTAAAAGTGGCGAACCCTCACTAACTGCGTCTTCGTCTTTATGACGTCTTATTTCCTCTTGCACTCATTTTCTTGTCAAATTGGTGAGAGCAGTGATGGCATTAGAAAGCAGTATAGCATACGGGCGCAAGAAAAAATAAGAAAAACTGAATACCTTTCTCAGAATGAAGTAAAGATATTAAAAAAAAGGCTACACGAGAATCGGGAACTTTTTACGCTTCTTGTACAATAAATGAAGCTTTTAAATCTCTCATGAAAAGTTGCAGGCTGTATCTACATTTTCTCCTAAAGAATTGGTATAAGATCCGCACGAGAAACACCTTTACCGTTCGGCGGAGCAGAAATGAGAGATCAAACAATAAAAAAAAGGTAGATCACATAACAATGAGGATCACTCAAAGTCTAGAACATCCCCCCAGCAGCGGAAACGAACCCCATAAACTCAGATCTCATGGGAAACGGCAAATGTAGGAGGTTGGACGGAACAGAAAAAAAACAAGTGAGCCATCTGACCCTCTCGACCCATTCCCGAGAATCCTCGGTGAAATCGAAGGCGGGGTCGTGGAGCAGCTCAGACTTGAGGTCTGAATACACGCGGAGGAAAGTCGATCGCAGGTCTCCGGCCTTCCCGTTGGCTGATTCCGCCATGGCCAAGCCGCAGGCAGCTTCTGAGCACTGGCGGAAGCCCCGAGAGAGTTGGAAGGAAGAGGAAGCTCTCTGAAAGCAATGGAGAGGAGTCTGCAACTCTGAAGCTCGAAGATTTAATTGCCCAACGACAGAAGCTCCGACGGCCCAGATACACTCCCAGGAATCCTCTCCACTCATCCTAGTCGTCCATTCCCCTTAGTGGGGCCCGCCGACTGGGCCCATCCCTCTTTGTTTTCGCTCTTTCTCATTCCGACACGTGGACTTTGGGTAATCCGCCGCCGGCGGACCCACCAATGTCGCGGTTAAAATCGACATTTAATTAAAAACCTTATTCTCCACGCATTATATCTGACCGTCCGTTGCACGATCGGCTCGTGACGGAGGCCCGATGGCGTCCACGTATGACCGATGAGTTCGAGGCGATCGGATAGGACGATTCCTACAAGTCAACTTTTGCTGATTCCGACCGAGTCTGACCCGGTACATTCGGCGGTCCTTTTTGGTAATCAATAATAAATACCCATATTTATGGCAATATTGACCTAGCTCTTAAAGGATAATTATGGGAAGGGGTAACCATAGAAGGAAAATTATCGATAAACCCCTATTTGCTTCATTTCTTGTATGTTAAGACTAAATAATATTATTTAGGATCCCATCCTTTTTATAATCCAGATATTGAAATGGTGTCCATGTGACGCCAAGGTATAGGTCCATATACAAATATAGGGGAGAGAAGGGTCCAATATGCAATTTCTGGAAAATAGGCCGTACCGTCCCTTTTAGTCCATTGTTAGGGTTAACTTGAATCTATGTAAATTATAATCGTACCATTGTGGCTAGAAATGTTGCCAAATATACATTTTTGGGTAAGATACAAAAGGAAATAGAAAAAAGTGAGGGGCTTATCAGAAACTAAGTTTTTGTGGAGTCAGAACATAATTGAATGATTTGATGACAATAACTTCATTTATGAAATTATCATTAAGTAGTTTAAAATAATCAAATAAGAAACTAAACTAATTAGTATTTTTCTGAACATTGCAACTAGATCCACCTTAATAGTTATAATTAATTTATCTTAAGATATTTAACGGTATTAAATTTAATTCTCATTTGGCCTCCACGAGACTCGATAGCTTGGACCATTTATGAAGTTATTATTAAATATTTAAAATTAGACAATTAATAATAATATTTAGTAAGTTATTCATAAATTAGTAGGATATTTATTAATTAAATTGGAATTGGAAAAAAAATCTCTAGTTGACGAAACCCAGCTTGAAGCATCGGCGACCGTTCAGGGTTCGGGCGATCTCTGCCGTCCATTGACATGTGCGGTGAAGATTCGTTGTTATTTGGGCCCCAGGAGGAGGCGAGCCATTTTCAAATAGCCGTTTGGAGCAGTTGGTCCCTCCCTCCTCTTTCGCCTGGCCTTTACTGTTCGTCTGCCTTCGTCAGGCCCTAGCCCTAGAAATCGGTGAAAGATCGAGGTTTCTGGGTGGAGTACGAGGCCATGGTCCACAGATCGAAGGTGCATACTAGGAACACGGTGAAGGACTGCGCCAGTCTCGGGTTAGTTCATTATTTTCCACCTTCCGTGACCTAAACTGGGGACCTATCACCATCAATCCGTGTGCTTTTTGTCCTTCTAACGATCATTAATTCTGTCTCGCAGGAAGATATTCGTCGGTGGCCTCGCGAAGGACACAAGCATTGGTTAGATTTCTTCTTGCTCTCGGTTTTCTGTACCTTCTTAAACTTTTTTAGTCGAAAAAGCTTCGTTATTTTAGGCACAGGTGATCCATGGTGATGTGTGCTTCCTTCGATGAAACATGCTCAACAAAATTTCCTAATTTACTTGGGTCTCATGCATTTCCGTTGCGTTCCAGTTTTCTGCGTGAGTTGTTGCTGTCGACGTCTTCTCTTATATTTACCTATGTGTGTGTGCATCCGATCTCTTGCTGGAGTTATTGACCTTGTGCCAAATTTCTTAAATGGCCATAAGCTGGTGATAAGCTTCAGATGCTGTATCCGGGAACTCGGGCGAGTAAGAAGCTCAAGTTCGTGTGCCCATGGCAAGTGCCACCATCACTGACCATGATGGTCAGCGTATAGGCCAAGGAAGACCGTGATAGTTTGTAATTACCCAAGAAAACATTTGTGTTTTCGAGGCCAAACGTGTAAACCATAGTCGGAGTTGCACTAACATGGTTTAATACATTATTTTCACTTTTAACTTGTTCCCATATCTCTAGTCTTTTTGTTCTTTCCATAATATGATTTTTTCTCCTAGGGAGCTCCGACGGCTGATCAACTGGTTTGAGTTATGTTTCTTTTGGATGGTTCTTTGAATTGGAGATAATGTGCAGTCTTGACCATAAAAGTTCATCATGGGTTTCCGCCATATAAGAATTTCAGTAGAGCATCAATTCTAATTGAAGAATCAAGGGGTGCACCCAAAGATTCAATGTTACGAATGTGGTTGTGAATAGTTTTCTGTAGTTTTACTGTTTCATTTTCCCATGCTGGTAGTGGCATATAATCTCAAATTGTCACGCTGAATCATTCAACTTAATGACCATTGCTCCCATTTCTGAAACTATTTAGTGTTTACTTTCACATAGCTTCATATTGTTTATTTTTTTTCCAGTTACTCACTACATATTCCCAAATTAGATCGACTGTTCATGTTCCATAAAAAGTACTTGCCTCCCCTTCTGAAATATATCTTTGATGTAAAAAACAGCAACATTTGAAAAAGCACTTTGGGAAATAAGGAGAGATTACAGGCTATGTAATACTGAAGGATAAAGTCACGAACCACTCTAGAGGTTTTGGGTTTTTCACGTGTGCTGATCCTTCACTAGTGAATAAAGTCATAAATGGTACTCATGTCATCAATGAAAAACAAGTAAGCGTTTGCTTAGGGGGTTTGATGTCGACAAAGAATTTATTGTGTCATTATTGTGTCATTATTGTGTTATTTTTCAAATTTCAAGTCATACTCGCATTATTTGCGTACCTTTATTATTATTATTATTATTTTTTATTATTAACTAGAAACTGTATTGGATTCTTTATCGTGATGACTGCTTTCCTTCCACTGATATAGTAAGTTTATGCTGAAGTTACAATAGTGAATTCCCCTCCTGCCTTCACTCGCTGATTCACTTAAACTGTTGAGTTATCTCGGGCTGTAAACATTGTCTCTCCCTTAGGTTATAATTTTGTCGTATGCATGCCTCACCTCTACATTAAAATGTTCTCCTTGTGATCCCAGTTTTACTCCCATTTTAAATATCAAGATAGTCCAGAAAATATTATTTTCATCGTTCTTGTTTCATATACTTTGTATTTTCTGTTGTGACACAATGTGTTATCCTTAAATGTGGAAACCTTACCTTTCGATATTTTAGCAGAAGAAAGTTTATACTGGTGGGTGACCTGTGATCCAGTGTGATCACGTCTCAAAAGTTCCTTTATGCTATGATATAACTATTTTTGGATGAGATATTGACAGCGCATATACATCCTCTTTCACTGTACGTGATAATCGAATTTTCATGTTATGTGAATGTGAGCTATCTCTCCCTCACATCTTCAGGCATTTGGTATGCCCCATCATCACAGAAAAATATGGTAAAAGAAAACTATCCTATTTTCCAGGCTCATGGGGACTCTTCTGACCTTATTGTTTGGGTTTCATAAAAAAAGGGATTTATATTTAGAAGTATCTTTATTCAAAGATAATGTAAAGAAAGACCTATCTATGTTGACTTAAAAATCAATACTTTTAGTGGTACTCTTCTCTGCTTCCCTGATCCTGATCCCTTAATGTTATCCTCCACCTTCTCGCTATCTTGATCATCATCTCATTTTCACCCTCCTTGACTAGCAGCAAGGGCTTTGGGTCTCATAGTGGAAAGAAAGAGAAAGGAAATGTGTAAGCAGAAAGTGATGGTTGGCAGATGGGGGGCAATAAAAGGAAAGATGAAAGAAAAGGCACTGGCATCTACCATGACAGTGAAATCAAGTGACATTGGGAACCGTTGCCCAATAATTCTGGTTAAGTCGGGGCAGCGTTGATGGTCGCAGTAGCATGGAGCTTCATCTTCCTCTTCTTCATATTTTTGTCTTGTTTTCCACTTCTTCAACTCCACGTGTCCTCTTGCAACTCATCCATAATTCTACCAAACTAGGGCCTTGAAAGTGCTTTGTAGCCATTGAAAGGATCCTGGAATGATTATAGCCCTGCAAGAATCTCCATTGAACTCAAATCATTGTGATGTGTGGGAGCAACATGAGTTAAACTGATGTACTTTGAACTAATGTAACATTTGGGTTTGGTAAATTGGAAACTTCGTCCAAGTTGGCTTACATTTCATGAGATCACTTGGTTGCAGCTGGTGGGCTTTGGAAATTATATCTAGTTTCTTGAAGCAAGACAGTGGGTTTTACCTTCATCTGCAAGAAAGTACTGTGAATCCTGTTTGTCTGCAGTTCTTAATCTAAAGTACATCTTTTTGCATCCTTGGAGGAGTTTCTCCGACTTTCTGTTGCAATGCGCTTCATTGAAAGTGAAAAATTTACAGTTTTGATGTTAGAGGACCCTTTTTTCCCTTCTTTTTTTTTGCCAGACTCTCAAAGGTTGCTGCACTTAGGCCCTTCTTTGCTTTCTCTGCACTTAGGCATCCCCCTTTTGGTGATTTTTTATTTAACTGGCTCTATGGCGCTGGCGATCCATTTCAACGAACTCTGCTGCAAACCTCCTTCGGCTGGTAGTTGTTTCTGTCTGAGCCCATGGATACCTCTGGCATATATAGCTCCCGCGCCTTTATATGCTTTGACACATCCGCTGACCTTTGTGTTGTCAACCTTGGATGCTGTAATTTTCTTCGCTGTTATAACCTCAACCTCATTATGAATCTCCGTTGCTGTCGTCCATAGCCTTACGTACTGTAATCCTCTTGAAATCCTGCCACATTGCATTTGACCGTATGCCTCGTCCATTGATCTCCTTGATGGACAATGACTTCTCTCTTTAGTTCCCTGACGGCGAAGAATATTTCTTGGATAATGGAAGTTATGCTATTTTCTCGGGTTTTTTCTAGAGAATTAAAATTGTAGAGTATCACACTGTCCTCTAGAAAAAAAATGTTTGCATATTGAAACTGACTATAGCTAGTATGCATGTGAAAAATGTCTTTATTCTGAAGTCTTCCTGATAAATGAAATTATTTTTGGGACATTAAATACCATTTACTTAGCAATAAAGATTCTTTTTTTTTTTTGCATCGCAGATTGCAAGCTGCTTATTGTGTTGTGATTGCATACACTGGATATAGTTTGTGAAATTTCTTTAACTGTTTTTGCAGATAAATATCATTTTTTCTAGACATTTAATATCATTTAGTTAAGAATCTACCTTCTTTGCATTGCAGAGATGGTTTACTGCGCTGTGATTACACACATCAATAAATTTTCTGAAAAAACTTGAACAAATTTTGGAATACAAGGTCGGATGTGACAGTATTGATCTACAAATGAATTAGGCTCTATGCTAGAAGAGTGGAACCTGAGAGATACGAACTTTCTCTTACTCACCTGCCACTGAGTATATCTAGTGACCTATCTGTATTGTGAGGGAGCTGGTAATTGGCCTGCTGAGCTGATCTTTTTGCTCGAGTTCTTGATTTCTCTATCCTTATACTGATTGATCTCCAGCAGTTATCAAGCTTTGTTGAGATGCTTCGGTTGTTCATTGCTGCTTGTCCTGTGATCTGCAGGTGGAGATCAAGAGGATAACTCCAGAAGATGCTTCATCCAGGGATTTCAAGACAAAGAAGATATTTGTCGGCGATCTTGCATCAACTTACACAGAAGGTTTATTTTTATTTTTTATTTTTTCTTTGTTAATATGAACTTTTATACCTAGATTACTGATATATCTTCCACATATATAGACAGTCCTTTGTTGAATTTTTTATATATATATAAAGGATCAGATGAATTGAGGGACTTTTCCATGTATGGAAAGGTCGTTGATCACCAAATCATAGTTGACCATCCAAGCAACAGATCACGAGGCTTTGGATTCATCATGTTTGAGTCTCGGCCTGGCTGGCACCCAGGTAGCCAGAAAACTATTATATTATTTTGGCTTCATACCTTTTTCTTTTATTTATTAACTGAATATTTTTTCATGGGCAAGCAGATTTTTCGATCCCCATATCTTCCTAAAGTCCAGATTCAGCGTGGGCTTCTCACATACTTTGCTTTTTGTTCTAGGTGAAGATCAAGAAGACTGAGCCGAAGCAGCTGCCGCCCTGTGGTCATAATTCTAAGGTTCGTTTATTTGGCGAAGGCTTTGGTCGGTTCTACGGCTGTGGGTCGGCCCTTCTCCCTACAGGACACCCACCGGCCCTGGTGGTGACGGCGCCGCCGGTGCCAGCTTTCGGCGGCGGTTTAGGAGGTGGGCTTGGAGTTGACGAGGATTTTAGTGGCTATGGTGGCGGTGGCGGTGGCGGGTTTGGTGCCGGTAGGCCTTACAGAAGCGAGGGGGCTACGGCGGCGGGTAGTATCCCTACCTAAGGTAGGAAGGAGGTTCCTGCCGGCGAAAAGGGGAAACTTGGGCGTGTTCATCTGTGTTATCGGAGTGCCTAACCCATTGACAGCCTAGAGAGAGAAAGTCCCCTGTGGAGGGTTTGAGGAGAGGGAAGCCCCTTAAGGCCCTCATGGGCTTGTGGGCCTGCCTACAATATGGCACAGGATGGGAGGAGGACAGGCTTAGGGTTCCTGGCCTCCGGAATCCGTTCTCGTCCTTCCAGGTTGGCACGTGCCTCCCTTTTCGAGGGTTTTGTTTCGTTCGTCGTTATGTTCTGGAGAGAGAGAGAGAGAGAGAGAGAGAGGTAGTGAGATGGATTAGGGATTAGAAAATAGTAGGGGCTATCTAGGTTGTGGCATTTAATGGGAAACTTGGAAGTTCCCAATGTAGGCACATGGCGAAAGTTATATAATCTTACACGTGGCATCAAGATCTCATTTCAAAGTTTTGATGCTCTCTCAATCCTGCTGCAGCTGATCCTTCCCATCTTCTCCTTCTGGGTCCCATACCCAGCAAATTCTCCAGGATTTTCTCTTCCTTAGTTTCAGTCTCAGCCAAAAAAGAGCCACCTTTTCAATGGGTTTCTTATACTTCTCTGCAGAAACAAGAGAGAGAGAGAGAGGATACTTTGACAGCTGCTGGCTTGAGGGTCACATCATATCAAAAATCTATAATACCTGAATGGGTTTAGGCCGAGGAGGATCTTTAACTTTCCGCCCTCAGATTTCATGAAATCTCAGGATTCAAGTTATACTGAAAATAGAAACGCATTGTCAAATGGAGGTTTGATGATCTTAATTTTTCTGTGAAAGCTTTGCTCAAATATCAAAAAGACAGTCTTTGGGAGGATGGCAGATCCTTCACACATCAAAGTTTGACCCACTTTCTCTCTCCGCATCTTCCGACCGAAATAACTGATATCCTTGTCCACGCCAACTGGGCACCCCAGAACGCCAGCTTTCTCGGACACTTCGCTAGAAAACTTGCCTTTTCTCCTCCCTCCACTTCATACTCCCGCGCGCCCGCGCCCTCTCCCCCCTGGTCCAGTGTGGTGCGTGAAGGGGGCCAGTCTTTGATCCGCCGAGGGAAAACCCTAAGAGCTTTCGACTCCAGGAGCGAGGAGTTCCCTTTGAGCTCCCTTTCTCGTGGTGGGTTTTGCTCCTCTTTACCCTTTTTCGACATCTTTTGTCGTGTGTTCGTAGTTTTATCATAGGGACTCTGGGTTTCTCGGATCCGTCTCAGAAACTGACGTTGCATTTGAGATCTGTATCGCGAGGAGCAATGCGGGCGGTTTGGCTTCTGCCCTCGTTTATTTTTCCGATTTATAAAGAGGTCTTCTCGGTCGGCCGTAGACGATCCCTCAAGTTCTGATCTATGTCTGCAACATGTGGGGTTAGCGTTCAGTTTTCCCTCCCCCATTGCTGCTCTCTGCTCTCGCGTAGCTAGATCACTTATGGAAATCCCTCTTTCTTGTGTTCTTAATGCCGGCGGATTCATTATAATGCCGGTGTTTGATATGAAAACCTGTATTTTTTCCATGATGATTTTATTTCCCATTCCTCTTCGGGTTGTATGCATGCGATCATCCTTGATATTGTTTCATTAATATCCCTCGTATGAATCTATCTGCACAGAAGGTTTTAGTACCCATGTTCGTGATTATTGCTTGGATATGGATATCATTTCACTTTAGCGCACTGTCTTCATCTACTTAGATGTAACCATTTTCGTATGCTTCAACACACTTTGCTTCTCTTAATGCGGGAGTTTTAGAAAATCTAATGGATTTGACTGTAAATTTCCTGGTTGGTTTCCCTGGAATCGAGGACTATATATTTCTATATTTGACTGGATTAAAGTCGCTAATTTCTGTTTTGGATTTATTTCTTTCTTCTTATCTCCCTGGATGATAAATTTGAATAATTTAGCTGTGATCTCAGCATTCACTTGAATCAATGCTCACTAAAAAAATTAAATTTCAGATATTACACACTCTTTCTGTACTCAGTGATGGTGGATCATGGCGCATCCGATTCTACCCGGGGGGCATCTCGTTGGCTTTCTGAAACACTGTAGCAGGCTATATCTGTGGGCTACAGTGAACTAATTCCGTCATAGAAGTCTATCTTTGGTCAATGGCCTCAGAGAGCTCGAAGAAACCATGCTCTGAAGGACAGCAGAAGGCACCTGATAGTCAAACAGTAGAAGTCGACGCTCATGGGCCCTCACATCTTCAGACACCAAAGTTGGGTGATCCGGAGTTCACAGCATCGCATGACCTACGGATTCGGGTTTCAGGAGGCCAGAAGCCTGATCATCGTCAAAAGGGTTCTATTGATTCTTTCCCTTCCAAGGCTGCCTCAGAGAAAGTAATGTCCTTAGAATACGATGGTGCAGTGCCATTGCCAAGAGATCAAAAGAAACCAACGGAGGGAATAGCCTCAGTAGAGCCTCTCCTCGTAGGAGAGACTGCTAGAGAAGGAAATGCGGGAGATCAAGAGAAGCAGAGCTCTGAACAGTGCAGTGCTGCGAATAGCAGCTCTGTTTCTTCCAAAATCAGTGATGGGGCCAGCAGTCTTGCAAAAACCAGCGGGAGTGCCAAGGCCACAGACCGGTCAGAGTTAATTGAGAGTGGCAAGAGCAGCATATGCAGGGGGAGCACAAGCAGTGATGTTAGTGATGAAAGCACATGCAGCAGTGTGAGCAGTGGGGGCAGCAAACCCCACAAAGCGAACGATTCAAGATGGGAGGCCATAAAATCAGCGAGGACTAGAGAAGGGTTTCTGGGTTTGAAGCATTTCAGGTTGCTCAGGAGGTTGGGCTGTGGTGATATTGGAAGTGTCTACTTGTCGGAGCTAAGTGGGACTAGGTGCTGTTTTGCCGTAAAGGTGATGGACAAAGGGTCCCTGGCAAGCCGCAAGAAATTGCTGAGGGCCCAGACAGAAAGGGAGATACTGCAATGCCTCGATCATCCCTTTCTTCCCACTTTATATACCCACTTTGAGACTGATAAGTTCTCGTGCTTGGTTATGGAGTTCTGCCCTGGTGGAGACTTGCATACTTTGCGCCAAAGACAACCTGGGAAATTTTTTTCTGAACAAGCAGCCAAGTGAGATTCCAATTTTTTCCATTTATTTACTTAAGTTGGTTATTACCATATGATCATATGATCTTTGGATATTACTTGGAGCCGTTCATATGATTTATGTTCATTCCTTGTATGCTTACTATGCTGCGCAATCCCATCTTCTTCTCCATGAGCATTGAAGTTTGGGCGCCTGCTGACATGACACATTCGTTGGGGTCAATGGTAAACTTAGCTGTCTTGTTTTCACCTGAGAAAATGTCTCTGACGTTTAGTAGCTTTTCCAGGTGTTTTGCATAGCAATCGTACAATCTTATTAAGAGTTCCTTAGGGATTCTCAGAATTTGGTGTTTTGAATTGTGCTGCTGATAATATTTATGCAACCGCGTCGGTATACTCTTATATTTTATGTTAAGAAATGTTAGTGTTCATCCCAGAGAACGGCCATTGTGTCACTCATATTCTTCAATTTCGAAATCATTTTCTCATCATCATATCTGCGTCTTATTCTTGACACAATCAGCATGTGTGAGAAATGGAATTTGTCCTAGATGCTTTATATTGCCATTTATTGTGAGTTTCTCTACGTTGTAATATAATCTATGTATTGCTAGATTATCGATGATAGATGGATGCTAAAATGATAATTACGTAAAAGAAAGTGTTAATGAAATAATTGGAGCTTATCCGTGACATTACACGTCTGTGTTTGTTGTGAGTTCTCTGAATCAATATTTATCTCTCCATCACTAAAGCATTAATGCATCATAAAAGGGAATCATTTAAACGAAATTATGAAAATAAACCTTGGGAAAACAGAAATGGGTCCCTAGTTGAAATAGGAATTCTATTTAGCTTTAGTATAGTCTCAAATTAGCAAAAATAGATAATATTCTTCCCTTCGATCAATAGATGCACCTACTCTACTCATCAGCAATTAGTTCTGGGTTGGATGTCTCAATAACCTTAAAATAGTATGAGGGTTAGTTACTGTTCTAGGCCTGCACATGCCCCATATCTATTGTTTATCCGACTCTGAAAGTAGGAACTAAAACCCTATTGATCACATCAATGTAGCTACTCTTCTCATTATCAGTTTGTTTTGAGCTCAACCAGGTGCTGGCCTGCCAGGTCCTTAGCAATTGGGCTGGGCCTTTTTGTCTGCTGAAGACTATAGTGAAATAGAAGAAGAAGAAGAAGATTGCGTGGAAGGATTATTGAGGAAAATGCCTGATTGGGCAACACTGGCTTTATCTTTACATCAATAACAGATAAGTGAAAGATAAAAAAAAAAGCCTCTGAGAATCGTATTTGGTATTTTATAATCATAGTCATTTGTTGGGAAAAAAATACCATTGTTTGTATAAATGCCTCTGAGAATTGATCAAATTAGCCTCTCTAATCATCAAAACAGACCTTTCTCCAGGAACCATGAATCTTCCTGTTTGTTAGGATTTTTGAAGGCATTGCCATGATCTCTGCTCCATCAGCAATGACTCCTGACAGATGCTGTGGGATCTCCCACCCCTTTTTTCTCCATTGCAGGTTCTACGTTGCAGAGGTTCTTCTAGCTCTGGAGTACCTTCACATGCTGGGCATCATTTACCGCGACCTCAAGCCCGAAAACGTCCTCGTCCGAGATGACGGGCACATCATGCTCTCTGACTTTGACCTCTCCCTTCGTTGTGCCGTCTGCCCAACCCTCATCAAGTCCACTATTTCCGAATCTGATCCCTCTCACAAGAACTCCTCTACTTACTGTGCCACGCCTGCTTGCATCGAACCAGCCTGCATCCAACCGTCCTGTGCCGTCCCCACAAGTTGCTTCTCTCCTCGCTTCTTCTCCTCCAAACCCAAGAAGGACCGGAAACCAAAACCCGAGGTAGTGAACCAGGTCAGCCCATTGCCAGAGCTCATTGCCGAGCCCACCGAAGCCCGCTCCATGTCGTTTGTCGGAACCCACGAGTACCTGGCCCCAGAGATTATCAAGGGTGAAGGCCATGGAAGCGCTGTGGATTGGTGGACTTTTGGGATCTTTCTGTATGAGCTCTTGTTCGCGAGGACCCCCTTCAAGGGCTCCAGCAATCGAGCCACTCTGTTCAATGTCATCGGTCAGCCACTGCGGTTCCCAGAGTCGCCCATTGTGAGCTTTGCTGCCAGGGACCTGATCAGAGGGTTGCTAGTGAAGGAGCCTCAGCACCGCCTCGCCTTCAAGAGGGGAGCCCCAGAGATCAAGCAGCACCCTTTCTTCGAGGGCGTGAACTGGGCTCTGATTCGCTGCGCAACCCCGCCGGAGATCCCAAAGCCCTTTGAGATTGCTCAGCCTCCCGCACCCGCCGTTCGATCAGGTAAGAAGATCGTCTCCGCCGCAAATCACAGAGGTTCGGGAAACTACCTGGAGTTTGATTTCTTTTAGGATTTTTTCTCTTCTGCTCCTCCCAATGGCCTTCACTGAATCAAGGGAAGTTAAAAAAAGCGAGCTCTCTGAGTATTTTAGGGGTGATTTCCATTTTCGCTCGCTGTGTTCTTTCTCATCAGACATCCAAAAGTTCCTAAATTTTTATTCCCAGTCACCCAAGAACCTTTTCTTCTTATATCAATAATGATCTTAGACATCCATCTCTTCTGTTTTTCATTTCTGCATTCCATTCTGGGCTAATCCAACACCATCAAAAGCCATGGATATGCATCATGGAAGGAGTTCATTGTTCAGGAACAGTATTGTCTGAAGCAACAAGCTGGAAGAAGTAAAGCACTCATCTGCCCCTAATGGACAGAAGCTTCAGTTACCCATGAAAGCTTGCTAAGTAGAATGCCCTCTGTTTGAAGGGGAAGTAAGTGCTTTAAGAAGTTGAATGGATTGGTTGACCAGAGCCTGTGGGATTGTGAGGTTTTCCTACTAAGAATAGGTGGAGGAGGAGAGACAGGTTTGGAGCTGTAAGGGCGAAGAGAAGAAGGGCATTTTCTGTTTTTGGTCCAGGAACTGAGCTGGGGATAACTCCTTGGAAAATAAGAAAAAAATATTTTTGTTGTTCAGTTGGGAGGTCAAGCTGTGTGGTATCCATCAGATATTTGATGGGCTTAGTGCCTAATTCTTCTATTTTTGGAAACATGAAGCAAGCTTCATGCCCATGCCCAAACAAACTGGGGGGTAGCTGCATATATATATATATATATATATATGTATAGAGAGAGAGAGAGAGTAAGTAGGGGTATGATTGTCATTTCTCATTTATTGTTGAATTTTGCTGATGAAGAATAAAAATACTAAAACCTAGTGATTAGATGGCTGGTCTTGAAGACGTCATGCGGTTTGTTGAAAGATGATGGGGAGCTCATAGATCATCATTATTAAGCATTGACCGAGGAGGGTTATAATATTAGAAATATAAACAACAAATACACCCCTTAGGATTAAAAGTGTATTTTAAACTTAGGTCAATAAGAACATAATTTGAATTATAAAAATACCTCTCATATTTACTATATTTATAGGTAAGCTATCTAGAATAAGTAATAATATTTCAAGGGTAGGCTTTAGCTATAAATGACAATTTTTTACTTAGAATAAGTAGCATATACTTTTTAACCTTAACAACTATATAGGTAGATTGGGGCCCACGAGAATCCCTATGAAAGCAAGTCTAATTAGGCGTTGACTTGAGCTCAAGCCCCTGGTTAAAGAAGCAATGACCCATTGACCCCCCTTCTCTCCCCTATTACGTCTAGGTGGGAGGCCATTATGATGACTAGAAAAGGACCCTTCAGTCTTTTTAAGCAATTTAATAAAGTAGAAATGATATTAGATGGAGTAATCCACAATTCTTCATTTAATTTTTTAAATAGCATTTGTTATTTCCAACCCATGTTATGTAAAACCAAGTAAAGGTGAGGAAATAATGTAATTAAATTAAAGGGTATTAAGCTATTATGGATATAAGAAATCACGGTCATTCTATCCTATTATAGATATTTAGGCTCCATTGCACATTATTCAATGAAAATAAATAAATAAATAGAGATGGGAAAATTAAAATACGAAAATTAATTTTAGAAGATTGTCAACTGTTGGAGCTCCTCCTCTTACACCCACATCTAGAAAGCCCCAAACTTTGACTTTAGGTTATGCGGTTTGAAGCCCTAGCGTTGACTAGATATGATGGGCTGGGGGATCATAATGGGCCAAGGTGCCCTCCCACTCTCCCCGACCCTTCGAATTGTTCTGCTCTGATGTGGTAGATCCTGATCTCTCTCTCTCTCTCTCTCTCTCTAAGATGAAAGTTGGAGCCCGTCTCTAGGATTTTTCTTCATGGCTCAGGAGTTACGATCCAGCTTAGGTTGGGGTTGACAAAACCCATATTTTTCTAGTTGACCTCCTCTTTCTCTTAGTTAACGAATTAAATGTAAATATGAAAAGATATAGGTGTTTAGTGTCATTAAGCGCTTTACGGAATGGACAATTTTGAAAATATTCTCGACGTAAGCGCTGGGAGAGATTCTCTCTCTCTCTCTCTTCCTTTTTTTTCTCCTCTTTTTCGCCGAAAGGGCGTTGACGGCTTCGCGGGGGGGCAACCCCTTGACTGTAGCAGAAGATCACGTGTGGCACGTGCGCGCTGCATGCAATTACGCGTAGGGAGATCGAGGAATCGTCCGCCTTTGTTTGTCGGAACGAGACTGAGATCTCGCAAGTGTCCAGATGGGGGATCCCGTTTTACCCCAAGAACGAATCTCTCTTTTCTGTGAGCATAGAAAGAGGGGGATAGCGAAGAGGAGAGCAGGAGAGAGAGAGAGAGAAAGCGAGGGAAAGAGAAAGAGGGAGAGAGAGAGAGAGAGGAAAGGAGGGGAGAGAAAGAGAAGAGAGAAGAGAGAGAAGAGAGAGAGAGAGAGAGAGAGACCAAGGAATGGAATGAGAATATTCGAGAGCCACTAACAAGCGAGTTCTGGGCCTCAGCAGCCCATGCGAACCCACCCCACCTGATTTTGAAGACCATTCATTCATATTCATTCATTCGTCTGATTCTCTCTCCTCATCACCAACTGCCAACTGATTCTCTCTTTCTCTCTCTCCTCTGTGTCTTCCTTCTCTCTCTATCTCTCTCTCGGTCTCTATCTGTCTTTAAACTCGCACGCGTATTTCTTTTCTCTCTCGCTCTCTTCTCTCTCCTCCGTCTCTCATCTCTCTCTCTCTCTCTCCGGAGAATATGTGACGAAAGCATGGGGGATCGGACCTTGCGGCTGTCTCGAAGAGAGAGAAAGCAGATGGAGACCCCCCCCCCTCTCTCTCTCTCTCTCGCTCTAAGATTTGATTCCAGGGAATTATTCGTATCTTCTTCTTCAACGGTGAGCAGCATTTTGGCTTTAAGACCTTACAAAATATCTTAATTATTATTAACCCAAAATGAATTTATAATTGAGTAAAACGCCTCTTAAAGTCATCAAAAAGGCACGAACTTGGGTGAGCAGCATTTTGACCTTAAGACCTTAAAAAATAATTTAATTATTATTAACCTAAAATAGATTTATAATTTAATGAATCACCTCTTAAAGGAATCTAAAAGGCACGAGTCCCGAAATGCCTCTTCGGTGAGGAGCATTTTGACCCTAATACCTTGTAAAATCCTTTAATTGCTATTTACTCAAAATATGTTTATAATTAAATGAAACGACTCTTTAGGAAGGCATGAGTACCGAAGTGCCTCTTCTTCAACGTGAACATAATTTTGACTCTTAGACCTTCAAAATATTTAAATTATTATTAACCCAGAATATATTTATAATTTAATAAACCCCCTCTTTAAGTCTTCTGGAAGGCACGAGTGAGTACCGAAGTGCCTCCTCTTCAACTGTGAACATAATTTTAACTATAACACCTTACAAAATATTTTAATTATTAAGCGAAAAATATATTTATAATTCAATAGAAACCCCTCTTTAAGTCATTGGAGGGATAAGTACCAAAATGCCTCTTCTTGAACGGTGAGCACCATTTTGACTATAACACCTTACAAGAAATTTAATTGCTACTTAACATTAAATTTGTTTATAACTCAATAAAACCCCTCTTTGAGTGCATACCAAAATGCCTCTTCTTCAACGGTGATCAGCATTTTGACTATAACACCTTACAATACATTTAATTTCTATTTAACACCAAATTAATTTATAACTCAATAAAACCCCTCTTTAAATGTTCTCGGAGTACCAAAATGCAGACTTTACCCTTGTGAGATGGCGTGATGTAATAGTCTTCATCATATAAAAAATCTACGGTTGAGATCATCTGGGTTTGAATTGAGGATGTGTGGATTATATGAGATAAACACCACCTGATATGTTGTCAATGAGGCTAGATATTGAGAGAATGATTAGATGCCCGATTTATTATGAACTATATTTCCCATAATAAATATAAAAAATGCCAGAAAAAAAATCCTGAATCATTCATCTTTTATAATTTCCTAGAAAATAAAATAAAATATCATACAATATTGTTTTAAAGTGTGAACCCGTTTTAAGTGGTAGGGGAGGATAAATAGTAAGAACTGAGTGGTACACATGGGCGTCATGGAAAAAAATAAAAGAGAGGACTTTATGAATAATTCAAAGCTCATGGAAGGTGGGCTAACCTTGAATAATTCTTTTATAATATTAAGATATAGTTTTTTTATGTAGTTTCATGGAATTGAGGGGCCCCCACCTCCCCCAGAGGCAATTCATCAATGGCGGGTAGGAAGTGCCAGTGCTGGTGCGAGATTCGTGGCGACGCTGTGTGCGGCGCAGCGGAGCGGGGGCGGCTGCCAGGTGGGCCCGATCCCACATGAACGAGCTCGTCGGAGCAAATGACAAGGGGGGGAGGCGGGGGGGCGCGGGGGTGGCGGCTGCCGGCATCTGATTGGGAAAGGAGTCAAATGGGCCGCGTGAGCAGTCGCTGGTGATGGCGTCACGTGGAGGGGCGAGGGACAAGGGGAGGCGCCGATTCTCGTTGCCATTGTGTGCTGCTTAGTTTGCCGCCGCTGCTGTTGCTGTTGCTGCGAGTTTCTCTTTCTGGCGGTTCGGATCTCTCCGATCTCATTTGGGTTTTTTTGCTTTTTCTTTTGGGGTCTGGGTTTTCTGGTGAGATTCAGATCGCGGTTGTTCTCTTCAAGAAATGTTTGGAATCGTTTTTGTGGCGGTTTGGATGTTTGTGCTTATTTAAATCGCAGTTTCATTGAATCTCTTCTAATCTGGGTCCGCATTGGATAGGCAGGGGGGTGGGAGGTGACGGTGTTCGCTGGTCGAGGCTGCGCCGTCTCGCCTGTCCGTTCACTGCATCGTCGCCCCTCCGTCGGACCATTTCTCTCCGAATTTGGGGACGTTGGCGAGGAGGAGCTCTGTGGAGCCGTCGATATGGGGTTGTGCTCCCAGGAAGAAATCCGGGAGCTTAAAGCTCTGATCGACGAAGGTGTGTGCGCCGTTGCTCTGAACAAATGACTGTCCATTTTTCCTGATTAGAATTGGCCTTTTCTATTGTGGAAGGCTGCGGCCTTCTTTTTTTCCTGTTATTTTAACTTAATTTTACTTTCATTATCCGGTTTGGCAGCTGACGAGAAGCTCCAAAGTGCGTTCAAGGTGAAGTCTTCGAGCTTTGCCTCGGTCACTTTTCTGCTACTTGTTTCTGGATTGGATCTACTGATCGGTGTCTGAATTCTGAAGATCTAGTGAACCCCCACGGGGACATCTGTGCTGCTCTGTTTTTCTGGAAAGTTCTGAGTTTTGATCTATTCTTTTGACTTCAGTAGTCAGAAATTGAGTTTTGACCAGTAAAACCTACTCAGCTTATCCGAATTTTTGTTTATCTTGAGTTTTTGATCTAATGCTGCATGATTGTATGGAGGTAGTACATGGGTCTTTCTATCTACTTGGTGACTTTGACCTCAAGTCCCTTTTTTTCCTAAAAAAGAGAGTTTCTGCTAGAAGCGAGGTCTTAGATTCTATAGCGCTATGATGTCTCTGTGGTGACACCGAAGAACAGAGCTTGCAGCCATAGTTTCTGTAGAGGATATCATAGTCAACATCTTTCTCACTTCCTGTATTCGGATGACCAAATTTCTTGTATTTGGTGCTTCACTACTAATTCTGATTCCTAGAATAAGATTTTGTCCTTCTCTCTTTACCACCTCAGAGGGATTTAGCCATAAGTTCTGTGATTGTCTTCATCACATCTACTTTTTCTCCCCCATTTATGTCAACTCGTCTGGTCACAGAGGTACATCAGCTCTGCATACTTCAAAAAAAGGTCCTGTATGTTCTTTTAATAGATTTATTTGCACTCACATTTCCCTTAAAAAATCCTGATATAGTTCGTAGTTACATGATAAAATATTGAAGCCATGGGGTGTAACTGTGACTCATGTTTTGTTTAGGAATAGAAGGAGTGATTCAATGAGACTAGTCAAGATGCGACTTTATATTAGTGAATATATATTGTTTTGACCTACCATTAATGGCTTGTCATCATTCATATGTTATTTTGTATAACTCACCAACGTGATAGTATATGTTATTAAAATAGCTTATCTCCGGATAACTATGTTGCCTCAGGGAACTTACATCATTACTCGATGCCTTCATTTATTGATGGGTGCTGATGACGCATTTATGCTGAAACCTTTACTACTAGTATTTTATCATCTCGACGTGATTTATTCTAAAAGTAGCGTATTTGCTTTCTTATCAACTAACGGAAATACCTGTAATTATAGTTTTATGACTGTTGGACAAGGTTTATAGATATGGCTTGATTATTTTAATGGGCTTAGCTTTGTAGTAGATTCAGGCATTTCAGAAAAAAGAGAATGATTTTTGATCTTTCATCCGTTGAAGATAACCATTTTATGTGCTACGATTCATCCAATTTTATCATCCAGTTAAAGCGAGAGTCTTTGATTGTATTTCACTAATCATTCCTTTCACTGAAATATCTGGGTCAATGTTTTCATCAAAGTCTTATTTTCTCCTTTGTAGGAATTTCAAACCCGGTAGTCATTTATCTTTTCATCAATTCTTCCTTTCATATGTAAGGCGTTTTAAATTAACAAATTAAACGAAACGTCGAAATCGATGACTATGTAATTTGTTCAACCGGAGCTGTAAGCACAGTACCCCTCTGTAGCAGACCTGCCGGAATCTTATCCATGCATGACATCAATGCCATCTCTTTGAGTTTCGACTCTGTCTCTTAATCCTATTTTTAAGTTTTTTACGGTTTGAGTTTCCCCCGGTTTTGGAAATTTTGTGTATAACGTTCACAGAATTTTTATTTTGTAATATGTTTTGAAGTTGTGAGTTCAATTGCTTAAATGCTATCAGAACTAGCGGATTTGAGTTTCAACAGACGTGCTTTTAAAAGTATGCATCATCCACTAGATCCAAAGGTGCTTTGGATCAGCAGCAATTCAGGGGATGCCCAGCTACTGTTTTTTTCTATTGCGGATGAAATGTTTAGGAAACAGAGCATATAAATGCCATAGACTGACTTTGGCTTTGGCGTTTTCAGGCTTTGCACCAAGGATATCCAGATGAAACTCTTATTCGCTTTCTCAAGGCAAGAGAGTGGAGTGTCACCAAAGCACACAAGATGGTTAGCATGGAGATTTGCGTTTGCTGTTTGGTTTGATTATGTTTCAGAGAAAGTTCGTAAGGTTTCCCCCAGTAACCATGGATACTCTCTTTCAGCTGGTGGATTGTCTAAGTTGGAGGATAGAAAATGAGATCGACCAGATATTAGCTGTGAGTAATAGTACAGCTCACAATTATATTTTGAAATCTTTCCATGTTACTCCTACACCGAATTTCTTTTATTTTCTATTTACTCGTTTGCATTTCATTCTTGTTCCATCACCATTGCGTGTTTAAAATCTAGTAGATTTATTTACATGGTGCATAATTTTCTTTGAATACTGCACAGTCCTTTCGAAAAATCGAAATAAATTTTGTAAAAGTCAAAAGAAAAACTTTATATGCTAACAGGTGGCAGAAACACCTTTTGGCCCATATCATATACCCGAGGAGCGACTATACATCTACTTACTCTCGTATATGAATTATTAGATGACTTTCTGTGAATCATCTTAAGTAAGAAAGTTTAAGTTTTTTTTTCCACTGTTGCTTTTTCCTGAATTATTCAAATATATATGTTTCTTCCTGGTAATTTATTTATACAAGATATACGTTTTCTTTTGTGCAGAGACCTATCGTTCCACCTGATCTGTACAGAGCCGTACGGGATTCCCAACTTGTGGGATTGTCAGGATACTCCAAGGAGGTAGCGAATGGGTTTTTCGCTTCAGTTCATCATTCTTGGAAAACCCATTTTCCCGTTATCTCACTTCAGTTCATAATTTTGTTTTGACGTCATGTACGCAGTATGAACTTTCTAATTAATTATCGGATCGCATTTAAGGCCATGAATATATACATATATATATATTTATTTTCTTATTACAATTACTGTTTGAGATCGTCAGGCCTGGTAGTGTCTTGATTGGTTAAGGTTGAGTATTTTCGAGAGATGATTTGATAAAAACCTTGTTACTTCATAGTACTAAAGTTATCCTTTCAATCTTTGTCACATCTTTACTTGTGTTTTAATTCATTATTTCCGTACTTCTTTCTCACGTAAGGTACAAGTCTTCTTCTTGCTTAAGCTTTTGAATGATTGTCCAATGGGCACAAGCCCTTATAGTAATTTAGATGGATTAAATTCCTTTAAGCGGTGTCTGGGGTACATAGCTCTGCTGCCTGTGCTGATCATCTCTGTGGTTTAGTATAATTTCGTCTAGTCTTAAACCAGGAGAGGTTCGAGATGAATGATTCAGAGTCATTTCGATATAAGTTCTTTATGTCAAGAAATTAAAAAAAATCGCTTATCATTCTGAAATACTACTTGGTACTTGTGAACCAAATTATTGTTACAATGCCCAACCTAATGCTGTGTAATCAATAGATTCTTCCCATTCACATGCATTTTCTGGGCAAACATCTGATAAATACTGGCACTCATGTGGACCTAATTTGTCCTAAGGTTTTTATCTTTACGATCATTCCAGCCTGTTAATCCATTCTTTTACCTTTTTCTGGCAGGGGGTTCCTGTGTTTGCGTTGGGTGTTGGATTAAGCACATATGACAAAGCGTCTGTAAGAAATTTGTGATCTCAGACCGTGCTTTTTGTTTGTGAAGCATGCTATGGATTGCTCTCCTATGGCTGATTGAATTACGTAGCTTCTAAGGAATATGATGATATAGATTAATACAATACTGCGTAATTAGGTTAATGTGATATAGATTTATGGTCCTAATGAGACGAACTTGATCCAGATTAGGATCCAACTCTTTGGATATCAGAGAAAGGTCAAAATTCATTTTAAGCAAAATAAAAAGTTCATATTTATAATTTAGTAAGCAGTTTGGGGGGATGGTTCCTGTGCAGAGGAAGTGGAAGTCATATGATATATATGACTTCCTAACGATTGAGGCTGAGATAAATATGATATAGAATTATTTTTTTCCTGCCAAATATCTTGTTGTTAATATTTTATCACTGCATCTCAGTTTTTGGAGATTGGTTTCTCTCTGATTGGTTGTCCTACACAGGTGCACTACTATGTACAGTCACACATTCAAATCAACGAGTATCGGGATCGTGTAGTATTGGTTAGTTCTTCCCTTCAAAAATGGCAGTAAAATAGTAATTATTTTCCTTTTTTTCTTCCTGTATGGTGAGTCAACGCTCCCTTGCAGCCTGCTATTACAAAGAAGTATGGGCGTCACATTGGCACTTGTCTGAAGGTTCTGGATATGACTGGTCTAAAGATTTCAGCATTAAGCCAGATTAAGGTTTGTGGAATGAATCACTTTAAGTGCTCGGGTTGGCATTTGATGCGAGATAAACCATTTTTTTACCGTATTTTTCTTCGCTAATTGGGTTATTTTATTATCCATTAATATATTTTTTAAATGGAGACATTTTTGACTTATTATTACTTATTTCCTACTGAATTGCCATCCTCAATGAGAATTATTATTAATTGCAAAAAAATTTCTAATATTATGTTTATATTGATTTTTCTTAGACGAGAAGATTGGAATGGGCCTTTATGAACTTCACTTGCTTGTGTTTCAGCTATTGACGATCATTTCTACTGTTGATGACCTTAACTACCCGGAGAAGACGGATACTTACTATATTGTGAATGCCCCGTATATATTTTCAGCATGCTGGAAGGTAGGCTTCATCTGAGAATATTCATCCATTTATTTATAAATCCTTTTTATTATATTTTCCATGGAGATTCACTCCCTGGTCATCTTCAAACACTGGCAGGTTGTGAAACCGCTGTTGCAGGAGAGAACCCGGAAGAAGATCCAGGTTCTTCCAGGCTGCGGCCAAGAAGAGTTGCTAAAAGTAAGCTTGCACCTGTTTTTCATTAGGGTAACAAGATCGGATTTAAGAGAAAAATTAGGATTGACTTAATGGTTTTATATATTAATTTTGCCCCATTTATGGGAATTCTGTCGCTGATTTGATCATCTGGGTGATGGAGTTTCTCAGATTAGGGTAATTCAATCTAGTTTTAGGGAAGAAAAATGGGTTGACTCGATCACATGGTATGCTTCACCGATTCTATCATCCGGATTAGCTCGTCTACTTCAGAATTTCGGTGATATAGTCAAACTTTATTGAAAACATAGGCTTGGTTCAGTCATCTCATTTGATGAAAGCTGGGTTTGACTGATCTCTTCGTATATTAATGCTGAAATTCTGAAAGGTCTCAGCTAAATTCTGTTTGCATCCAATCACATTAATAAATCAGGTGATGGATTCATCGTCGCTGCCCCATTTCTGCCGGAGGGAGGGCTCGGGTTCATCACGATACTCAGGCGGCAGCGGCAGCGGCCGCGGCGGCGGCAACTGCTTCTCCCTGGACCATCCCTTCCACCAGCAACTCTACAGCTACATCAGAGAGCAATCGCAGAGGGCTCGTCCTGCTGAGCTGGTGTCAGAGGGCTCCTTCCACGTGGACGTGCCTGAGCTCGATCTCGAAGGGTCAAAGATCGCTCGAACGATCGAGTGTGAGCTCCACAAGTTTGAAGATCAGAACGGCCTCAGCAAGTCGATGAATGGCCTCGTGATTTCCGGCGACTGAGATTGGACCCACATCTGTTCTTCATTTCTTGCAGCCAAGTTGGGCGCTTGCAATGGCTCGTTGCAGAGGGTCTGATGGGCTCTCACCCCCAATTTACTCTGAAGAGAGAGAAAGATAGAGAGAGGAGAGGGAGAGAGGGAGAGAGAGAGAGAGAGAGAGAGAGAGAGAGAGAGAGAGAGAGAGGATGGATGTAGCTGATCCAATATGCAAGAACTTAGCTGGATCATGTGAAATCAAGCAGGATTTGGGCTCATAGTATCTGATCAATTTACTGCGAATTATGAGCTGACCCGCCTTTGTTCTTCATTGCAGCCATGGTGGGTGCTTGCATTGACTCGTTGCAGAGGGTCTCATGGACTCTCAGCCCCAATTTACTCTGAGGAGAGAGAGAGAGAGAGAGTGAGAGAGGCTGGATGTGGGCTATCCAATATGCAGTAACTTAGCAGGATCACGTGAAATCAAGCAGGAATTTGGTTGGTGAAATCTGATCAATTTACTGCCAATTCTGATCACGTGGGTCCCACGAGAGGTGACATTCGGCACAGGCTTGGGCTGGGCTTCATGGAATTTCGACCCAAATTGACTTTGGGCCCAGTTTGTGAATGGACCGTGGGCCGAAACGGTGAGGAAGAGGATAATGACGTCAGCTGAAGGGAGGATATTTGTCGGCGGTGGATACTCTTTGCTTGTTAGTCCATCAACGTTGGCGCCGGCCTAGCGGCGGATTCACATTAGTATTTTGTAGGTATAAAACTTTATTAAATTATTCAGTGAGGACATTTTCATAATATATAGCCCTTTTCCACCTCCGGTTGGAAATATAAGTAGGTAATTCGTAAATTCATCAATTGAGGGTAAATTTGAAAATGTATTTAAATGATACTTTCTCTATGGTATATAAAGATATAAAAAAATTAATGGGATTTTTCTCATAATTTTGAGTATTAAAACCTCAGGACGGTGTCGTTTTCCAAAGTTGGGTGATTTTGTAAAATTCATCAATTGAGGGTGAATTTGAAATGTATTTAAATAATGTATTTTCTACCGTTATGCATATCTATTAAATAATTAAATTAATGGATTTTTCATAATATTAGGCATAAACACCCCACGACGGGGCCGTTTTCCAAAATAGGAAATGTCAGTTGGGCGATTTGTAAAATTCATCAATTGAGGGTGAATTTGAAAATGTATTTAAATAAAACGAAGTAACTTAGTTTATTCTGCGTATTTTATTTATTTATTTATCTTCGTTACCCGCCAAGAGCGCCCGACTATAAATTCCAGCCTCTCCGGCTTCTTCAGTGTAGGCTGTCTCAGGAGTTGGGCGGGAGATGGGGGTGCTTTCTGCTCTCGCTGCTCCCTCCATGGCGGACGTCTCCAGAAGCTCTCACACATACCTCCTCCCTCAGTTCCCACGGAACCTGGCGAGTTACAGCTCGGCGCTATGCTCCTTCTCCACGACTTCGGAGCTGCAGAGTTGGTCCTCTGAGTCTGGATTCCAGTGGCGGAAGATGGCGGTTGGTAGGGTGGAGGTCCGGGATCGGAAGCGGAAGAAGATTCCATTTTCTGCTTCCTCTTCGGCTATAATGTCGTCCAAATCGGTGAGACTTTCCTCTCGATTGCATTTAATAGTTTGATGGCTATTCATTGATGAATATCCTGTAAGGTTGAGCGTACTACCGGGATCGCGTAATGTTGATAATGATGTGTGGCCTGAAGAGATGAAATCTCTTTTTATGTGGCATATTTGCTCCTCGTGGTTTGCCATTTGGAGTTTCCTTTATGAGAGCTTTTTTGTTATCCAATTGTGCTTGCATTTTGTAAGCTAGTGTTTTTGTTTGAATCTAATCTACTTAACGCACAAGGAGGTAGAAAAACAGAGACACAAAATTTATGTATATATGCATATATATATATATATACATATATATGTATGTATCGAGAGAGAGAGAGAGAGAGAGAGACCCCTATGTATGGATATGTGATTAGGATTGTACGAGCTTCTCAATTACGACAGATGGTTTTCTTGGACCCTTTCAGCTGTTTTTCCTGATTTTACAGCATCTGTTGTTTCTATTTTCCAATCCATGGTCACATCCCTTAGGGAGAGGGGGTGTGCAGGGTCTTTTTATTTCTTTTTTGTGGTGTGTGGGGGCGAGAGTTGGTTGTATTGGGAGGGGGGCGGTCAGTCATTGGGAAGAGGGGGCCTGCATCAGCCATTGACGATTCTGATATCAATCAAGATCAGATCAGATTTGTTGAATCAGTCCCCTAACACAGTGAAAAGAGCCTACCGAGTCAGACGGGGGTAGCAGGCCAAAATGGAAAGGGTCAATAAGGCCCAAATAGAAACTCAGAATGGAAAGAGTTGTTAACACCTTGGATTGGCCAATAATCTTCAGCCGATCCAGTCCTCATTTTCAGCCGATCCAGCTGACCCAGGCAATCTTGAGCCATATGAGGTCGCATTTTCAGCCGATCCAGCCCTCTGAGCACAAGCTAGAGCCAACCCAGATCGGATCAACCTAACCCGAGAATGGGGTCTCTTGATTTGGCCAGTGCAGTCTCTTAAAAACTATATATAAACTCACAAATATCATCAGGTTGGGCTGACCTGAGAACTGGGTCTCTTGATTCAGTTGGTCAATCTCTTTAATGTGACCCGTGAAGTTGTTCTGGATCAGGTCGGATTGACCAAGAACCACATCATGGATTTTGCTGATCCAATCTCCAAGATCCTAGGAGAGCTGGTTGGATCAACCAATAATTGGTTTCATAGAATCGGATCGATCAGTGCCAATTCTGAGCAATATTGATTGAGAAACAATTGGGTTCATAGAACTGGATTAATTTGTGACAATGCTGAACCAGATTGATTGGGCCAATGTCTGATGAAAGCCTATCCATAACTAGCTGAACAGGTTTAATTGATCTGGGCTGTGATCCTCTAAATTTTTTTTGCTTGAATCTAACATTTGTGACCACTCTCTTGTCTGGGTCCCACGAGAGGTGTCATTTGGGCTGGCTTGGGGTGGGCCTGAAGGGATATTCGGACTAGTAGCTGTTCGAAGTGTGAGCTCAGTTCTGGAAAAGTCAGGAAAGGAAGAGCATGGGTTTTTCCTTTCGAATACAATGATGGACCAATTTTTCAGGTCTTCTCAGTGGGTTGTGCACCAAGGGTGTATTGATCATGTAAGCGAATGATGATAATGATCTCGTTTCTGTGCAGATACGCTATTTTATTTCTTTTTTTTGCTTTAATCTGTCAGTGAATATCTCATCTCATCTCAAGTCAAGCATTGAATTAATGATAGACTTTTAATAATGTTTATCATATTACATCAAATATCAGTTATAACTAGTTTTTGATATATTGTTGATGCTGCTAGTTTCCCCTTCCTTAATGGAGTCCATGAAAAAGTTATATTGAATTGTAGGTTACTTTTTTAAGTTCTTATTGCTGCTGTTTGTCCTTCAGAGGGGTAGTGATGATTTTGGGGGAGGAAGTGTGAAGATAGCCCCAGATGTTTATCATGCACTTTCGTGTGGGGATCCTGTTGTTGCCCTGGAGTCCACAATAATTTCTCATGGTAAAGTTTTTAAATTAGTTGGTGAGAAGGTCACATTTAATACTTTATGACTGATATCTTTTTTTTCCATTCAGACCTTATTTTGTATGTTTGATCACACTATGATAGAGATTACCTTATTTTGTAAATAGCACAAGTATATGGTTAAATACTTGCGGGTTAATTTTCATTTTCTTGCCACTATATTCAGGCATGCCATATCCACAAAATTTGCAGACCGCAAGAGAAGTTGAAGCAGTTATTCGGGAAAATGGTGCTATTCCAGCAACAATTGCTATTCTTGATGGTGTCCCGTGTATTGGTATATCTTCTCGCATTGTCATGCGATTATTCATGATGTGGGAGCTAAATGTTATCTTTTATTTCCATGTGAATGTTTAGTAGCAAATTGTGCGTCTATTCATTTTTTTCTGTTGAAATTGATTGTTTTATTAAAGAGAAGGCATTTTTGGAAGAGATGTTAAAATCTTCAGTTATTAACTCTATGGGGTGATCATTGGGGATTTCATGGAGGATCTAATTTTCTGTTGTTTTTTTTATATGAAATATGAAACGGAGAAGGATAGATTACGGATTCATATTTTCACTTAGTTTTCTAATAAATTATTTAACTAATATTATTTCTTCTAGAGTCTGGCGTGTGTTGAAGGAAATAACATGCAATAAACTAGTCATGTATTGATAGAAATTCAGAACTCGAGAAGGTTTTTTTAATGTATTGTTACTTAATGTTGAAAACTCCCTGACCAGGTTACTTAGTGTCCTTTATGTGGAATTTTATTACAACACAATGATTGCTTTTCTCTGTTCATTCAATAACTACAAGGCTTAAGTACAAAAAAATGTTCTGCTAGGGATGGAGAAGACTTAAGGCTGGTGGATATACCACAATATCAATATTCACAATTGTTGTCTGTGTGCCGCTTACTTCTTTTTCTTTTCCTGACATCTTTATTTCAAATCCAAATATGATTTTTATATACATTACTGAGGCTCCTGGTAGGTCTGAGTGAGGAGGAACTAGAGAAGCTTGCAAGCCTTGGCAGAAAAGCTCAGAAGACAGGACGAAGAGATATATCACAAGTAGTGAGTAGCATGATTTTCCTCAATCTCTTTGTAGCTTGAAGCGTTTAATAACTCAATTTTTATTACCATAAAATTAAAAATAATATCGGGATGGTTTGTGATATTTGACATTCTTCAACTGAAAAATAACGGTTTCCCTGTTCTTTTCACAAGATTCTTGTCCACTTGTCTTGGTGTTGACTTTGAGTAACCCTAAAAATCAAGTTGGCTCTAGCAGCACTTGCCCTCGGTGATTTCATCTGGTAAAGTTTTGGTACCCATGTTTTTCACCGGTTTTATCACGCAGGTCAGCCTGATATGGCTTCAATACCCATCTTTTTGTGGCTTTAGGTGTGGATTTTTAGGCAAGATCCTCCTCTTCAGTTCTAGTGTCTTCATGGATGTTAGTTACACTTAGATACTTGTACTTCTAAAGCTATCTATAACTTAGCATCTCTGTTTAAAAATTACAAGTAAAAATAGTAAAATTGAATAGGTTTTCCATGGGAGTACAAACAATTTGGGGCGAATATGTATTATCATACATTGAAAAATACCAATTTAGAATGATATGCCTCATCAAATAGTTAAACTCTGAGTACAATATCAAAACGAAAATGATTGACAAAGTGGCTGGTTTACTTATGTCTACTGCTGAATTCATTGCTCATTTGACTGTTGGGTTTCATGATCTGTTTCAAATGATGGATAGATATCTGTGTTTCCAATATAAAGCATCACAAGAAGTATCGCAGGGTCAGCTGATCGCATTTGTTCCTTCACTTAAATCGTCTGGCTTTTTACCTTTTATCACCCTTCCACCTTTTATGATCAGGTTTGATTTGGATGTGTTTAGCATACATTTATCAAAAGAATCATCCAACATTGTTCCGGCTGGGTCCATCTTTGAATGGATCTTCAGAAACATGATTCTGCCTCACACATCATCAAGGCTTATAATCTAGTCTTAGTATTTTTCCACCATCAGTTGACAGTGATCCTTTGGATCGTTCGATTGTAATGAACATCTTCTGTATGCTCTCGGGAGCTGTTATGCAACGACTGTGGGTTTTCTCCCATAGAACATTCAGGCTATCGAGCATCAGGTTCTTTCACCTATTTGACTTCTGAGACGTGTTTCTACTTGCTTCTCCACTCCAGCTTCAAATTATTTCTGGGTGGAGTGTGTTTCTTGGACTCTATCATATGGGATGGACGCTCAGGAATCTTTTAGACCATTGGTAGCTTTAATTGCTTAATCCTTTCCTCATCTCTTACCATTTACGAACCTGGTTCCCATGTCATGCTGAATATGCGATAAACATATTCATGTTTATTGCATATTTCAGCATTACCTTTAATTTCTGACCGACAAAAGTTAGCTATCTACGCTACTTGACAGGTTGCAACTGGCAGAAATGGTGCCACGACAGTTTCGGCGACCATGTTTTTTGCCGCTAAGGTAATTAACTTCCACCTTTGACGTATACGACTTAACTTCTTTTCCTCATAAGTTTAGGTTTACACACATGCTGCAGGTCGGCATACACATATTCGTCACGGGGGGCATCGGAGGGGTACACCGACATGGAGAACAAAGTACGACCATTCATTCTCAGGGCGTTCCTCAGACTCACACGTGCGAGAAGATAATAGATGGATCGAACTTGTTTTCGTCACCATTATGCTGTAGTCTAAAATTTTGATTATAGACTGGACATGCTCCTGAATATTTCCATAGACCATTGGAAAACGTGGGACCGTTGACCTGTTTCACAGAAGTGTGGGGTGTGTGGGAATAAGTCATAGCCTCTAGACTTCGTGTAGGGCCACCTTCATGGGTTGGGGTCAGGTTAGGTAGCCATTATCAACTAAGAGCTAATTTCAAAGTGAGTTCAACTTTTACTAATACTTCTTTCGCTTAATGGACTTTGCAGCAATGGACATATCATCAGATCTGACCGAGCTTGGGCGCACTCCAGTGGCTGTTGTCTCAGCTGGTGTGAAATCAATATTAGACATTCCAAGAACTTTGGAATTCCTGGTACGCACCACTTGCTACATAAAGTTTGGTGACAAAAATGGTTGCATGGCTGGTAGTTATTTGCATGAATTCCTTAAATCAGATATCTTGGGGATATTAAATCCATTGGAACCCTGTATGTACGGCCCGGTTGGACACAGAGGGCGTAGTTTTGGGATCATGTTGAGAAGCTTAGGATACTCAGTCCTTTGAACAGCATAAGCTACTCCATGTGAGTGATTAAAACAATGACTGACCCTTAATTTTACTCTCGCTGTTAGATTATGTAATGCGCTAGGAACCTTTTTCTTAAGACACTGCTATTTCTAAATACAACAGGGGTTGACTTGAGATGGGAGGGGGGGCCTTTCAGTATCCATTGCCAGGAACAGATGCCCACTGGCGACTTCAACTTCCAAATGGGGTCTAAACGACTCAGGAGATCTGAAAGACCCAACAATGGGTCGACATTTTTACGTCTTCTCTCTGTGGGTTCATGATAAAAACGATTCAGGGATCAAAAAATATGAGAGAAACGCTGTATAGTTTTCATTGAATTTTCTTTTCCTGAAAATTAGTGGTGAAAATAGGTTAAAGGGGATCTGTTCCCCCTAATGGATCTTACAATTCCCATCAAATTTATGTGTTATTCTCTTGTCTTCTGATCCACAGGAAACTCAAGGAGTAACTGTGGCGGCATACAAGACCCACGAGTTTCCTGCATTTTTTACTGAAACGAGTGGATGTCAGGTACGGATTTATTTTCACCTATGAAAATACTTTGAAATTTTTTAAATGAAACGTGAAATGCTTCATTCGAAGTGTCTATGCATATACTTAGTCTAAAAGTTCCCTGATTGTATGAGCATTGCGAGAAGGATAATGAAAAAAATGTACCATATGATCTTTATAAAATTATTGTCTCTGGATGGTTAGAGTTATTCATTGCTTGCATCCTCCGATTCAGTGGGTTTAAGCTGTGTAATATCTGAATAATCCTTTTGAGATCCTCTGACATCATCTGCTATTAGATTTTGAACCCTGCGGATTCTTTTTAAGCCGGTATATTACTCCGACACTACTCATCCATTTCCTGAGACCAGACTCTTTTCGCCGGACGGTCCCGTTTCCATTTATAGCAAAAACCTTTAGTCTGTGATGTAATAATCTCTTCATAGTTTCTAATTTATATCAGAGAGTGTCCAATGCACCACATGTTTGGAGTTCTATGAAATGGGTCTGTTCTTACAAAAGGCCTTTGCCTGTAGATTCGCATAGTCAGTCATCGCTGAGGTAGCCAAATATGATTTGACTTCATTTGTTTATTTTCACTCCAAGTTCTCCAAGGGCACTTAATTTTTTAGAAATAGAAGGGTTGCAAACCAGCGAGAGAGAGAGAGAGAGAGAGAGAGAGAGAGTTAACAGGATAGTGGACCTGGTCTATTCCATTACTCCACCATTTTTCAAAGTGTCAGTCTTTGATGCTTAACTATTTCAGGTTTCTTGTCGCATGGACTCCCCTGAAGAATGCGCCAAGCTCATAGGTAACATCAATCCCTCTAACATGGAAAAATTATGTCGAACGCTTTCTGATAATTCGAGGCATCTCGAGGGACACTTTTTATGGATTTTTTTTTGCAGATGCAAGCCTCACGCTTGGGCTTGGGAATGGAACTCTAATCGCCGTCCCAATTCCAAGGGAGCACGCAGCTTCGGGGAAGTTGATGGAGTCTGCTATATTGAAAGCCCTCGAAGAAGCAGAGTATGGAACCTGTTTCTCTCTCTATTTGGACTCTGTCTGGTGTGCCAGCAGGACTGGGATGTCAACGGGCTGGGTCAGGCCGTTTGAGAGAGAGAGAGAGGGAGAGAGAGAAGTCGGGTCTATTTTTCTCTCTAGGCGTGTTTTTGAGGCGGAGGTTCAAAATAATCTGAGCTAATATTTGGGCCGAGCCCATTAACTTCCCTAAGATTCGAGTTCATTAACTGACGATGTCCTGTTCTTTTGGTTCCAGAGCGGAGAATATCACCGGCAGTGCGGTAACTCCTTTCTTGCTAGCACGAGTGAATGAACTGACAGGTGGAGAATCATTGGTAGCAAGTATCCTACATACCAGGATCTTTATTTGTGATTAATTTTAATGCATTTTATTTAATTTTATCCCTTCATGGTCAATATTAACCGGGTATCATCAGATGCTACTCCATCTTCTTCATTCTCGTCTGCTTCCTTGACCTAGATACAGACATTGCCCTCGTCAAGAATAATGCCCTCGTTGGAGCCAAGATTGCGGTGGCTCTGGCTGGGTTGAGGGGCGGGAGGATTTCAACGGTGGGTCCCACCTATTTCCTACATCGCCTTAATTTTTTCTCAGATATCTTAAGTAAATAATAATTCGGATTATTTTTCTAATAAAGTCAATTTCCCATCTTATCAAAGAATTCCCTTAGAAACGATGGGCTAGGGGCCCCTTCATCTCTCTCCGCTAATGAGAAGAATCTTATCTTTGGCAGGTGATCTGAAGCCAGGATTATCGATCTGCCCTTAAATAAGTACTTATCTTGGTGGGTTTTATTTTTCTGTTTTATTACCCTTGTTTAAGGGATAGAAAGAGAAGAGATGGTCCAAGGCTGCCGTAATTTCTTTGGACATTGGCCATTTTTTACCATTTTTTACCATTTTTTCCCTAAGCAGAGGTCAACGTTGACGATTTACTTTGGCTCAACTTGGTCGAACCCTCTATGAACTTGCCATATTTGTTTGTTTGTTTGTCTAGCTAGAGCTAGCGAGAGAGAGAGAGAGAGAGAGAGGTGTCGATGTAAACGATCTTGGGATAATTTATCTGCTAGACTTAGGTGCTAGACTGTACATGAGGTCTAGTTAGGCCCAGCTCAAATTAAAGTGGCCCTTTGTTGTGGTTGGACCAGGAGCCTCGAGGAATCCTCTAGGTTCGAGCGGGCCTGAGCCATACACTCAAATGTCCTTTTGGGCCCGGAATTTACCCGGGTTCTCTATTTTACGTGGAAAGGTTGAGTTTTTTTTAGCACAAATTACCCATCTTTATTATTCTTTTTGTTTTCTTTTCTAGATGAGCGTACTGATTGATGACGAGAACTTTGAGCTGAATGCAGGCGCGTTTCTCCATCGGCTCCCCTTTCCATTTCCCCCAGATGCTGCGCGCGGTTCTCCGCCCGGGAAGGCCGGCGCGGGCGGCGCCGGGGACTTCTCCGGCGGACGTGACGCGGCGGCGCATCGCCGGATGGATCCGGGAGATGCGGCGGCGCCGCTGGGACCCGCGGAGGGACGAGTTCTTCGTCCCGCTGCCCGAGTCGCCGGCGTTCCTCGACACCGCCACCATGCCCATGGTGCTCACCGCCGTCGTAACGGCTCTCTTCGTCAAAGTCCTCATGATGGTACGCCCTTTCTTCCTTCCTCTCCCTTCGACCGCCGAGTTCTTTCCCATCCTCCGATCCCTGTGGATTCCGACGGTTCTTCTATCTGGTTATAATCTCTCATTGGTTCTCATCCGAAGAACAGAATCATCTGCGGGCTCCTAATTCGGCATAAAATAGTAATACGAGAAATATATTTCCGATACAAACATTTTACTCAGTATGTGAATTTAGCGGTGGTGCATGGTTCTTCCTCACGCTGCTCCAAGCTCTCTCCTCGTGTCTCCTTTACTGTTCAAGGGGGGTACATAAGACCAGGAATAAAATGAGCACCGGTGTTTTATTATATACCCTTGACATGATATTATTGATTTTCTTTCTTTTTCTCGTCTCCATTTCCGACATAGTTCTGGCCTAAATAGCTGGAATTAGGGAGCCGGAAAAAAAATCTTTGAATATGAATTGGCGTGCTTTATTTCGAAAGTTTGACGAACAAGGGAGGGAGCAACTTAGGGAGTCGAGGAAGTTGTGTAGATTCTTTGAAACGAAAGTATCATTCGTATTATTATTTATTTACATTAATGATTGAAAAATAGTCCATTTTATTTCTTTTTAAATTGCGTCTTGTAGAACATATTTACCTACGACTTTATGCCTAGCGTGGGTCAGTATTTCTTTTCGACAAGTGGGCACGTTGACTTACCATGAGAAGACTATTTTTGGCCCTCGTCCCTCTGCAGGTCCTCTGTCACACATTAATCTGCTTAAACGTGCAATTTTTCAGACGTTATCTAGATTCTGGGGCAATTTAGCTGGAACTCTTCTGTTATTCCATTGGCACGGATTAATCTGACCCGAACCTGCAAATTCTCGGAGATAATCATGATCTTCTGTTTGAAAATCGTTCATGGGGTTGCTTGTTTTTCTCTGAGATATATCCTGAAGCTTTAGTTTAGTGAGAGAAACTCATCGAGTCGATTTCCCTTGCAGGTTGATGAATCCAAGGAGCAGGAGAGGCTGGAGAGGAAGATCCAGAGGGCCCCTGGTGGACAGGGCACCGTCAGGATGCTCACCCGTGAGGAATGGGAGGAGATTCAGGAAGTGAGGCCTAGGACCCCCTTCGAATCCCACCTCGCTCGCCCAAATGCCCGCATCAGGACCGGAGATTCGATGCACCTGGTGAGATCTTGGCCTCAATCCTCTCCCGGGTATTTCCAAAAATAGGAAAAAATAAAGAATAAAAGATGCAATAAATTTGAAATGGGGCCTTCATCGTTTCATGCTAATTTTTTGATTATTGATTATATTCATACTTCTTTTTAGTAAATTCTGTTCTTCCAATAGACTCTTGGGATCCCGGTCAGGGCTAGATCAGTAAGCCCATGGTTAAAACTTTGCTCGTCCAGCAAGGGACCCTGACCCTCCACCTGACATCTGACTCAGCAGCCACATTGGGAATCCTATCCACACAGCATGGCCGCTTGGATTAGCTAAAATGGCTTTCTTCTGATCTCCTACAGGAAGATGTGAAGGACTGGACCATTGATGTTCTCTCTGACGCAGTCACAAGGGCCCAAGAATGCGCCAAGAGCAGGTGACTTGATGACCTCTGTTGTGTGGAATGGGGGAAGGAACATGGAGCTCAGGATGACCAGGGCTGACTTTTTTTCAATTGGATCTAGATTCAGGTTTGATCCGGTTCTCATCTGGTTCTTAAGGTAATATGAGATTCGATCCTTGTAAAATTATTGATTTGGGCATTGGATTATTGATGATGAGCTTGTTTTAGAAAGGTTTGACAGTTTTAAATATCAATTTTTAACCTTAATTAATCATAGTTACATCTTGGATATTTGTTTATGGATCAAATCGAAGTCGGAAGGAATTTATTTTTAAATATCCTGTTTTGATTTGTTTTTTGGTCTGCATAAAATTAGCTGATTGTGAGATTGAATCAAGCTATGAAGGCCTTTTTGAGTTATCGATGAGTAACCTTTTTTTTTTTCAAGGTTTTAAATTAGGCAATTAATTATTATAGGGAAGTGATGTATTTGTGAATAGACAGGGAAAATGGGCCCAAGCCCAGTTTACCACCCCGCGCCCCCTTAAAAGGGGGGGGCAGATCAAGAAGTATCATGGGACTTTTGGGAGAGTGAGGGACTCTTAAACATGCTCTATTTGTGCTAGGGTTTCTCAACACCCTTGTTGATTGGGGCTCTCTATCTCATATTTCCTCTTTGGTTTCACCTACCCTATTAATTGACTTTGTCAGGACACATTGTCCTAACAAATGGTATTCGATCCCTCTTTCTCTTCCCCTTCCTCTAGGAGGCCAGCAAAGCACTGAGAAACTACTGCCCATCAGCTGAGGCTTCCATGTTAACCACCAAGGAGATGGAATAGAATATGGGCCACACTCTTAGCCAGTTGTCTTAGAAATTGGCCAAGATTGAGCAATGCTTGGAGGGTGTGGAAGCTTGACCCATTCTCAATCCTCCAAGTGAAATTGTTACTAGCTGTCATAGGGGGCTGTCATTGCACTCGAGAAGATCATGATCTTTTGTTTCACTCTCTCTCTCTCTCTCTCTCTCTCTCTCTCTTTGTCAAACCCTTCAACTAGCAGGGGTCTCATTTCACCAATGCTCTTCTCCTCCAGCTGCTAGATCAACCTCATTAGCTTTACCTAACTACTAATAAACCTAGGAAGCTTCTCCCTTGTGACTGCACCCATCAACATGCTTCCATCCTCTCAGCTCAAGCAAGTCTTGGCTCATTTATCTTCAATGACCAAATATATCTCAAGTTGAGACCTTATCGTATGACATCACTTGTATGTTGTTGAAATGATAAGCTATTCCTTACATTCTTCGAGACATGCTTGGTCTTGGAGTGAGTGGGAGTGACCTCCTATTGACTCAAATTACCATCAATGACACAAATCCACAATGCTTTCCATGTAATTACAATTGAAGTGTAGAGGTCAGCTGCAACACTAGAGCAAGGTCCTACCACCCCACTTGGATCACAATTTCACTTGGAAGGTGCAACTAGAAGAGTCGTTGAATACCTGTCAAATAACAAAAAGGTTCAAAGGTACTAATGTAATGAAACGATCGGCCCCATAACGAATCCACATGAGAGCAGCTCACCAAGATCTAACAACTCTTTCTTGAAGCACACATGGGGGATAAGGTGCTCAATGTGTGAGGACATTGGGTGTCACATGTCATACATAGATGGAGAAAATGGGCCCAAGCCCAATTTACCACCCTACCTACTTACTTAAAAAAGGGGGGTGGATCATGAAGATTGGGGCATCAAGAAGTATTATGAGACTTTTTAGAGAGTATGGGACTCAGAACATCCTCTATTTGTGCTAGGGATTCCCAATGCCAATGTTATCTCTTTACCAAATTTTCTCATTCATCTATCCTAGTAATCAACCTTGTTAGGACCTAGTCTCTTAAAAATATCATAGTTTCGAATCTATCTATTTTTTTCTCTATATATGTATATATACACGTACATGTGCAAATAAAATGAAATCAAGGAGGACTTTAGATATAGAAACCATTGTTTTGATTTGGTTTTCAAGGCTTTCTGATTTTTGATCTCCTAAAAAAAATAGTGTATTTTAGGGTATTGATTAAGCTTCATTGATTAATATATTTTTTAAGAGTGTATAAAAATCACACTTATTAGATATGATATTTGAGTCTATAGTCTAAATGTACATATGTCGATCAAATAATAAGGAGTACAAAGCAAATTATCCATATATAACAAACTTTTATGAGAATATAAAGCTGATTTTTTTTTCTTACTTTTTTGTTTGTTCCTAAAATGATAAGAGGAAGGAGATGAACATAGAGAAGCTTAATTATGGAATTATAATGAATAAAATAGTAGAAATATAGGCATTTTAATTTGATCAATTTATTTTTATAAAAATTGCATTAGGAGTGTCAATGGGCCAGGTTAGTAAGAAGTCCAAGGGCCATAAGAGGCTAAAGCTAGATTGTCTTGGAGAGAACGAAGCCTCTCACACATGGCAACTTACATGGGTGCCATAAGGCGATTTCTTTGGCCACGTCAGATCTTTAGGAAGGCCCAAATCATGTCCAAATACATTAAAAAAGAGAGGTTATTGAAAAACAATAGGTTATATGCACTCTGAAAGTTACTTAATAAAATATAAATATAATTTTTTTTGGGAGGATTTTAATGGAATATTTTAGGCTGATCACGCCACTTGCCTCGTTTAAGATATATTTAAAATTAATTTTTAGGATAAACATAGAAAATATATTCAAATAATATGAATTTTGTAGTTTACTCACCATTAGTTTTTTATATATTTTTATTACCCGGCACCAGCGCCCGACTATAAAAACCGCCCTCTTCGGCCGTGACAGTCTTGAGAGTGTCTGAGGCTGAGAGATAAGGCTGTTTCCTCTTCTTTCTCTGCTCCTTCCATGGCGGAGGTCTCCAGAAGCTTCCGCTCATCCCTCCTCCCTCAGTTCCCGAGGAACCTGAGGGGGAGTCTTTCTCGCCGGAGCGCCTTCTCGCCGGTGCTGCCTCGACGGAGCTCGGCGCGGTGCTCGCTCTCCACAGCTTCTAGCAGCAGAGCGGGAATATCCGAGGGCGGGGCCATCTCCTGGGGCTGCGAGATCGAGTCTCTGGAGAATGCGGAGGAGCTTCAGAGGTGGTTAACGGAGTCGGGACTTCCCCCGCAAAAGATGGGGATCGATCGGGTGGAGGTTGGGGAGAGGGGCCTCGTCGCCCTGAAGAACATCAGGAAGGGAGAGAAGCTTCTGTTTGTTCCCCCCTCTCTAGTTATAACGTCCGACTCGGTGAGAATTTCTTTGCGATAGTGTCATATAGTTTGATCAATACTAATTCATAAATTTCCCGTCAGGTTGCGCATAAACCGGGAGACCGCAGACTATAGATAATGATACATAGCACGAAGAGATGACATGTTTTATTTTTAACGTCGAATACGTGCTATTCGTGATGTGGTATTTGGAATTTCGCTTGTTCCAACTTGTTCTCGTATCCAGCTGCACTTACATTTGTATGCTTGTGATGTTGTTTGACTCTAATCGACTTAAATCACGAGGTTTGATAATGATTTTAAATCATGAAAGGATCAGTTGAGTCTTAGTTTCAGTCCACTCATCTACTAAGCGCTGGGATTACCTGATTCTTATCAACAGACTTAATGGAAAAGGTGATAGTATTTGGCAAAGTTAGTCAGTACTATTCGCAGTCGAAAACAAACAAATCATATTAGAAATCCGTATTGTACATAGGTAAAAACTGGAGTTTTTTTCTTTAAGTAAGAGCAAGATTAAGACATGGATGTGGCAGAGGGTCTGACAAGAGTACTGAGTCATCGGAAGAAAATTTAAAACGCTGTCTTGATTCTTAGACATGGTGAGACAACCAATATTGTGCAGCGATTCCATTTCTTGGCACATATTCTCGTTTAGTAATCGTGTCTTCACATTACCTAACTTGGTTATGTTTTTCCTTTTTCCGTGTGAGGTTCGAGAAAAAGGCTATGTTGGCCTATTTTCTGTTTTAGTTATGTGTTTGTGATCTAGAATGGAAGTCCTAAGTTATGGAACGTAAAATGCGCATTCATAATGTAAAAAAAGAGCATACAATTCAAAGAGCCATTTGTTTGACATATTCCTTAAAGGACCTCGTTGGACCCCTTTTTCCATGCTCATACATCATCATTTATGAAGTTTTGGGTGGCAGGAGTGGAGCAGTAAAGAAGCAGGCGATGTGCTGAGGAAATACCCTGTGCCAGATTGGCCATATCTTGCAACATACCTTATTAGTGAAGCAAGTGTAATGGGTTCTTCGAGATGGAGCAGATACATTTCGGCCTTGCCTCGCCAGCCATATTCTCTTCTGTATTGGTACGATTCTGTCGTTTTATTCTAAATCAATTCGTCGAGTTGTATAGAGTCCACATTGGCCACGGTGAACACTAGACGTTTTGTGGTTACCACTACTTGGGAGTCTACTCTCAGATTCTTTTCTCTACAGCATCTACATGTAATTACAGGACACGTTCAGAACTGGACACCTTTTTGGTAGCTTCACCAATAAGGGAACGGGCTATTGAACGGATTAATGATGTCATTGGAACGTACGTGTCTTTATCCATTGCTTATCCTAAATTCCATTCTCTTTAATTCACAGTTTTGTTTATATAGTTTTTTTTGGTGGGGTTCCTGCTGGCTCTACCTAGTTATGATGCCTAATTCCCACTTTCACAACTGAAAATTCTTTTGCAGATATAATGATTTAAGGGATCGGATATTTTCCAAGTATCCGAATTTATTTCCTGAAGAGGTACCTTTTTTATTCCATGAATAATTTTTCGTGCGTTAGTTTTTTTGTTCCAATTTTAATAGCAGTTTAGATCATGAAGCTCAAAACTTGGCTTCAGATATTCACGATCTGCTCAGTCACGGCCATTATATACTTTGCATATCATGTAGAGCTTTTCATTAACTCGCTTTCCATGACTCAATTAGTTAGATTAATCATCTTCCCGCAGTGAAGTTTGTTTTTATGCCTTTTTTTCAGGTATTTAACATCGAGACATTTCTGTGGTCCTTTGGAATTCTCTTCTCACGTTTAGTAAGTAACCTATCAACTCTTTGACATTGTCTGTTTTGAATATATCTGATCTGTTGTTCTTATATGTTTCTGTTTTGGCTGGCAAAGTTTGTTCAGGATTTACTGGATAGATTTTCGCTTGGTTTCTTCTTCAGTATTCCTATCCTATGTGCACATCTAGTACTTATGGGGTTCTGATATTTTTTTGATGAAACTATTTTTTTCTGATAATTTAAATTTTGTAAAGAGAGATGTCTGAAATATTGAAATGAGGTAGAGCTGAGTAAGTCTAAGTCACAACAGGGTCAATGAGATTTGACTTTATTTTTTTCACTTTCCAAGTTCTGATGCAATCCTGTGTCAGCCAACCTTTGGTTCGTTGTAATTGTCACTTAAAGTGTAACTGCAACTAGTAGGCGTTCTTATATCTAAAAATAACTTTTATTGCCTGTATTGATAAGAAAACAAAATTCGTAAGGATGATGATCATGTAACTGTAGCCAGTTTTCTTGCTTTTAAGCTTAGTTGGGGCTGTCAAGTGGTATAAGCAGCCTTTGCAGATGTGAACCTGGGTCTGATATTCCTTACAGGTCCGGTTGCCTTCAATGGACGGAAAACTTGCTTTGGTCCCTTGGGCAGACATGCTTAATCACAGCTCTGAGGTATGCTTGTTTATCATATTTCGTGGTGAGAATGCTAATTCGAAAAATGGTTGATTACAAAGAACTTGTTACCTGTACGGAGTGAGGTTTATATCTCCCTAAGAAACAGTTTTAACTGGCAATGAATATACTGAACCATCTATAACTGTTAAACTACTCTGCCTTAGTGTGTCATATGATGGTTTAGTGACTCACGTGACTGTCTTAGTGTCTTTTTTCCTTCTTAGTGTGTGTAAGGCTCATATGTCCAGATCCTTCCACGAGGGGTCTGATATAAATACCAGACCTCTGTTGTGAATTGAAGTAACAGAATCTTTCCCTCATTTTGAATAAAAGTTCCTTTCCCTCTCTCTACACGAGAAGGTTTTTCCCTCGAGGATCCAGAGGAATTGAAGGAGATTAGACAGTTAACAAAAGAGAGGAGGATGCCCAAGTGTTTTTAAGGATATTTTCTGTCACGAGAACATCCCACTTCATGAGATCCACGGTCTCAAGTATTGAACACCCTCATGCTGAACTATCCAACCCACTCGAGGTGTATCGTGGTGAAACCTTTGCTGCATTTACCTCTCCTTCTTCAATACTCCTCAGCAAATCATATCCTTGGAAGAAGTGACTCACTAATCTCGGATAGTTTCCTTGAGAAACACCATTTCATGCATCTTTTGCTTAACAGGAACGATTTCCACACGTTCCAAGGCCATGATCACATGAATAGTAGGTTACATTGACCTGAGTATCGTTTTCAGAGGACCCTATACAGGTCGGCAAAATAAGCTTGCCCATGCTCCATTGTGGACATTGGTCTTGGCCGATATACTTGTATAGGGTGTCTCTCATCCCACCCCTCCACCAAATTGGAATTGTTTTTAGCCAAGATGTGTAGGTTTCACAAACCATGGATACATGTGGGGCATGATATTGATCTTTCCACCGGTCATCTTACCATTGCGTAGCTTGTTGGTGATCGCTGATAGCTGCTCATCTGCTCTTTTGCATTAAGTAGGAGAAGATTCTACTTTTTTTACCTGTGGATTTCACCTGCCAAGAGAATGTCATTGCCACCCTGCAGTGGTCCTGCCCGCCAACATTTTAGTTCCCACCCCCCTCATTGCCACCCTTAAGCATGTAGAAAGGGAAAGATCCGTGGAGGCAAGCAACTGTACCTTAGATGAATTGAAAATAGCCTTATCATATGCCCAGCGCTAACGAAAATGGTGTTAAGGTGTATGAATCTTTTGTATTGCATATTACATGGGCAAGACTCTACCAATGAGAGTGATTCACATTTCTCCCCAAGTCGTTACCATGGCTCTCACGGTCTATATACGTCCTTGATCCACACGGATTTTAGTTACACCCTTGAATCAAATCTAATTTTGACGCCAGATGATAGGGTTCTTCATTCATCACCAAAGAGGAGTGGTTTGAACTCCCCGCTTCTCTAATTACAGATTTCGTGGAACCATCTCCTCCTTGTATCTTGAAAAAATATTATCTGTGAAGACATTTTGTATTCTTCCCATCTCCAAAACATCAGATAACTGTAGCTCTCCTTTCAAAGATTTATATTATTTTACATTCTTTGTTAAGTGAGCTTTTTATAAATTATTCCTTTACCTGGATTTCCAGGTAGAGGCATTTCTGGATTATGACAAATCATCTCAGGGCATTGTTTTTACTACGGACAGGGCGTATCAACCAGGTGAGCAGGTAATGTCAAGTCTGTCTTTTTAATACAACTTTTTATATGGTTACATGTAGACGTATAGTATCTATGCTCACTGGGTTTTTCATTGCACCTTGTACAGGTTTTTATATCTTATGGTAAAAGATCTAATGGGGAACTCCTGCTGTCCTACGGCTTTGTTCCAAAGGAGGGTAGCAATCCGAATGATTCAGTTGATTTACTGGTGTCGCTCAACAAGTCTGACAAGTGCTATAAAGAAAAACTTGAAGCCTTAAAGAAGCATGGCTTGTCAACGTAAGTCACGACTTTGTCTTAGGCGATTTTAATGGTATAGCTTAAAAAATAATCTCTCCAGCTGACTCGCTTGAGTAGCCCTCATTCCCTTCTATTATATATGTGAAAACTAGGGAATCCTTGTGCTTTTTTTGATCAGAAATGGCCGTTGGAGACACTGTATCCTTACAATGCCCTCCTCCTTCTTTCAGCTAGGAGACTATTTTTCTCAAAACTCTCTCTCTTGCCATGCTCCCATTTTGATTTTTTTTTTTTTCTATTTCTTGTTAAGACTCTAAATTTTATATTGCAGCTAGTAGTAAGTAAATATTCCTGAAATGTGGCTTTATATGCTTCTTATCCCCCTCTTTCCCCTTGCTTTAGCTACTGATGGATCATTGATGAATAGGCCCCAACGATTTCCACTACAAGTCACTGGCTGGCCGTCGGAGCTCATGGCATACGCCTACCTGGCCGTCAGCCCTCCAAGCATGGGTCGCCAATTCGAAGAGGTTTCTCATCTCACCATCCACTGCATCTTTTTTTTTATTTTTTATCTATTGAATGATCTATCGATACATTTCTTGATATTATGGAGTTGGTAGCCTCCGTAGATCTAAGAGATCGTCATTTTCATAGTTTCCTCCTTAAACATGTGGTGTAATCATTTCGTCCATAAACAGTAATCATTCTGATATAAGCTATGGCGGTTCCTCAAGAATGAGGCTGTCTGTTTTAGATTCAATGCCAAATCAGACAAACATCTGCTGGTTCTCTGATCCTAAAATGCGTGCCTCTGGTGGCTGTTTTTTCCCCTCAAGCTAGTGCTCCACAGTTCCATGTTCCTCCCTGGTTGGTAAGAATCACTAGAGGCAGGTCCAAGAATAATAAAAATAAAAATAAAAATCATATTATCCGGCCTTTTTTCTGATAATCATCTTTGTCACCGTCTCCACAGATTAACACTCTGCGTTAGAAAATGTATAATGTTCATAGTGAAATCCTCCATCTAGAGAGAGAGCACTGGCATCTTTCTCCTTTCCATCTCATCGGATTCACATGTTGCACTCCAGATGGCTGCCGCTGCTGCATCTGGCGAGAGCAGCTTCAAGAAGGGAATCAGTTACCAGGAGCTGGAGGAATCCGTGCTCCAGTTCATCTTAGATAGCTGCGAATCGAGCATCTCCAAGTACAACAAGTTCTTACAGGTATGATAGGTTTTCTTTTATTCGCATCAATTTAATTTTTTTTCTACTATTCCTGATTAAGAAATGTTGCTTAATAAGGCTTTTAATCAGACAAGAAACTGTTAATAGATATAATTTAGTTGTTTTACTAAATCTCCTTCCCTGTATGTAATATCGGATGGAGAAAATCTCCTCCTCAGTTGGTTACTAAATCATGATTCCCATATAATAACGCTAAACCCTACAGCGACCCATCGTTGATTCTTTCTATCCACAATTCCTCTTTCATCTTTATTCTGGCTTTTTTTTTTTTCCTCTTTTCATGGCAAAGCGTTCTCATAGCATCAATCTTTCCCAAAACTGCAGGGAGGCGGTTCCGTTGACTCTCCCCCTGCTTCCCCCGGGCAAGTCAACCGGAAACTGTTGCTGAAGCAGCTAGCCTCGGACCTGTGCACCAGCGAGCAGAGGATCCTGTTTCGCACCCAATACGTAGGTTCCCCAAACTTTTTCCCACATATTAATCATATATTAAATTATTTTACTTTATTCTGAATCATGATGAACTTGTTAGGGCTCAAAAATTAGAATAATTTCGCTTTTATAGTAAATTCTGTGGACATTCTGCAGATCCTCAGGAGGCGTTTGAGGGACATGAGAACGGGCGGGTTGAGGGCGCTGGGATTGTTCAACGGAATCAGGAATATCTTCAAATAGTTGGATTTCCTCCATTTTGTAAATTACGTAGTTTGTTTTAATTTATTATTTCCCTATTATTATTATTACTACTACTACTACTACTACCCATGTATTATATATATATATTTATATGTATGGAGAGAGAGAGAGAGAGAGCGAGAGAGAGAGAGAGAGAGAGAGTATGACAGAAATAAAAGTACAGATATCTTCGATGCTGATGTTGGATGGAAAATGTCGCGGTGAATCATAGAAACGGAGGAGTCGTGCTTAGGTGGACAGAGTGGCCGAGGTATTCAACGTCTTGGCAGTCTGCCAGGCTTGAGGAAAGGTGTTTGAGTCTTCTAACTGGTGGTTTGAAAGGCTCCTAATGATTCTCTGAATATTCCTTGAAAAATTCTACTTTTTAGTGATGTTTAGAGCTGGCACTTGCCTTGGGTTGATTCGTGGCTTTCAACGACGACGGAGATATATATATAAAAGGAGAGAGAGAGAGGAGGGAGATAGGGAGGGAGAGAGAGAGAGAGAGAGAGAGAGAGAGAGAGAGAGAGAGAGAGAGAGAGAGAGAGAGAGAGAGAGAGCATCTCACCAGATTCAAGTCCAGATTTCTTCATTCGAGTCCGTCAGACCCACAAAAGAGACCTGTAAATCTCCACACCCACATTCACGCACATAAAATTTATGTATTCATTATCCATTTGCTTATTCATATCAGACTGTCTGGAGATCGATTGCTAACGGAGGGCCTCCTCCACCGTCTTCGGTTCCTCAGCTTGTCCCCTTCTTCTGAAGCCACCGTAGCCTCTCTCTCTCTCTCTCTCTCTCCACCTGCAGAGAAGAACCAAATTGGTTTTTAATATTTATTTTTTCATGCCAAGTACACTAAGTAACTGAACAAACAAATTATGGGCTCGCTGAGCTCGGCTTTCCCCGGGAATCTCGAATTCCTAAGCTCCCAGAGACATCCGTTGTCCCTGGGGTTCCTAGTATGGCGGCGATTTTACACCCCTGAAGGTTTTCTTACTTGCATGCAAACCCTCTAACACGTCCTCTTTATTGTGCTTATAACCCCCCAAAAGGCTTGTTAACTGTGGATAAACAAAGGAGGAGGGGGAGGGGGCTCGAAGATGGGTCTTTCTCTCACCTTGGGATCTAAAACCCTTGGTGGGTTAAAGTCAACTCCTGGGGTTCCCCTTGGAGGCGGAACCCTTGGAGCTGAGGGGACAGCTGGAGCAGGTTTCTCTGGTTCTCCCAGTTGTAAAACGGGGCGATCTCATCGAGAACCTGACCATCGGCGATCTTATACTCCGCCGCCTGCTGCTGCACATGCTGCTGCTCCAACTGCAATAAATGGGTTTTCCAGGATTTGTGATCAGACGGGATCTTGAACGAAGAACAGGGAGCAGAACACTCGGAGTGGAGATGAGGACAGTTTTCGGGTTTCATGATCCTTACGACGTGGCGATATTGCCCGTTCTCGTCTTCCAGCAGCTGGGCCTGTGGAAGAAAGGGAGAAGGAGAGGAAGAAGAGTGAGAAAGAGAGATGATGGAGAGGAAGGCGATGTATTTCCATGGAGAACGGGTGGCCTGCCCTTCGACGGAGGTTCTCGAACTGTTGCTGCAGCAGTTGATTCTGCAGAGAACAGACCCACAGAGAGTCTTAATCACACAAGAACATGCCCAATCGATGTCAGAAAAAGACCTCACTAATCCACTAATACCGCGAAAAATCGACGATTCTCTGGTGTGAGCACGATTCATCAATTTGTATCCTAGTGAGAGAAAGTAGTATGTATTTTTTTTAACGGAAGAAGGTCTCTGAGAAAATCTTCTAGTAGTAATATTCTAACTGGTAGAGAGCATTAATAATATCACGAGGCAGATGAGGCACAAAGGGATTCATCTGCTCGTATCTTAGAGAGAGAAAGTGCACTATTTTTGGACAGAAGAGGCTCTCCATGCCCCAGGAACTCGCAAGCTACGGAGAATAACGACTAACTGAGGAATCCAATGATTGCCATGAGATAATCTCCGTTAGTGGTATACCTTCCTAGTGCGGACCTTGTTGACGGACATCTCCAGTTGCTCCTCGAGCTGGTTCAAGCTGCCCAGGGAGAGGCCCGTCAGCTCCTGACCCATGTACCACTTGATTCTCGCCTCAATCTCGTCGTTCTTGCGTCTCATCCTCGTCACCTCAGTGCACACTTGCTGGAGTGAAACAGGTCAGGACGATGATTACTCCAATAACTTACGTTCAGATTCATACAATAAGATCTCGAAATCGTTAAATCATTGTTTAATAAACTTTAGAGGGCCGTTCAGTAGATCTTGTGCGACATTGGTTTTCGGATGTTGCAATATTTATTGCTGCTTTTCATGTTGGGTTAAGGGAGATGGGAGAAACCTATTCTCTTCTTCTTTGTTATCAATATGAGGGTTTCGATAGAGAAGCTCAAACCTTCCCCAGTATTTTATGTAGATGAAGCTTCCACGAAATAGAGAAGGATCGATCTTCATTTTCCTGGGGTTTTACGGCAGGCGGCGTCCTGTTTTTGGTATGAAACGAACCTCTGCTAGGGTTCTTAGGGGGTATGAACTGGGAAGGCAGAGAGAGCTCACCTGTTTATTGTCGATGTCCTCAATCCCGATGTTATTGGCCCTGCAGTACCTCTCGATTATGTGCTTCATGCTACAATGACGTTCAGAGAAATGATCAAATAATGCAGAAATATTTATGAAAATTATTATTCAATGAGAAAATCAGGAATAGGGGATTTCAAGTGGGCACAACTTCCTTCACCTTCATTATTAATCTTAAATGAAAATTTAATTCTCAATTAACTTATAATCAGCACGATTCAGGAAGTTGTAATTTTAAAGAATAGAATAAATCATACCAAAAACTGGAAGATAAAACAGGGAATGAACGAACGCAGGCTAGTGCATCCTGTCATTTTATATACGACTTCACAGCCTGATTCGAGTCACTAGAATCAGCCCATTGAGGTCTTCTCCCTGGAAAATAAGGAGTAGAGATTCTCTTTATTTCCTAGTAACGACAGTGATAGTTCTCCTTATCACAACGTTCTGTAGTTCATCTTTCTAATTTTTTGCGCGAGAACTGTAATTTTCCTCGATTCAGTATCGCCACCCAGTTTACCAGCAATATATATTTGGATATTTTTCCCATTTTGAATGTAGCCACTTGTTTAACCACTTAAAAAGATTTAATTTTTATTCACTGAAAAAAATAGGGATGTCTTCCTTGCACACAACAAACAAGTGGGTACATTCAAAATGGGAAAAAATATCCGAATAAATATTGCTGGTGATAAAGGAAATTTCATTATTTTATTTTATTTCAAAGTAAAAAAAAATCGAGGAAGAGGCTTAGCTTGGACATGAAAAAACGATGATAGAATGAGTTATGCTTCGAATTCAAAGCCTTTAACTAGAAAATTAGAAAATATAATCTCCTTTCAGGATTCTCCTCATGAAGGGCTTGGAATAATGCGCCAAATTATAGGAAATACGTATGGCTTACTATTTGATTGAATGGCGAAACACACTAATTCGATCATTTCCCCCAGATCTAATCCGCTTGTAAAGCAGAAATACGGAAGAACTTTTTAAACTATGGCATACTCTCGCTACTACCTACAATAAAACTAAGATAAATCTATACTTTCGGAAAACCCAGAGAAACGAGTCAACTTTGATATATATAGAAGACGGGGGAGAAGGGGAGGGAGAGAGAGAGAGAGAGAGAGAGAGAGAGAGAGAGAGGGTGGCAAGTGAAGCGTGAGCAATGCTGAGGGGGGTTTTGTTGTCGAGAACAGCCGATGCTATATCATCATGAAAGAAGACGAGATGAGGCCCATCAGATATGAACGGCTTATCTGCTCTTCTTCCAGTGTTAATTATGCATGGTTTTTTTTACCGATGGTCGTTGTCTCCGTGTGGAGAGCAGGGTCTCTGACGAAAACTTATTTCCTTCGACGACCGAACAGTTTCATGATGAGGCACTGGCTATAATCTTGTGAATTAGAACAACATCATTGCCGAGGAAAAAAGAAGGAAAATACCCGATAGGCGGGGGAGGGGGGGGGGGGGGGCTTTGAAGATCGAGCGAGAGAGAGAGAGAGAGAGACGCGGCATGTGAAGCATGGTTCTGGTGCAATCCGCAGATGCGGTGCAGCAAACCAGAGGAGTCGACCATGAAGGCCGAGTACTGCTGAACATTAAGCCTACTTGGTAATTAATCACTGACAAAGACAGAAACCCTACTCATGGAGGAACCTGCAGCGCCAAGCTGAATCAGACGGGAACACCATGCATCCGATCAGGACAGGAGATCAAGAAATATTCGGTACAAAACCAAAGAGGAAGCAGCATTGGAAAAGCCAAGGCGTCTTAAGTGAAGAGAGAGAATACACAGCGGACGTAGAGGACGACGAAACGGGAAAGATAAGAACCCAGATTTGCGGAGTAGGAGTAACACAAAGAAGAGCCGAGGAAACACATGAATGGGTTCAGAATCTGAGGGGAAAATGATAAGGAATTCACGGAACCTGCTGGGGGGGTCGCTGCAGAATTCCTTCATCTTCCCTCTCTCGGAGAAAACGATGAGGCCGATCTGGGCATCGCAGAGGACTGAGAGTTCATGGGCTTTCTTGAGCAGCCCCTTTCTCCTCTTCGAGAAGGTCACCTGCCTGCTTATTGGGTTCTCGATCTTCCTTATCTCTATCTTCCCTCGCCCCATTGCTGGATCGGTGTGGTGCAACCTTCATTGGAGGAGGAAAATGGAAAGTCTGCGTAAGCGTACTTTGATCTTCAAAAAGGGAATTTCTCAGCATTTCTATCAAGAAAACCAGCTGCAGAAACACCCATGGGTCTGAAATTTATCGACAGTAATTCGGGAAAAAACCTTCTTCCAAGGAATTAACGTGAGAATTTAAGGTACGATCAGAGAGGAAGAGATAAAATCTGAAATAGAAAACACACTCCTTCAAGAATCAAGGAGAAGAACTCTTCTGTTTCTCCTCTCCTTCTTCTTCGGCTTCCCTTTGATTGCAATGTAGAAGAAGGTGAGACAGGAAACTGAGATGGAAGGGTGAGGGTGCCGCTGGTGCTTGTGTGTTTTTCTAACCTGGAGGCTGCAGCTTGGCTTGACTGCTTGAGGAGAAGGTGTAGAAGAGGGAGGAGAGAGAGGGGTCAGAGCAACGCGTTGGGATGAGAGCTGCTGCATGTCATGGTCTCCTTAAGAGGAATCTAGACTGCCTTACCCCGCCTCCCGCCCCCATCCACCATTTCACGGGTACCCGTATTGGTACGTATATTTACATACCTGAGCTGTTTATTGGACGTAACTGTTAGGTATTGAGGATGAATCTATCGAACGTAGAGAGAGAGAGAGACAGAGCCGGAGACACAGAGAGAGAGAGAGAGAGAGAGAGAGAGAGAGAGAGAGAGAGAGAGAGAAACGACAGACAGAGACAGACAGAGAGTCTGTGCGTGCGTGGAAGAAAAAAAGAGAGATTGTGGGTGAAAGGGAAAAGAGAACGATAGAGAACTTGTAAGATGGGGAAGGGAAGGAGGGACTGAGAGAGAGAGAGAGAGAGAGAGAGAGAGAGAGGGAGAGAAAGAGGTAGCTAGTGTCTGTGCATGTACTCTTGTGTGTGTGTGTGTGTGTGTGAGAGAGAGAGAGAGAGAGAGAGAGAGAGAGAGAGAGAGAGAGAGAGAGGGCGGGGGGAGAGAATGTGAGGGTGCGTGTACCTCGTAACACAAAACGTCATTTTTCTGCTGATACAAAATTTTCGAGGGCTTAGACCACGTCATTCATCGGCCATCACTTCGACGTTGAGGGGGGGCCTCCGGCGTCCACCTCCCCACCGGAGATCACCGTCTTTGGTAGGTCTTCCCCCTTCGAGGCATTCCTTCACGACGCGGAGGATTACTATCTCGGTGGCCTTTAAAGCAGCTCACAGCGCAGCAAGACGAGCTTCACCCTCCGGAAATGGCAGCCGGGAGAAGAACGTTGCTATGGACTGCTAACTGCACCGCCCAGATAAGTCTGGCCTGGCCCCCTTCTCCGGACTTCCCTTTTCAGGTAGCTCTCACCGGCAGAGCGATCATGCCCAGAAGACCCCCATGCTGGTCCCCTCAACCTTCATCATCTTCTTCTAAGGCCTTCCTCCGCGGCCATCATCTTTTTTTCCCGTAGGTTTCCAACCCTAGAAACGTAAGCCGGATTCTTCGAAGGGTAATTACGAGACATCGAGATATTTGAAGCACATATTTTAATTTTATTTTATATTCATGTTCTCAGTCCCCTATTCCCGGAAATCTAAGTTTTATGTCTCTGCAACGATGATTAGGAGGCTTCACAGATGAACTAATGTTAAATAATCACCATCCTCTTCCTCTTTCTCTAGGGTTTCCCGTGAGAACCTTACAACTCTCGGCAAAATGAAAGAACCCTCCAGATTCATTCTTGGAGTTGTTTCAGGAAATGATAACATCTTCGAAGCGCAACTTTTTTATCAGTTCATATCCTTCCTCCTCTCTCTAGAATCCAAAAAAAAATTCATCTTAGTTTGTACAAAGAAACTTCCACTATCCTCCCCTTCTCTCTCTCTCTCTCTCTCTCTCTCTCTCCCCCTTTCCCTCCTTCCCTTCCTCTCTTTCTCTCTCGTTCTCCCTCTCCCCGAGCTATGCACATATTCTGAGTAGTATCAAGCGCACCCTACTCTTCCAGTTCCATCCCCAGTTGGACTGAGCTTGCTGAAGAAGAAAGGCAGGAGTTGCAGAGATTTCCGCTTTTGCAGGGTGCAATTGGCAACCACGGGTCGTCCATGTGAACACTGCCAAATATGTCAGCCATTGATTTCACAAGGTGATTAGTTTCTCTACTGTTCGGTGTACAATATCGTATAAAACCTCTCTCTCTCTCACTCTATCTCTCTCTCTCTCTCTCTCTCTCTCTCTATTTCTCGCATTCTTTCGTGATGGGTCTGGCTGAACACATAATTTGCGCTTCTACATCGTAATGGCTGGTTTTGTGAGGATACTGAATGTGTCATTTAAGCGTCATCAGCGAGTCGGAGATCACTGAGATTGCCCTGCCACTGCACCTGTAATGGGTATGTGTAAGACCAAGGTGTGACTGACATGTTGGAGCCTCTTGAGGATAACGATCATGACGGGACGCTTGGCCCCCTCGAATTAGAACTGAGGAATATAATGGTTCAGTGAAAAGATAAGTCTTGCGAGAGACAAAGGAGGGATCGAGGCCTGTGACTTAGGGTTTTGATGATTTCCATTCTCTGTGAGGTGGACTGTGTGCTTATGGGCCAGTGGATCTACGTTACGAAAATTGAAATATAAAATCACGCCCTAAAAAGACTCTCTCTCTCTCTCTCTCTCTCTCTTCTCTCTCTTCTATCTCTCCCTCCCTCTCTCCCACCCGTCGTCATGATGTTGATGTAAATCGATATAGTTGCTTCTAATAAGCTTTGGGATATGGTCTACGTTGTTGACCCATCCATCGTTACCATTAACACTTCCCCATCTTGTATTAGACAAAGAAAGCATATGCAGGAATAAACTGGATATCACGTTTAAGTTCAGATCCAAATCTTTCAACTCCAAGTACACTGACTTTTCATTCATTTTGTTTGTAAGATCAATCAATACAAAATGCACAAGAAGTTGGGCATTATGAGAACAAGAGTGAAGGAAAAAAAAACAGCCAATCAAGATAATATGACTTCGCCATTTTACCAAAGTTCTATGACAGCCCAAAGCTAACTCTTTCATGACCCAAGAATTATGGAGGAATCTCCACTCTGGAGCAAGAAAAATACCTATAATCCTATGGTCGTAGGTTCTCAAGATCGATGTCTGCAGCACTAACGCATGACCAACAATTCTAATATTTTATGCACTAAATATTTTTCATTGATTTGGGATCTGATTCAGCGAATACCTATCCTAAAACAAATATTTAGGCCCCAGTTAGTTTTTTTTATCACTATTGTTCTTTCATTTCAAATAGAAGATATGAGTAGAAGACCTTTTATAGGTAACAAAGGCATAGATATCCATGTCATATTGTATGTAGCTTTTCAAACGATATAAACTGTGAAAATTGCTCCATGAACCTATTCAGTTTCTCAAATGAATGGAGTGAAATGAATGAGGAAGCGATCAAAAGGGGTAGGATGTTCAAATCCAAATAATCTGAAACTCAAATCAAGAGAAAAAGATAAATCTTCTTTTTTAAATTCCTTAACAGTTGAGGAGTTGAAGCGTTTTGTACTGATTCCATTTTAGCAATAAGATCAAGTATGCGAATGATGATAACTTCATCATAGACTTTTAGGCTGAATTCTTGATCCCTATAGATATCCTATTCAAGTTTGTGTAAGTAGGGATAATATTTCGAATTTCGAATAATTGGTAGTTGGTTTTGACGAGCTAAAAAAAGTTTATAAACAAAATCCGGTCAAAAATAACAAAATATCAATTGGCATGATGAGTTGATATTTGATGTCTAAGATTCAAAATTGAACATGAAACATAGACCCTGTTGGACGAGAGTTGACACTTGGTAGAATAACTAAAGACCGAGTTTCACAATAGTCACACTTAATGGATATGGGTTGACACGTGGCAAAACAATGAGTTTGATCTGTAATAGCTGGCACTAGTCACTTGGAGGTTAATACCTGTTGGATATGATCAGCAACAAGTCTTGATACCTAAGACTTTGATAAGAACAATTATAAACTGCAAACCTCAGGGTCAAGGCTTGTAAGATATAAGGTTGATCCCCCAAGAATATGGTATCAAGAGTCAACACCCAATACACAAGTTTGACACCTATTTAACATCTACGCATGAACATTTCTAATGACTAATCTAACTGATATAGAGTTTAAAAGCAAAAAGGAAAGATTTATCACTTCCGAAGTGTTGAGAGGGAAGGTTTTGGAAGAAATAATTCAGCCAGTTGAGGTGCAAAAGTTCTCTAAGATAAATGTGCAAGTTTCTATCAAAACAAAAGCTAACAAAAGTCTTGAAAGCTCTTCTAAGTTGTTAAGCTCACAATCAGTTTCGGTAATGTTCACATGAGCCTTCTAAGCTTGTCTTGACATCCTCATAAGTATTGCACCTTTAATAGTTCGTTACAGATATTTTGACATCGTCCTTAGAAAAACATCATATTTAGCAAAGTATGTACTGCTGTAGAAGGTATAGCGGGCACCTTAGGAAATTAATATGAAGGTATATTATGTACTACTATGTATATATATATATATATATATATATATATATATATATATATATATCACACACCCCACCCACTCTTCTGAAACTATGGGCATGGCTTAGACTTTGTTTTGAATATTAGATTAGATTACATTTTCATTTATGATAATTGTTACATGTTCACATTACACAAAGGTTGTCAATCTCTACGTAAGAAATATGGGATTAAGATTGTATTGTAATGCATTCATCATTTTGAGTTGTATGGAACAAGAACATGTTTGTATCAAAAGTTCGATAGGTTCTTTATTTGTCCAAGATTGAATATGAAGAGAATAATCCATATTTTATGAAATGGGTTTTTCTCTCAACTAGGCATATTAATCTATAGTTGACCTTTTGCTATACCATGCGTGATGTGTAAATGATACCTGGAGTTTCTCAATCAAAAAGCGTTGCAAGCACCACACCTAATCTGAATTGGGAATACGTTACAACTTTATTCCACACGAGGATTCACCATGTCTGTTGGTTCGAGCCCCCTTGATGTTTCCAATGATCCTGAGTAAAAGCGCATGCACAGTTGTGATGAAATCAGACGGGAAGATGACGTTGAAAAGTCAAACTTTGCCTCTGAAAGTCAAGGGTTCTGTCTTACCAAATCCATAGGATATGTTTATTTTAAGGAACACCCCAGGAAGAAAAATTTCCGTTCTGAGGGGTCGCAGTTCGCTTCCTCAGGGCTACGGGTACCCACAGTAATTTCGCCGCTTTATAGGAGGAAATCCCGCCCGGGAAAAATGTGCGGGATCCACCTCTCCCAGTCAAAGTTCGTCTGTATTCTCTCTCTCTTTCTTTCGCCGGACACGGAAGAGAACCGAAGGCAGATCGCCCTCCCCGCCCCCCCCCGGTCGATCGTGGCGAGATCCCAAAGATAAAAAGGGTTAGCTCTTGCTCTCATCTCGTTGATTCTCGAATACTTCCTCTTTTTTAAAAGGGTTCTTGATCATTATTTCTCTGTTGCCTGTTGGCGGGCGCGTTAATCGCCGCTCTTGTACGTTGTTTTGCTGATGTTGCTCGCCCCAGTTTTCCCAGTTCTTTGATCTTAGGTTTTCGGAGAAGGAGAAAGGGTTTATGTGTCGGAGATGCCCATTCGTAGGATTGGATTCTCACGAAACCCTTTTGTTCGACATTCTTCCGATGCGTCCAAATCGGGGACAAATTTGAAGTTTCGTGAATCTATTTCGATTAACGTGGACGGCACGGTTTTCTCATTGAACTGTCTCTTCTCCTGGTGGTTTCAAGTTTGACCCAGGAAAAAAAAGGAACTTTTGTGGAACAATTCAGATTCATGAACAGTTTTTTTTCTTCTGTGGCTCGATTAGCTCGATCATCTTCCTCTGCCTCTGAGAAATTCCTTAGTCGCCGGCTTGTTAACCCTCACTCCTTTCTTTTCCAGGGAACGATGATTCGGTCCGCTCAGAAAATCCTTCCTGTTCTGGCCTTGGTCCTTGCGTTGAGCTTGCAGTCGGCTTCTGGTCTTAGGTTCGTCATAGACAGGGAGGAATGCTTCTCACACCAGGTCCCATATGAAGGAGACACTGTCCATGTGTCCTTTGTGGTAATAAAAACAGAGGGCTGGGGCTATGGAGATGACGGCGTGGATCTTGTGGTTCGTTTCTGCTAACCCTATAGTCGATTTTATCTAATGACTTCACAGGAACTTTGTGTTTTCTCTCAGATAATCTCCCAAAGTGAGTGACCGAATATTGTTGTTGAACGTAGAAAAAAAAAAATGCTAGAGAAGTAGCCTGATTTCTCTTTCAACTAAACGCTGTGGAATGAAAGCCATAGATGTTAGAGAGAGTTTATTCTGCAAACTAGTTGGTGGTGGGGGAATCTCGTTTGGATCGTATTTCAAGTGGGTGTACATTTCTCTTTTGTGTTCATCGTTTCATCCCTCTGTTAAGAAAACCTAGTGCAATGAAAAACCCTAGAGGTGAGGGGTTTGTCCTGCAGAAGTAGCTGGTGATGGGGATTTACTTGTGATCATATTCCAATTAGGAATATATTTCTGATATGGGTTCATAACTTGAAAGCTGTAGATTTTCAGGAAAGAAGCAAAAATGGAACTTTTTTCTATGATTTTTTTAGAAGACCCCCCCTTTCATTTTTGGCAATCATGCAAAATGCTAGAAATATACTTATCAAATGATTTATGATCTACAACGATCTTGCTAGAATTCTGCTAAAATACCTTCTGGAGAATGAAAGGCTTGATAATCAGTAGCCAGAACTTTTGCTCAAAAGGCTCACTAACTCCACATTAGCATGCGACGTTACTGAAGCTTCTTCAGGCGCCCATCCATCTTCCCTTCACCACCCTTCTTATCATGGTTATACCCTTAACCTTGTCATGAGTAGGCTCTCCTACTTCTCCCCCCTCAGGCTTGGATGATGCAGCACCTGCTTTGCTACCATGTACATACCCTGTGAATTAATCTCTTGGTTTTATCATGTCCTATTGGATAATTGCCTTGTTAACGACTCAACTCTCGAACACGAGTGCCAAGTATGGTATTTTATCAACCCAATGCAACCAGCCTCCCAACTTGTGCAATGCCTCTGGCATTTCATTTTTCTTGTCAATTGCTACGACCCTGTCTGTTCTGCACATACTGGAATTTTATTACAGGATAAAGAAAAGTCAATACTGGTGTTGCATCTGAATGATCATCAATGTTCCTGTATAGGCTAGACCTATTGCTATCTACCTGCAAGGTTGGCCTTCTAATATCCTTACTCGTGGCCATTAATAGGAACTGTCCAGTTGAAGGTTTTAATAGAGATCAAAGCCTCGATATGTCTAAGAACTTTTGTATGTAGTTCCTGTTTATTTTTTCTCATGCGATTTCTGTTTCCCCTGGAAACATCAAGAAACGATATAACTGTTTATGTGATCCAACGGTGAGTAGTTTATGTCAATCTATTGTGTTGAAAAAATGTTACGAATTATTCAGATTGAGGAACGAATTTTATTAAAGATTAGCCTAGATACCGAGGGAACTTATATATAGATATTTTGACCTTTGTGGAGATCAGATTTGATTGCTCATCCTATATATACCCTTTGAGGATGGGGGTAAATAATTTATTTTTCCTATATGAATATGATCTATCAGATTAGCGAATGTGTTTTGGCTCTCAGGGGCCCGTATTATTTATGGAAATATTTCAAAGATGAATAAAGTTTGGTCCAAAAATACGTTCGATTTTCTCTTCTTTTTATTTTTTTCCGCTATAAAGTCAGGTTTGTACCCTTAAGCCGTAAATCTGTAATCTCGGGCTCCCAATATATCTTCCCTGCTCAAGTCCATGCACCAAATGGAAAGATGTCGAAGATGAATGATAGTCTGGGTCAGAATTAAAGGGGATAGAGAGTCACTGATAAATTTTGCTATTATTAGTTCCATCCTGCAACCGATTTTCAGTTTGATGCAATAAAGACTTATGATGATCACGATGAATTCTTTCTTGTGTTATGATTCAGATCAAAGGTCCTTCAGGTGAACAAATACGCGATTCCCGTGACAAGACGAGTGCAAAGCTTGATTTTACAGTCCAGAAGAAGGGGGTCCACCGCTTCTGTTTCACTAATAAGTCTCCCTACCATGAGACCATCGATTTTGACATCCATGTCAACCATTTTGCTTACTTTGAGCAGCATGCAAAGGACGGTAAGAATATGTTCTAGAATTGCTTACCAATATTTCTCAATTTATTTATTTATTTATTTATTTTACAAAGCTCAAAGCAGTGAGAATTTTCGACCTTTCGTAACTGTTCTTTCTATTTATTGATGTCATGAAGCTTATAACATCAACAGTATTCAGACTTTCATAATTTCTCTTCATTTATTATTTCATGAAGCCCCAAAAAATATGGTCGATACTCAGACTTTGGTGATATGTTTTCAGAGCATTTTGCTCCCGTCATTGAGCAAATTGGCAAACTCGAGGACGCCCTCTTTAACATTCAGTTCGAGCAGCACTGGCTTGAGGCGGAAACAGAGCGTCAGGCAATATGTATGTTTTCGAGTTTCTAAATTAGTTCTTCCGCTGAAATAAAAGTCCCATTTTTTGCTGGATTTTTTTTTCTTATTTCGTCTCCTTTTTTTATGTATCACGTTTAATTAGAAAAAAATCATCCCAGATTAATCAAAATGTATAAATTTTTAGCTTATTTACTACTTCCCTGATGGGCTTATCCTAGAACAGCTTCAGGGGGGCATTCGTCTTGGTAATATCCTTTATGATATATATTTTTTAGCGCGTTAAAAACTATAGAAATAAATTTGTTCTTCCGCTGAAATAAAATTCCCATTTTATGCTATTTTTTCTGATTTATTCTCTTTTTTTGTTATGTATCACGTTTCATTAAAAAAATTCATCCCATATCAATTAAAACCTATTAATTTTTAGCTAATGTACTACTTCCCTGATGGGCTTACACTAGAACAGCTTCATCTTGGTAATACCGTTTCTGATATATTTTTTTAACACATTAAAAACTGTATAAATAATTTTTTTCATTCATATACTACCAAAAAAGTTTACTATTTCATAATTTCCCAATTACCAGTTGGAGCATATTGTCCATTAAATGATATCATAATTTCCAATGGTTGCAGTGAACCAAGGCATGAGCAAAAGGGCCCTCCACAAGGCCCTTTTTGAGTCAGCGGCGCTTATCGGAGTCAGTGTCCTACAAGTCTATCTCCTCCGCCGTCTCTTCGAGCGGAAACTCGGGTCTTCTAGGGTTTAAATTTCCCTTTTTTGTATTGTCTTATCGACTGGGTATGCAGCTTTCATGTATCAGTGACAGCCCATTAGAGGTTCCCGTCTTCAATGCACATGCTGGTAATTTTCTAATAAATGCACTTATTATTTATTTCTGACCAGAAAAATGAAACAACTGCGATCGATAAGGCACCAAATATCATGCATTTATATGATTTCAAGAGATCGGGATGAAGGCTGCTGAACCCCCAACAGAAGGGGCTCCTTGTGAATCTGTGGCCAAATGATTGTTCTTCCCGGTGCAGAGAATGCTGTACATTAAATCTGGGTATTCGCATGGTAGAAAGTATGTTGTTGTAATCAGACATATACCATCATACAGATCAATTAAATTTGGGTCTTTTGATCTTCCCACACATGGAAAACAGTCTATTAATCGATGAAGTCCCCGGCCATATACTCCTGCGTTCTCTCTCTCTCTCTCTCTCTATTTATATGCATATAGATACATATCCTTTTTCTTGTTCCTCCCTCAATGTCCGTGTGGCTCTGGTTTGCAATAGACCTTTCTGCCCTTCATTCAAAATCCCAAGTGTCCTTCTCTAGATTATCTCATCCCAATCATTTATTGCTTTCATTAAATCCGATCCAGCTCACATCCGATAAGATTCAGGGTTTGGTAATAAATCTAGTATAAAAACGCCCATCTTAGGCAATGATGATATCACATTTGCCTGATCCAAATAGCCTCGGATTTGGTTAAACGAGCAAGCTTGGATTCGTAAATGATTTAAAGGTTTGTAACCTGGAAATAATGCTGATTTTTATGCTGGATAATATTCATTAAGATACACAAATTCAGTCCATATCTCGCAGAAATCAATAATTCTGCACAAGTTGCATTAAAATCATATCTACTTTTGGAAATCATAGCACTTCGTAGACCCAAAACCTATATGATTCGATTGAAGAGGAAAATCTAAGAAGATAAATCGGCTAAAGATTGGACAGTGGGCTGACGAAGGATCCGCCCAGAAAGCTCTTCACCAAATTTCATGTTCCTAAGCTCTGGCACTGTGATTTCTCATGACGCAAGAACACCTGGGACCCACATGGTCCCCACTTCAGTCTAAATAAATAATAGAGTGAGGAAATAATCCCGAATAAATGAGCCGCATTTATTGAGATTGAATGCTTCTTGAGGGCAAGAGGGGCCAACATGGAACGAAGCACAAACAGAAGAAAAAAAAAATCAAAAAGAGAAAAGGGGGGAAGCAGGGAATTTGGGAAATTACATGGAAATTGGTCACTTCATAACAGAGAGAATTAATATATGTTTCTGCAGAGCCAGCGCCGGTTGGAAGCTTGGAATTCATAACAGCGAGCGCTCCGATCCTGAGAAGGGCCTGCAGAAATAAACCACTGCATCACCATTGATATATTTCTGCACAAATCACTATGAACACCGAATAATATTCACATCGTTTTATGATGGGTCTGGTTGATAATGATAGAACTTGCTCCTGACAACGATGGGCTCAGACTGGTCCCATCAATCATTGATTATTACTTAATAGAATCGCTTGTTTATGGTCCCTATGAAAAAAACAATAGATGTTTGTAATCTATACAGAGAGAATCAGAAATTGTGAAGGAAACCTCCAATGACCACTTAGTATTTCTATGCTTTTGTGACGGATGAGGGGCCTCTGACTTGTTACATTGATTACCGGTGAATTATTAACAGAATCACTTGTTTATGCACGTAGTCAATCCAGAAGAATGGTTCATGATTTAGAGAGAGAAAGAGGGGGCTGCTACAAGAATCAGATATTGTAGGAAAAAGCTTGCTATCAGCAGCGAGCATCTCTAATGAGAGATGAAACCAAAATTGGCAATGTTCTAATCGTCTATGAGAAAGGTTGCCCCCTCGCAGTATTGGCCGAACACTGGTTACACTAGCTGTTGCTTTTTTTTATATATACGGTCGCCTGTCTACACAGTTAATCAAACCATAAAAGAGGTTCATGATCTAGAGAGAGAGAGAGAGAGAGAGAGAGAGTGCTGCCCCACAAATCGGAAAATGACCGCTTAATGTCTCTAACCAAAATAGGAAACATTCACATGCTTTTGTGACGGGTTTGGTGTTGATGAGGAAGCTTGCTCCTCAGAAGTAATAAGCCCAGACAGGCCGCGTAGATTGTCGACTAGTTATCAATAGAACCACTAGTTTATAAACGCAGTCAAGCCACAGTAAAAAGGTTCATAATCTAGAGAGAGAAAGCGCTGCAACAAGAATCAGAAATTGGAACCAAAAGTGGAAATATTCTCATCGTTTTATGATGGGTATGGGTGTTGATGAGAAAACTTGCTCATCAAAGTACTTGGCGGGCTCAGACTGGTTACATTATTTCATTGATAATTTATTAATCGAGCCTCCCGTTTACACAGAACATCAAACCCTCAGTAAAAGTTTATTGCCCAGAAAAGACAACACTTTTAGGGGAATCAGAACCCGTCATCTTACCAGTTGAGAGAAGGGCTTACATGAGCTCAAGGACAAGCGCTGATGCTCCGCCTCCACCATTGCAAACGCCAGCGACTCCGAGTTTTCCATTCCTATGCTTCAGAACCTGAGACATCATAGGCAGGGTTTCATGACGGTTAATTAAATTAAAATCCAACTTATAACGAAAAACTTGCCAATAGAGAGGCCCAACGTCCTCTTCTTTCCATTTATTTTGCTCGCGCATTGAAATAAAACTGCGCCATGTTAATGAGGTCCCGGTTTTTAAGCAGGGTAGTGAAATGATGTTGCGCGTCGACGAAGCACGGCTAGAAATATACTCGAATACAGTTCTTTTTCGACAAATTGGACGAAATATTAGAGGAAATTCCTATGTAGTGGTATTTTTTTCCCCCAAAAGTCTGAATATACATCGAATCACTCAAATATAGATGATAAAAAATAATTTACATGAACAACTAGAATATAAGAGGAGAACCCATATAGAATGATATTTTTTCGCAATAATATGATTAATCTCATCAAGAAGAAAGGCACAATAAATGCGATGGAAAAGTTCGTGGACATCATCCGGAGTAATATAGGTAGGTTAGGCCAGGATATTTCGAAAATATATTGGAGTGGAATCCTTTAAAAAGGAAAACTGAAAAGAAATCTCTTTTTCCATTTTCATTTACTTGATTTTAAAATGGTTCTGATAAGCTTATCCATTCTATATAGCTATATATATTCAGATATGTTGAACACCTACAACCAATTTAATTTTTTGCGGTGACCAGGCAATTTATAGGTGGAAATCTATTGACACAACATCAAATTGAACTGCAGTCAAGAATTCATTCTTACCCCTAGAAGTGTGACCAAAATGCGGGCTCCACTACAACCCAATGGATGTCCAAGAGATACTGCTCCACCATGCACATTCAGCTTCTCCTGCAAGTAGGGGAGAAAAAGAGATAATTTAAGATGCAGAAAAGAAATTCGTGACCCAAAAAAAAAAAAAAGAAGAATCCTCCACCTTGGTGGTAAAAGATCTTATTCATACCCAAGGTTTGTGTGGAGAAATCGTGTAAATGAATGGAAATCATAAAGGGAACTCGGTAACATTGTTCCAAGAAACGCTCTAGGGTTCTTTCCACACTTACAGAAGGAAGACCGAGGAGCTTCTGATTTGCAAGAGACACAACCTGTTTAGAAAGACACTCCGAGGTTTAAAGACAGTACAAGGATAGCAGGAAATTGGTCATTAATCTGCAATATACGCTGTGAAGCATGCCAGATTAGAGACTCACGGCAAAAGCTTCATTTATTTCATAATAATCAATCTGTGAAGCCTTCAAGCCAGCATTTGAAAGAGCCTTTGGTATTGCAAGAGCTGGAGCTGTTGTAAACAATTCTGGATTCTGGAAGGGGGAATTCATCTTAGAACTAAGAAGCAAGAACTAACCAACCATTTTAAGATTTTCAAAGAGTAAATGTAAATCTCATGAACTACTCAGACTGGCCCAGGCCCAGGATTGCTGCTTGGTCCTCTTCCGGGTTGCAGATTGATTAGTATAAAAAGTTTTCCAGGAAGAGCTATCTCTGTAGTACCTGAGCAGCATCAGCATAACCTTTTATCTTTGCAATTACGTGGAGACCTAGTTCACGGGCCTTCTCTTCACTCACCAAAACTAATGCAGCAGCACCGTCACTATTCACAAACAGATGTTTTAGGCAGAATTAGTCATATGTAGTAAAAGTCATGTGTTTCAGAAAGTAGACTCCACAATATACTAGTACGAAGTCAATGATAAGAAAATACTAATCTATACAATAATCATTAGAACCTTCAAGATGTTATAAGAATACCGCGAAAACTTAAGCTCGAAAACAGAAGTGAATATGGTGCAGACGAACTATCCCATTCGGATAAATGATTTTTTATTTCATAAAAAAGTTCAACAGCGAACTACAAGGCTACACAACCTATGCCCACAGACTATCAACAACAACCTGCCTAATAATATCCTCTCTTTATGAATTAATATTAGCAAAAATTACAGCCACCCCAACATTTCATCTAATGGCGGACCTTACAGCATCCAAAGATAGAGAAGATATTGCAGAAAACCCAACTTCCACACCATGAGATTTAGATATGCATGCATGAATAATGCTGCATATGATTCAAAGACAAAAGATGAGAATATTAATCCTAGAGAAAAGATTCTCATGTTTAGGTCAGATAATACTTGGTATCAGAGGCGGAAAAAGAAAAATAGTGACGAGAACCAGAGGCGATTTAAAATCATAGTAGCGCAAACATGGAGAAAAAGCCTGGAGGATTTCTCCATTTAGAATGTCAAAATTTAAGGCCCGGTTCCAAAACTAAACATTGATCCGAGATGGAAAGTATGCAAGCTGATTTAAATAACAAGGATAGCATTAATCAAATAAATCACTGGTAGAGAGGGCTGCAACCTGATTTACAAAAAACTAGATCTTTCAACAGCTAGCTCCTTCAAAGATACGACTATCAAATATTCTACCGTGGATCACCCAGTCAGATAAATATCAAGAAATTGGGTACATCACTGTAATCAGACTTTCGAACTTTTAATATCAATGCTAGAGTCTTTGAGCCATATTGCTACCCAAAGAGTTGTTTGTATTTTCCGGTGCATGACTTTAGATACCCGTAGGTCGCAAAATCAGGCTTAAATATAGACCAGTCTGATTTGACTTGGATTAGATAACAAACAAAAAGTTTACTATGATTTAAATATATCTAGTTCGGCCTCAATGGGAAAATGGAACACCTGAAGGCAGGGCGGCACAGTGCCCAACCGATGAGATTGGTGACGTCAAGTAAGTTCCCCCTTGACTCCCGACATGCTAAGGTGCCCCCCGGTGGGCTGGGAGCGGGTCAAGTCCGTATCAACATGGAGCAACTTCAGCGTCAAGATCTGATCTATATGCTCGGCAATTCATCCGGTGACCTGTAAATCTAGTGTGGGGCGTGGAAGGTTTTGTTTTCCACTAAGAAGAACAAAGAACAAATTTATAAGTTCTTTAAAATAATATACGTTGAATAAATATCCATCTCCCCTTTAGTATTCCCTATCCTCTTTCACAGACCTTTGGGAGCCAGGAACATCAGAAGGGAAAGTGCAGGCAGCATCTGCAAGAGATGGTGGCAGGTAGTATGAGAGGCAATGGGCAACACCTAGGTGTAGTGTTGCCGGAAATCTCCATTTTCTAGTTTTCTTTTATAGTTTTTACCTTACAGCTCTCTTTTCCTCTACCTTTCCTTCAGAACAGCTCTTGTTCCCTTCTTCTTTTCCTCTTTGTCTACTTCCTTATTTTGCCTTCCTCAGCAGTGCAAAAGGAAAAGCCAAGGGAAAGGATAGAGCAGCTGGTCTACCAGCTGACGGTTGATCTTCTTTTACCATTTAACTCTAAATAAGGAATCAAAACCCCTCCAACCAATAAGATGAGAAAACCTACAGTAGATTCCAGTCTGAATCGATTAAGTTCAGAATCAGCAAATTCTGCCAGTCATATGTACACTCCATGAGGTACAAGAATGGATGATCTATGACTTGATCGTAAATTTTAAAAAAATTCGTATCATCTAAAATGAAAAAGGGTACTTTTTTTGGTTTTTATGATATTATATTTAATAAATTAAAAAGTATATTTTAAAGATGCAAAGCCCATTCAATTCCAGCAGAATTGGCTACTTGCCAACCGGATCTCAATGATTTGGACCAGGTCCGGATGATTCTGATCCAACCATCCAGGAAAAAACTTTAGAAAGTTTGTGAGAAGCACGGGGAAAGTGAAGAAAGAGTAAAAAAAGGAATTTATGGACAGCATCATGCTAAAAAAGTGATAGAACAACTTCAACATAAGGACGCTTCATGCAAGAGTGGCAAGGGTAGCAGGCTTCCTAAGCATTGTCCTTAAAATCATTAAGTCGGATAATTATTTTCAAGTTGATTTCTGCTATTCGAACAGTAACAAGACATTAAATATCATCAGGCCTAAAGAATTAAACGAAGTACAAAAATCAACCAAAATATCTTATCCCAAGATTATCTTATCCTAAGAGTTACAAATCATGGAACTATGCCTAGATTATCAAAAACTAATGTAGGACAAAATACTATCCGTGAATACTTGTGATATCATGATGTTCCAGCCATTAATGGATGGCTAGATGTGGCCTCTGCATATACGCACATACAGAATTTTCAGGGAAACAGATGATGAGGACTTGTAAATTAATATGTTCATGAATATCTTGGGAGGTAATAAAAGCATGAAAAGAAAACTTCTTGATAGATGGATGGCGTAATATGATACCTCAGGCTAGAGGCGTTGCCAGCTGTAACAGTACCACCATTCTCCTTGAAACTGGGTCGAAGCTTCCTCAGTTTTTCGGGGTCAAACTACCAAAAAAAGGAAACAGTGAATCGGTGCTAAAAGAACTGATAACAGGCATAAGTAAAAATTACAATAATCAGACATTTCATTTTAGGGTTATATTATCATTTGCTCCCTAGGTTCTTACTTTAGCATCCGGGAAGAAGGTTCTTACTCTAGCCAGAAAGGATCACAAAGGCTTTCTGGCTATCCAGAAGTTTTCAATAATTACAGAGAAAGTGATAATGAAACATGTAAAAAAAAATGTTTCTCCAATAATTACTAGCCTGAGACGGTTATTCGTATCCAATTATCCAGAAAAAAGAATCCGGAATGGAATAAAATTCATGGAACGCTTAGTCTCAAGTCATCATGGGAGTAGTGAAGTTATAGACAAAAGCAAGTGAATCAGAGAAAAGCTTGTATAAAGAATGGCAAAACTTTAAGTGTAAGGATATTAAGGTAGGACATAAGTTACCTTTTGAAGACTTTCATCCTTGTCAACAATTGTTGATGGCTTTCCCCTTCCACCAGGAACTTCAACCTGTGTGACATGAACCACGAGCTTAAATGACAATGTGAATAATGACAGTAATGCAACAGCTTATCACAGAGCAAGAGGCCGAACCGGCACTATTTCCCATGAAAAGCTTCCACCATTTTGAGCAGCAATTCCTCGTTCGTTGCTTTGAATCGCATAAATGTCCTGTGGAAGTACACACAAATGATTTTATCTGTATTTGAAGCCCAATCTACAAGATGTTCCCTTCTTGATGCCAACTAATAACAAAAGTCATGCATTGGGAACGGAGCTATATCACTCTTTCTTTTCATCACATTTGGGATCAATATCAAATCTAATGGTCAACCCTGAAAAGATTAGCAATCTAAAAATATTCTTAAATCTTACTTTACATGTTTGGCACTTAGTTTGATGGCCTAAAATTAAGGTCCCCTCCTTCCATAGATATTTTATCCTTCGTCCGGATGGTTTAGTACGATATGTTTGACAAACACAAATGACACATCCTATGAGATGAGTCAGCATCATCACTCTCATCAGCATTTTAAAGGAACTTTCCTGTATCTTTTTGATATCTTGCTCTTTTCACTGACGGCGTCCATCTATTCCACCCCAATTCCTGGTCCTATCTTCTCAACACTATTTCCTTTTCAAGAAAGAAGAGAACAAGGGAAAATGAAACCTTCAGTCCTAGTTCTTTCCTCTATTTTGCAATCCAAGTGAGATTAAGAGGAGGACGTTATTTATTATACCTTTCCTGACTTATCCTATTCGCCTTCATTCAAATAATTAAATCTAGACAACGTTTTCCATCTCTGACCAGCCTAAATTGTTGCCTGTAAACACCTCGTTACCCTATTAGACTAAATATAGACCAACTTCATCCGCTTAGGTATAACAACATTTTTTCTCTGCCTCACTGAGGTACTTCCTTTCAAATATACACAGCTCATCCATTATGAGATCAAGAAGATATGGAATCAAAACTACTTGCTAGTAGGAACTAGTTGCAACATATTAGAGACTAACAACTCTCATATACGTCAGTTATGATATCCCTTCTAAAACCCTACTTTTTTCTGCGAACAGAAAACAATATTCTTGGTTCTTTATCAGGTGATTTTTGCAAATAAACCAGAAACCATCTAATATTAATCTTCTGGATAACACAAATAAGCATAAAATTTCGTCAACAATAGATAATCTTGGAATGGGGATATAAACATAATCTAGCATTCTTTCCAGTAACTTCATGGCATGATTCATTAATTCCATATCATCTAACTAAAATAATTCATGTCCTCAAACTATCATACAGTGGAGTAATGTTCTTTCCTCAAACTATCATTCCCTCGCTCATCAGCCATCATTCTCACCGAGAAGAGAGACAGTATTTATCATTGATGTTGTCCAAAACGCCAGAGCTCACAAGCTTCCAAAAGAAGGAACGCAACTTCTAGGCCATCAGAGTACCAACTATCCCATCAAACCAGGGACCATTTGATCAGTTTTTTTATTTTTTTATTAAAAAGCTTTCAACATAGAATCCATATTAATAAGTCAACTAGTTCAAAGCATCCTGAAATAGAAATATGGCCACCTAATTCGCCATTTTAAAAGGATTAAATATTTCATTTTCAATAAAAAAATAAAAACACCTAAAACCAAAATGGCGACCTCTGGCATGCTTGTTCTAATAAAGCATGATGATGTCGGTGATAAATCTATAACACAGGTCAGACATCAAACAAAAAGCACTTTGTAAGAAATAAAATTGTATATGTAGACAAAAAATTAAGATACAAGACACTTCATCAGCACGTTCTCAATTTTCTACCTGTTCCTCCCTGATAATCGAGTGAAGGTCCGAACATAGCTCTGCACACATTCCCATGGCATAATTATTGTAGACATCCCACAGACCATCTTTTAGCAGTCCATCAACAATTGTGTCATGTCCGTATCGAGAACCCTTCCTGAAAACATCAAGATATTTATCAAGCCAAATGTTTGGACTTGTAAGGAAAATGATACCCATCACTACATTCTTCCGTTATCACACTCTTATACCTGACAACAGTAACACCACAAGGAACAGAGTTGAGATGCCTATCAGTGATCATGGAAGATGAACACTTTGTAATTGTTTTAAAAATCAAAACATGGCACAATGACTAAAAAATATGATAAGAGAGAGTTCAGACGACAAACCATGACCTACTAAACATATGTTAATGAAAAACACGGAATTTTTGTGTAGGTTCCCGCAAAAAAGCTCTATTTCGCTTGAAAGTACATCCTTAATTTTATTTTCCACTATGTGGCTCCATATCCATAAAAATTGTCGTGAGATTCTATGTCATGGTAGGGTATAACTGTGCAGCAAGTTCGTTCACATAGCCTTTACAATCTCATATGACCATGGTATCCTGAAATAGATTGGGTGGTCAGACCTGTCCAACCGAGGTTGGGATTAGATCGCCTACTTCGATTGATAAAGAGTTTAATCGCATAAGCAAAAAAATGCATCACTGAATTTGTATAAAGTTATATGTAAATATTCTCAACCACGAAAAATACAAATGAAATTAAAATTTGCATAACGGTTGTCATATAATTATTAAGCTCAACAAACTTTTTAGTTTTTTTTCCATTCTTCTTCACTCCGATCCTCTCCTTCCCTCTTTCTACTCTACCTTGTTCTAACAAGCGATGCTTCCATATTTTTTCTTTGCTGGAAATTCTCTGATTACTTCGATAAAAACCACATTCAGTTGACCACAAGAAATTTATAGCTATATAAACAGATTTACGATGAAAAAGGATCCTTGAAATATCTAAACAAAGGATCCTCTAAGTCTATAATCAAAGAGACTTCCCAAGGCATTTGATAAGAAGAATAATCAAACATGATGAGTGTTACCAGGATTACCCAACATTTTAAAGGAAATAGAAATCCTATTACTTCCTATGCTTGAAATCATGTATTATTTACCAGGTCATACGAAATATTAAAAAGATAAAAAACTATAACGCCAAAGCCATCAATTTTTATTCTCGGTTGATTAGATTCAACAACAGAATACAAATTTTATTACCTGGCTATTGAGCATTGGCACGAAGAGACAACTATCCCCGAATAAGGTCCATATTACAACTTATTGCAAGAAAATAAAATATGAAGTTCTTAGAACCTACAAAAGAACACCCAAGCACGTTTAACAACAGTTACAAAAATTCAAAGAAACCATTGTTGTAACCGGATACCGAAGTGTAACCAACACCACGAAGTTGAGCACACTACATTTATTATGGAAGAAAAATTTACATGAATAAGCATATTGAATTTAAGATGGCGTGTAAATTCAGCTAAATTGGCACATCTATCATTCATTTCGCTCAGGGAGTGCAGAATGAGTTCAAATAGGATTAACCAATCAACACAAACTACTAACATCCATGGAAGGAGCATAATGAGATACTAACCTTGCTTCAGGTAGATATTTAGGTGCGTTTGACATGCTTTCCATCCCACCAGCTACAACAACATCATTAATACCAAGCTGTATACTCTGTGCAGCGAGCATGGTTGCTAGGAGTAAAATGAAACGATCATCAGTTAGATATTAAGTTCCGTTTTAGATTAAGAAGTCGAAATTTATGGTGTAAAATCAACACAAACCCTTCATCCCGGACGCACAGACTTTATTCACAGTAGTGCATACAACAGAGCTAGGAATCCCAGCACCCAGAGCTGCTTGCCGAGCAGGAGCCTGTCCCAAATTTGCACTCAATACATTGCCAAAAATGACTTCTTGTACTAGCTCTGGACTAACATTTGCCCTCTTAAGAGCACCTGCATGTTAATGTACAAAGGCATCCAATAAAATAGACATCAGACAATGGCATTAAGTATAAATGTCAGAGAAATGAAGAGGACAGATTTTACTCATCGTACTTTCAATAACGATAGACCCAAGTCTGGTTGCAGGCAAAGATGAAAGAGAACCTAGAAAGGCACCCATAGGGGTACGAGCAACGCCAACAATACAAACATCTGCAAAGACATCCAAAATTAGGTACAAATGGAGTCAAAAGATTGCAATCATTTATGACTACTCGTCTACGACCACGTTTTGGTGTTTTAGGAATCCAAACAAAACGAAGCACACATTTTTCAGTTATTCCCCGACCACTATATAAGAAACTTGTTTATCTCACATTGCAGGCAGAAGTGCATGATTATTCATGCAGGTTTGACACTCAGGTTGAAGATATTTTTTTTCTTTGATTCTCTAAAGGAGCTTTCAGTAGACTCATTGCTTATGTTGAACACACTATAATCAGTTTTCAGAGAAAGATGGCTTCACAACCCTTTTGATTAAAGACTCACAAATTGTAGGACTCATAACTAATGAACGAGTTCATCAAAAAAAGAAAATAAAGACTAGGTTAAATCAGTAAAAAGTGGATGCTTGAAGAGGCATTAACTTACAAGTAAATTTCATAAAAAACGCAAAAAAAATTACAAAAGCGAGCTGACGTACACGTTTTGTTCAGCTTTGCAAACAGTTTGGCCTAAAATGACTATATAAGTTTCATATAAACACAGATTGAAGAATGTAAAAGATCTTCAAACTTACACTTTTAAAAAATATAGCAGAAAGATGTGAAAACATGAAATTTTCACGTCTCATACAGATCAAGTAATTCTACTTAAAGTATAATGATAAACGTTACTTAAAGTAATTCTAAATTTGCACGTCTCATACAGATCAAGCATTTATATCACCTAGATTAACATCCGAGTTTCATCAAGAGGTCACTTAAACAATGAAACTTGAGAGAAGATAAGCTATGGGTTTATCAGGAAAAATGATGCAAGATTTCCGACTCATGAAGGTATAGAGATAATACAAATTAAGCACGTACCTCGAGGCTTATCTGGAGCCATGTGCGGATCCTAGCTCAAGTATGTAACTCCACAGGCCAATGATGAAGATCTATAAGCAACATAGAATATAAATTACTTCTATAGAATTGAAAACAGCAGGGAAAGCTCAGTCACATCAGACAGTATCCAAAAATTAAGCAGTATAACAAGAGAAGCGCATGCATTCCACAAGTATAAACCTTCGATCAGACTGGCATGAAGTTTATGTCCTAAAACAGCCTGTTTTTTCGTTTCTTAACAAGAGACGATCCCTTTTCGACACATAAAAACTGAGACGTATATGTGCTGGAAAAAAACTAAAGGAAAAAGCATATATCAAATAAAAAAACAAGCATGGAACGACCGGAACAGCTACAAGGAGGCGGGCAATTCTGGTGGGTAAGAATAATCAAGTAAGAAATGCGAAAAATACCAAAATATGAACAGGATCCGCAAGCACAGGGAAGGATGATATCGAGCTAGAGCACAATACAGAGCGAATCAAACAGACCATAACAGTGACACAGCGGACATGAACCCGCATAGAACGACCCGACAACCGAGTAGCAGACACGAAACCCCAAAGAATGCAGACTTAAACGAGATCAAACGAAGGAGAAGAGAGAGAGAGTTGGCTGGAGGGAACTCACCTCGCCGCTGCTTGAGAGAGAGAGCTAGAGAGAGAGATCATATGGGATGGAGAGTCCGGGTGGGTACAGAGGCCTAACCGGCCGAACTCTCAACTAAGCCCATTAAATCCAGTTAAGCCAATTAAATATTGTTTATTTAGTAGCGTATCTCGATGTGCCCTTGTCAGATTTTGCGCTTTCAAAGTGCCGGCCTACGGACGGCGCTGCGGCCAGCTGACCCCCTCAAACATATATTTATTCGTTTATCAATTATTTATTTTAAGACCGGTTTTATAAATTTTTAAAAAATATTCAAAATATTTTAATTGATTTTAACTATAAGGGCATTTCCTATAAATAATTTAGAATATTCATAATTTAATATTTTCTATTATTATGTTTAGGCTATAAATTCTTGAAAGTAAGGATGTGCCTTTTAGTATATATCTAGTCAACTAGGTCCTTTGAAGTCAACCAACTCTATCAAAATAGTAATGATGACCTAACTTTTTGATTCCCTATAATTGTGCTCTAGGGTCCACACTATGGCAGCAAGCCCTATTGAAGTCACTAGATCCATTGAATTTCTAGAGCCTTGACTTGTTAGCTCAAGTCAATTAGTACCATAAATTTGTAATTATCACACACTTATTGTTCATCTCATAGGTTGATAATTCTGCCACCCTCTACTCAAGTTAAAGAAGACCACTTTTTCTTTTAAAGTGGACCATTATAGTAAATTAAGTTCAATACATTTTTTAAATTTCACAATAAGTCAACATGCCCATTATTTTTATTTTCAATTTTATTATTTATATATTTAATTTTATATTCAACAAGTAACTCCATAGTATTTTGGAATAGTGTTGTTTTTAAAATTAGCTTTGAAATACCAAAATGATTTGAGACTTGTACTTGGTCTTTCATCTACTGTGTTTGATGTAATGGCATAAGTCTAGTTGATTGTCTTGTAAATGCAATCACTCAAACATTGAATGGTAATACAACTAAAACCATATAAACATAATTATTCCATGTTGTCTAAAAATGATTATTAACATATAATATTTACAAAAAATGACAAATATAAAATAAATAGTATTTGATTCAATTAGATTTTTATGTGATAATGTAAAAAATGGATTCACCTAAAAAAAATTAGTTTGTAATAAGAATACTGAAAAAATATAAAGATGAAAATGGCATAAAATATTTGAAATTTCAGTTGTAATTTTTTTTTATTGGTAAAGCCATTATCTATTTAAGTTGTCATAAAAAATTTCACTTGAAATAATAAAATATTTCATTATTAGGTAAATGTCCCCTAATGTATTCTCTTACTATTTTTTATTTTATAGTTTGAAATTAAAATAGATATGTTTATATTATATTATCTTTATTATTATTAAAATTAAGGTTACATTAAAAAAAGACATACATACAAATGTAAATTGGTTTGAATTCAAAGTTCATTTTTGAAAACAAAACCAACTTCATAATGAAATCATAGTCCTAGAAAGCCAAAAAAGACCAGTAAACAAATTAAAATTATCAAACAATCATGTACGTTTATATCCTGTCCAAAATGAATGATACATCACTAGGTTGGTTGTTCCTAGATAACTTAGTCAAATTCAATTTAATTAGACCAAATAAGAGTGGTGGATGACTATACACAAGAAACAATTAAGTGACAATGAGCTAGAGAGACAAAGTATAATCATGAGAGTAATCTTATCTTTTTTTACAATATTCTATATTAAATATTATTAAAAGAAATCTATGATAACTTTTGGTGGCTAAAAGTCCAACTGAAAAACAAAAAGACCCATCAACAATTCATTAGGTTTGTGTGTTCAAGTCACACATCCCTTCAATGAAACTCTTCCAAAAGTTATGATTTTATGAGATTTTATAAGATAAAGACAAAATTACTAAGATGCTTGAAAATACTTAATCATGTATCCATATCATTTGAGATACATCAAGAGCATCATACACCACTAGTTCTTTGCTGGCTCTAAAGGATTAAGAGTAACTAAAACAATAAGAGCATGGATGATAATTTGTGGGTCTTAATTGTTGTGTTAATAATTCATTAAAAAGTTTTAAATATTTTAAATAATAAATGTAGTAGATTCATGTTGTCTCCACAAGGATAAAATAAATTTTTATCTTCTTAATTTTTTCTCAACACTTATTGGACATTAAAAAATTGACAATCGCATATAGAAAATGAATGATTTCTCTAATCTCCAAGCTGTCATGGTCGCATTCTCTCATATCTATTGACTTCAAATAAAAGAGATGTTCTTATTGATGTATTGATTGATTCTATATTATCTCTAATTCGTGTTGAATTAAGGGCTCTTGAAGAATAACCTTGATAAACTTGAAAAATAGAGGAAAAGGAGAAGAAAATCTCCCAATAAATTTTCCTCCCACAATGAAATGATGGAATAGATGTTATGTAACTCAATAAAATCTAAAAAAGTTAAAAAATATATTGAAAAAAACTATGTTTGATCATATCATATGTGTCACCTCACATAATACAAAGAACCAACAACTTGAAATGAAATAAAAGAATTTAATAATTGCATCAAAACAAATGATAAAATATAAGAAAATCATATTGCAACTCCATCACCACACAAGAGAGCTTTAGAGAAGAAAACAAGCTATGATACCAATTAAATGAACTTCAAAAGAATTAGAATCAAGAGAGAAAGTACTAAAAAAATTAAGAAATTGAAAGTATCAAATTTTATTTGAGAAGATAATACTCCTTTGTGTAACCATAACAAAAAATAAAGTCATCCTCCCCTTGATCGAATGGAGAAGCCATGACTAGGAAACAGAAATCCATGTTTTCCTAATCCTTTCATTTTTACTTATGTCAAGAAGTCAGAAAGTTTTTACCTTAAATCTAAAACATACCCTAGGAATTAGATATAATATGAGAAGCATTCAAATGTAGCAACTAATTGTTCTTCCTTTCTATTTTTCATGGACTTACTATCTTGACCTAGTTGATGTGGCTTTAATGATTGATACATTAGCTTTTTGACTACCAAAATTTTAGATTAAATCCCCATTTAATGTTGACATGGCTAAGAAGGATTTGAACCTAAACATCGTGTCTTAATTACCACATCCTTCAACACAATTTCAGAAAAAAAACTTAAAAATTACAAAAATATTAATTGAAAATATAACTTCATGAATATATTTAGTCACAATATTCTTATAAATCTTAGATAATTGTAGTAGAAAATAATATTAAAATATCAAAATAAATTCATGAGTACAAATCATTTAAAGTGTAACTTTTTTATATAGTATTTCAACACATGTAAATGTATTATAATTAAAACATATGTACTTAATCATAACTTTATGTTATTATTATATAAATTTACTGTATTTATCACATAATATTAGAGTGTTATCAATGAAAAATTGAAAATTAGAAAGAATTCAAGCGAAGATGATGGATCAAAGAACTAGGTAGAAAGAATGTTTTTTCCTTTTGGCTGTGGGGATTAGTTCAACTTGGTGATCAACTCATTGATCCAATCTTTATGATCACCTTAGTTCTCACTCATCCTTCAATTGCTTCTTCTCCTATAAAATCTCATTTGACTTCTTTAATTTGAATAAGGTCAAGAAGCTTGTTAACTACTTGAAGTGGGGCTCCATAGTGGCGATCTAATAGATGATGTCTTCAATGCTGATCACACCATGGCTCTTAAGAGCCTCTGTCGGGAAACATAATACATGTTGGACACATAATAAAAATCATGATCACTAAACCCTAAATGATGAACCATGGGAAACTTCAACTAGGAAAAATCAATACAAAACATATTGAATAATCAAGTTTTCTTTTACAACATTATGATGGAATGTCTAACGTTATGCTTACCAACAATGTCCTTTCTTAGGAGTCTCTTCTAAAGAAGAAATCAAATTCCTCCATTTCTTGCTTTCAATTTGGCAAAGAAATCTATGAGGTTGAGCTCTCCATTTATTAAATGAAATAACCTTAGAACATGTGAAGCAACCAAAATAATATGAGATACAAGCTGTAGTTTTATAAGGGAAGTTAGAGTGACAAAATAACCACAATCAAGGAAAATCATAAATAGAATATGTATAGTTATGCAATTTCCTTCTAATATATATATAAGATGAAATATGTTGGTGTTTGACTTGCGCTAAGATCAAGAAAAAGGGTTTGAATTGATTTGTTCATATATCTCTTTTTGTGTAACCTTATTTAGTGTATTTCATAGGTATTTCCTAACTTAAGAATTATTAGACTCAAAGATTCATATAATGGTTCAACTAATTCTCTATGCCCACTCTCGAATACAATGTTATTCTTTGGTTCCACTCATAATCTCTTTATTGACTTTCAAGAAAACACTTTCAAAGACATGTCTCAATTGGATGAAGTGTAAAACCTTTTTTAGTTCTTGGATACTTATCTTTGACATTGTTAATAAAATATTCACACCCATAAATACATATTGAACATGTTAATTGAGGAAAAGATGACACAAAATCATCACCAACTATGTATGTGTATCACAAAGAAGAGCTTTGATTGATGATTAATGGGAGATGAGTAACATAATTTTGTCCTATTATGCTTCTAGATAAGATCCAACTCCCATAGTCAAGTTCAATCAATAGTTTAGGTGTTTTCATAGAGCTTCACCAAGCATAAATAAGCTTTACAATGAATATAACACATGCCATATTAAGGGGTAGAAATCATCTAATATTTCATAAATTCTTATAGATGCTAATGAGGAAATGATTTGACTAAAGAATTTCTTCTAGAGATGGCAAAAATGATGCAGAACATGTGTTATTTTTTGTAATAAAAACATCACCCATATAGTGAATAACTTCATGTTTCATGTGAGGAATAAGCAAGTTTAGCTAAGGTATTACTTCATCAAAGTGTATTAAAAGATGGACATCTAACACTTGAGAGGACTAAAGGATTCTATATTTATGATGACGATGGCAGTGTCATGAAAAATTGAGGCTACACACAACTTTAAATGGACTTCGAAGTCAATTAGGTAATGACATCACACGAACTCAATAACTACTTCTAGTTTTCTCTTTTCTCTCAGATCTTTTTTCTTTTCAAAAGAGATTTTGTAATCTTGGATGGAAAAAAAATGGGGAGCAAACACCTAAAAAAATTATTTATAACATAAAACATTAAGAAAGAGCCTCAAAGTGAAAGACAAGGTTGCCTAAAGAAAATGAAGATTAATAGAGAAAGTCAAAGGTATAAAGACAGTCGGGAAGAAGATGAAGGTTGAGTTGACAAATTTGACTATTATTAGAAGAGAGGTGTTGACCAAAATTAAGGATCCTCATCAAGTTAGATTAAACTTCTGATCAAGTAACATCTGCAATATCTTCACTTAATTTTTCTTCCACAATGACCTAGTTGACATGTCAAATGAAATCTATGACTAGGGTGCTGATGGTTGACATCTAAGACCAAAGACTTGTTTATAATGCCTTAGTTGAAGAGATGATGGGCTTGGGGCCAAGACAATATAAAGCATGAGCTTGACCGACCTTGAATAAGTGCTTATCAAGCAAAGATAGATAAATAGATGGAGAGAGAGAGAGAGAGAGAGAGGAAAACTGCCACGTGAGTGCTAGGTGAGGAGCTGTCAAAGGTCAAGTATGCCCTTGATGGAGAGTAAGGTGGCTTGAATTGGGCACCTTATGGTGAGTGGGCAGCTTTAATTAACCCCTTGAAAAGACGACCAATAGTCTTGAGCCCCCTCAAATTATTTCACAATTTGAAATAGAGCCTAAATTTAACTTTAGTCTTCAATGTTGTATTGTGAATACCTCCTCTTACATATACTGAATCAGTGAGGGCAGTTGCAATTAAAGCACATTTTGCTAAGGAGTATTTTCAAAATTGACAAGTTTGGATTTCCTCATTTGGTAAAAGATCTTATTTTCATCAAAATATTAGTAATGTCCTCTTAGAAATTGATTGGGTTCTTACCATATACTTTTTGATTTTTTGGTTGGTATTATAATTTTTAACGACATGGAGGTCTGAATTAGAAATTGTGCGCCGTCTTGGTGGCAATTGAGAGGAACTTATCGGATTCATCACGGGTGTGGCGGAGCCCCAGCATAATCCGATATTCAGTGTACCGGTTTGCAAGTTCGGTAAAACAACGGAGCAAATGCGCCCACAGCCTACGACTCTCTCTCTCTCTCTAACGTAGCTTAGATCGTCACTTTCAGGCCATATAAAGAGAGAGGGAGAGCTTCAGAGAAAGAAGCTCCGAAAGCGTAGGTGTATGTCCTCAGATAGAGAGAGAGAGAGAGAGAGGAGATGGTGACTCTGGTGGTGGCGACGACAGCAGACCCAGCGTCGGTGGGGCCGGCGTCGGCGCTGCTGGCCATGCCAGGGTGGCACCTAGGGCCTTCCCTGGAGGTGAGCGGCGCCGCCTCTGGGTCGATCGTCGTCGGCAACGGCAGCGGCGGCTTGATTCGTGGACTTATGAAGTTTGTTCGATGGGTGAACAGGGGGGAGAGGGCGGCATGGCGAGCTACACAAAGGGCGGGGTGAGGCTGCTGCAGCACGGGAACAGCATCGTGGCGGAAGACGATCTGGACCGCCGCTGGGAGGAGGCCATGGGAGAGAAAGTGGAGGAGGTTATCTTCCTCAGCAGGCACGCCGCCGTCACCAACCGGCCCGCGCTCACCGTCCACCCCATCGGTGAGGGTTCCTCGGTCGGTGTTCCTCCCTCCTCTCCTTTTCCGGTTCGGCTCTGCCTGATTCGGTCGTTTTCTCTTCCATGCACAAGGTGTCCCACATTTGCGGGAGGACGAAGTTCCCCTCCAGGGCGGGCGGCCTGGGTGGGCAAGTCTGCCGAATCCCAGGATGGGTCCATGGATTAGGCTGCTGAAGAGGATCGCCGACGCTCACGGCCTCACCCCGGAGTTTGAGGTATGCATTATGACGAGCGAGATCATTCTCTGAAAAATTCGAAAGTCGTTCATTGAAAATGCCTATCAGTTGAGTTCTTTCTCTTCCTCTGGGACAGCTAGTATCTTACGAGTAAGAATGCTCTTTGGACGGGAAGGTTTTGTTAAGATGTGAGGCGTTGACCTAGTGGTGTTCTTGCCGGGGCCTGTGAGGGGAGATTGGAAAAAAAAAATTCCGTTGATTGCCTTTTGAACAGATGAAAATTTTATGAGCATCTGTGGAGGACTTTCTCCGCGAGTTGAGTTCGGCGGGCAGTGATGTAGATTAGAGAACCGCTTGGATGTTTCCTTTCCAGTTCTCTTGGGTGCAGATTTTCGATCATTAACCCTCAACCCTACCCTGAATCACATCATGTCGGTGTGGCTGAATCCCAATAAATTATTTACGCTGATGTCAATCCTATGTACCATGCCCCAGAATATGTTCGATTTCCGAATTCTAAAACTTGAGTCCTTCAATTGTCCTTCCTGTTACGAAATTTCTTCTTTCGTACTGTGTTCTGGGAGTGCAGTTTACTATCATTCTCTATTATGTTTGAAATTTTTGGGTTGTATTGTTTCTCCAGAAAGTATGGTTTTTCTGCAATCTCTTAAATTGTATCTGATGTAAACAGGTTACCTTGGAGGCGACTCATCATGGTCCTGTGGTGAATACACCAACAATGTTCGTTGAGATCGGTAATTATTTTCTTTGTCATCTCATTGACAAAGCTACTGGGCATTTGATTTTTGCTTCTTGCGGGTTTTTTGTATTGCTTGAGATGGGTAATAATGAACCATATCTATCACAAGTTTCTAACTAAATTCGGCTATGTTTATTGAATTTTGATCAAAATTTGTTCGACTTCAGGCATGCCTTTTGTTTTCTCCATCACCAGAAGAAGATTTTAATATATCATCTTGCGTTTGTTCGATTTGAAACAACAGAATTATGTCTCTGCATTATAAATGGGATTTGATGTCAGGGTGAAAAAAATATTGTCAGAACCTTGATGTCTAGTCTTCCGGATTCTAAGCTGAACCGAGCCTAGTTAGATGTGTTTTATCCATATAGTGCCAGATATGTAACTCGAATTCATTCCTTCCTTTTCTAGGAAGCACTGAAGAATACTGGGGGAGGCAAGATGCTGCTCAAGTCATTGCTCTAGTTCAGTATCTTTTGAAGTGTGTAGCTTTATTTTGTTTGATTACTCAGATGGGATTGTATTTACTGCCTGCTTGCATCAAAATTCTTCTTTTTTGATTTCATTCCGGGCTTGGGAATGCTATTTATTTATTTCCTGTGTCACTACTACCTGTCCCTGAAGGATGGCTGAACAAATTATGAGCACAGAATTCATGTCAGCGTTATTGGATTGAGCACATTGGAGGAAAATAAGTATTTATATTTTTTTCAACTCTAAAAAATTGTGTTGAGCGTTCATAGTTTTCTGTGAGGACATTTGTACTTTTATTTTAAAAAACTCGTATGAGCATGTGTTAAAAGCCTGAAAAAATGATGCATGAGGGATTTATAGTGACTTACTTTGTGATTGCACCCAATCCGGAATTAATTTTGATGCTCAACCTTTCTGGGGTAATATGCAAAAAGGAGTTCTGAATGCTATATGAAAATGTGGAGATGAATCTCGTTAGATGGATAAACTGGCAAAGAAATTGGAGATCTGTTTTTTCTTTTTTAAAATTTTAGGTTTTCTCTGTTGAAAAATATTTCCGTTTTTCAAACCAAAGATGAGTTTCAGATTGTAAGAAAATAAGAGGAAAAATAATATCTTCATCATCCACGATCTGACGTCCAATTTGCAAGTATATATGTGTATGCCTTAAAAACCATCTATTTTGAATACCTTATTCAAAAGAAGAAAAGAAAAGAAAAATATGGTTCCATTTCTCTGAAGAGAGTCTGTCCCATTTGATTACCATTCCGTGCGAAAATTCTTTCAACTAATTCAATACCTTCTGTCTGTTCCTCATTTTTCACCTGTACATAATTATTCTCTTCGTAAACTTACACTTATGTTCTTGACAGTTGTTGTGGGAAGGGCTTGGGCTTGATGGAGGTGGTGGCCTTGGACATTGGGACAGGTACAGAGAAGCTCTGCTCAACTAATCGATGCGTCAAGCAATACCCGAGGAAATCATTGTTTACATGCTCATAAACAGTGCTCTAAAGCTTATAACTTGCCTGTTTTCAACATTTTTGGAGCTGATAAGCTAAAGATAGACATATATTAAGAAATAGGCCTGGGAAAAAAAAAATCATTATCCAAAAACCTACAGATCAGATTTTTTTTAGTATTCTTAAGTCAAATTTATTGCTCATTTTTTATAATATTTTTGAACATGTGGCAAATTTAAACAGATCCGTTTAGATCGTTCCATGAAAACAAATTATTTCCATGATCTCAAACCGTTAGCTCAGATTATTATTTTTTAAACCCATGAGACATTTTTTGTCTTGATTGCATTAATGCATAAAGTTTATCTCCTCGTATTTATTTTTCTCTCTGTTTACACCCAAATCCACTTATTTTTTCAGCGGTGGTGGTGGTGAAACGAGCAGGGTCCTTCTTGGGTTAGGTGGAGGACACTACGTGCCTCGTCACATGGACATCGTCGCGTAAGCCATACTTATCCGATTGCCATTGCCAATTATTTCACTCTATCATTTCTCCGTTTTTTATTTTTAATTCAATAAAAATAAAAAAGTCACAGGCATCAGAGCTCTTCGATAAAAATTTCTCTTCTTTTAATTTACCATCTTTTTTCAGTTCTTAAAAATATTCAAAACCCCTGTTCTAAAATTACTTGCCACCCTAAAATATTCTGAGTTTATTATAACGGAGAATTAAATCGTTTCCAGCTACTCATTCAGGGTATATGAAACTCTGTGACCGTTTTCTTCACTCCTCCATTCATTTCCTATAAATAGTAATATCTTCTATCCTGATGTAGACATAAATAGCAAAGAACCCCAAAGATCCTCTCCACAGCTGCTGCTAATAATTTTCCTCGCACAATTCAATCTCTCATGGGGGGTTTTTTTTCTTTTCTTTTTTCTTGCATCCGAATAAAAATATTTTTAAAAAAAATTAAAAAAACACAGGAAGGAGGGCGTGTGGGTGGGGCACATGCTCTCCGGCTACTCTCTACCCATGGAGGATCCCAGCAGCCGCAGAAAGAAAGAAGGGGACGGCAGCAGCAACAGAAACAGCAACAGAAGTGCTGTGGATGATGGAATAGGCGGCACATGGAAAGAAGCCATCACGACTTCATTCGCGGCCACGAAGGCTGCCTTCCCCGGCGGCCAAATCATCGCTCATTTGGATCACAAGTAAGCAAACCCAACCCCAAATCTCCAAGATTACATACATAAATATATTACACTAGATTACATTACCTATATTAAATATAAATATAAATATCTATATTAAGCTGCATCACAATATATTTATATATACGGGAGCGTGACGTGGAGGAAGGAGGAAGGATGGTCCGCTTACGTGGGGTGGGGAATATCCGCAGGTCTTTTAAAGGCTGGCAGAAGAACGCCATTACGAGCTTCCTGGCAGAGCAGAACATCAGAGTTGGAAAACCGGCGGATTTCTTCTCATAATAATCATTCGTTGCTGCTGCAAACGATTTTCGTATACTTTTTTTATTAATCCTATTCATATAATGCTCATTTTTCTTCTTTATGTGGAGAATATTACGAGGGCAGTACCTTTCTTTCTCTTATATATATACATATATATATATATATATATAATTTTAGTTTTTTAATTGCGCATTAACTTTTTGAGGATGGATGGATTCTTACGATTATTACGGATACTTCTTGTGGACCCCACCTCCACTGCCGTGCCTCCCCCAATGCAGGTGAATATGGATTTGGACGCTTTTGCAAGTTCCGAAGAAGGCCTATTGATATCTCCATCTTGATGACTCTAGAGAGAGAAAGAGAGAGGGAAGGGGACGCCGGCCCAAGTTAAACAATACATTAACCACCAATACCTCATATCGGGCCGGGTGTGTGCGTTATGTACGTATCTGTACACGGGGCGGTGCCTCAGCTCGCGTCGGGCTTGAGTCGCTTGCCCGGCCGGTCCGGCGGGGGCTCCGTCTGCTCCTGGCACAACATCACAACCACGGTCGAATCAGTGGATCGTACGTAAATAGCGAAAAAGATAAGAAAAAAAAAGAAAGAAAGAAAAAAAAAAGGGAGGGTCAGTCGACAAAACAAAAACCAAAAAAGATGCGCGGGCTACCTCGGCTGTGGGCATCTCGGGGAGGCTCGTCGTGGCCCCCCTCCCCAGATTCACCCGAACGGACACGCTCGCCTGAGTCAAGTCCACTCCCGAGCCCTCCAGCGCCTGGGTCAACCTCGTCACCAACCTGCCCCAAGAACAATAATAATAACCAAAATAACCATTGTTACTATAACTAGTATAATAATTGTTGTTGCTGTTATTATTCTTATGCCTTAAAAGGGTATGATGACCTACCCTTGGGAGTACAAGGTGGAGAGATTAGACAGCCCTTCGTCGGCCGCGGGTATCATCACCTGCTCATCACGTCCTCCACTCGGAGACCATCGCGCAGCCTGCTGCTGTGGGGTTACGCCGCCGCCGCCGCCGCCACCTGTCATCGGAGCCCAGTCAGCTCTTTCTCTCTCTCTTGTTAGAATCCATGCAGAGGCGAAGAAGGGGTGCGTGGCCGATGGAGAGAAAGAGAGAGACGTACTGTCGGGGTCTGCCGGGCCGGCGCCGCGGAGGGGGAGAATGGGGGGGGCGGGCGGAGGGTGGTCGGCCGCCGCCGTTGCCGAATCTTGCCTGGCTCTCTGTTTCAGCAAAGGAAGGACGAGGAGCAGTCAAAATGATAACCATTTATTCATCATTCGATTCCGAGCCACGGATTACTACTTTCTTACCCATGGGGTCAGCTTTGCGCCGTCCTGGGTCCTCGCTGGGCACGACGACTCGTAGGTCTGAACCTTCTCTTGTAGAAACCGGATGTATTCAATCACCTGGATTAGATGGACAGCCCCAAGCTTCAAAACGAGAGGGAATCCCGAAGGGGAGGGTGGGGGGCGGGTCGACAGGGGATATTGAAGCGTTCAGAAGAAGGTACCTCCAGGAGAAGGGAGGCTTTATCTCTCTTCTGATCATTTGGCGGGATGAGATCCTTCAAGGTTCGAAATCTGCACGAAAAGGTTGTCATGGCAAAGATGAGAAATACCCAGTTAACTTTTGTAATAATAAGTATGCCCTCACTGATTTCAGACACAAACAGCATTAAAAAAATATTAAAAAAATGTGTTTTGAGTTTTCATAATAATTTTTTAGGCATTCTGAAGCATATCTTCCCCTCTCAACATGCGAATCGGATAGCTTCCTGCAACGAGAGATCAAGGAATTAAAACTCTGGGGAAGTGAAAATTCCTGGACCATCTCTTTGTCCCATCAGATCATCTAGATTCCATAGAAGACGGAAATTATGGTTTTGGGGGCATCTGAATTGGTAATCAGCAGTAATGGGTACATCCAAAAGGAAGGTGAGACCAGCATCTGGCAAACTACGAGTGTTGGCCATGGAGGTTTTTGTGGGCAATACTGCAGATTGATCCCAGACAGCCGAGATATTGGTCTATGAACGAAGAAAATAGTGTTAGATCGGATGTGCAGCACAAAGCTGACAGAATATCCGAGGCCACTGCTTAATCTGGCGTCTACAAGAAGAATTTTCAATTTCTATGACCAACATAGGTCCATTCTTGACCTGGTTTCTGCCTAAGCTTCCAAAGTCTGATATCATATTTTCTTTGAAGGAAGTTCTCTGACGTTCTTGGAGGGAGAACAGCATCCGGCCTTACTCTTGTTGGACGACTTGTTTCATGTACAGTACACACTGCAATGAACCAACCGCCAAAACCCCCCGACAAATGCTTACACAAAGGAATCTATTTTAGCTCAACATAGAAATATAGTGCACTGACTATGCTAATATAAATCATGATATAAGTCCAGAACACAATGATTCCTCAAAAAATTATCTTTCTTTGCTCTCTCTCTCTCTCTCTGATTGACTGTATCATAAAGTTTTTGGAGTCTGCAACAGAAAGTTCCGATCCAGGATGTTAGAGCTCATCGGGCATGTGGAAAATATTGCATCATGACACAGAGAGGAGAGAGAGCAAGAACAGCCAGACACAAGCACGATTGGTTTCAAAATCTAACTTTTTAGATAAGAATGGTAGCGAAGGTACGAGAATACTCTCAATAATAAGAATAGAGCCCTGAAACTGAAAATAATGATTTGAAAAGAAGGAAACTTCGTCATTTACAAAATCTGAAACATGTTAAGTATTGATGAGAGGGAAACAGGTCGGGGTAATGGACGGACCTTCCGGATGTACACAGAAGTAAATGAGCGTACCAAAGAGTAATGCTATACATGACGTATATCAAGAACCAAAAGCCAGGCGGGAATCGCATGTGATGGGACTGAGTAGAAGCCACACCTTTCATTGATTTTCGTCCTCCGTCGCTGCTCAGTCGCAGAATGCTTTGATCGTGGCGTGGAGGGCTGCTGTTCGTTATTATTATCACTTGTGTTGCCGACGTCGACATTCACTGTCCTCTCTGCGCTTAAGCAGACAACAAAAAAAAAAACCAATAAAAAGAATATAAACACCAAATGAATTAACCCCAAGAAACCCCATTGGCTCGAGAATACAAAAGATTTTAATCTATTTTTAGATGTCGGGGGGGTCAATAAATAACAATAACATCATCAGGGATCCTACAAGAAACACCAACAGGCAGCACGTGTGGGAGAGAGGGGGCCAGTCTAAGAATTAGGTGGGGCACAACTTCGCCAATGCTCTAACATATACAATCAAGGTATCTGCAGCCAGGAAGAGCGAAGCGAGGTTAACCTTTGTGATTAAATTCCTCCTTCACAAAAATGTCGTCTTCGCCTTCGGCGAAACCGCCGTTGGATCTGGACGCCGTGACCATGGGGCCCCGCTTATTCTCCGCCGGACGACGCCTGCTCTCACGCAAAAAACCCTGGTGAGGAAGGAGATCAAGCAAGTCCCAAATCCAAGCCGAAGCCGACCCAGAGCCCAAATAAGGAAGAGACATACCTGGAGGTCGGAAAAGAAAGGACCGTGCCGTCACTGCCGCCCCCGGCGACGGGAGATGGGGACCGACCGGCCCACTGCCGCTGCTCCTGCTGCCTTCGCTGCTGCGTCCCTACAAGCCAGTGGCGGATTCCGATGAGCAGAAGAGAACCGGCCCACGCCGCGAGCCTCTCATGTTCTTTATTGGAATTAAAATATTATAAAAAGTTTCCATTCTTCCGTTACGCGATTGCGAGCAATCACCATTTCCACGATTCCCGAGCCAAGGGACGGTTCCAACCGGGTCGGATCCAACCTGTTATCTACGGTCTCCAGAATCTTCCTGGTTAACTACTACCCAACCAGGCCGACTCGGATCGAATTTCGACAGGCATAAATCGAATATTATATTCACTTGAACGCACGGCGGTGGTGGGAAACCATCCGGGTCGGGATCGGAATCGGTGTCGCTCGCTAAAATCGGATCGGGACCGGACGATTTCACCGCCGGCGCCGGTGTTTAACCACCGGGAGCGCCGGCGAGTCTTCTGCCATGGCCGTCCCCTGCTACCGGCATATGTTGTGCGATGGCGATCTCCAGTTACCTCTCCCGGCGAGGACTCCGGCGTCAGCGGGGGAGACGGCCTTACGCCACGGGGAGAAGGCGCAGGCCGGGTGGTCGAAGGCCGTGCCGGCAGTTGCCGTCGGCGACGGCGGGTCGCACGCGGACCACTCTGGCTTCACCAGCACGCGGCAGGCACCCTCCGCGCCGAGCAACAGGTGCTCCGCTGAAGGTGGCGCAGACGCGAACGCCGCGTTGATGTCGATAAGCGCCGGAGCTGCTTTCCCTCGCGGGCGGCCGGGGCTCCCCTTCTCCTCGTGCTCAACGCCAACGCATTTTCCTTCCTCCTCGCGCTCCAGCGGTTGTAGCAGATCGCGCGTTCTCAGGAAGAAGCCTGGGGGGGGGGGGGGGGGGGGGGATAGGCGGCAAGCCGCATAATCAAACGGAGAAGAACAAGAGCAACATCTGAAAAGTGTCTGAGGTACCTTGAGGCAGGGGAGGCCTCAAATCATTGCTAGAGGAATCCATGAAACGCGAGAGGAAGTCGCCGGGGCTTGCTTTTTCACCTGTAGTTGCAGGCTCATCAATGGAAGAGCGACAAACCTTTTCCTTACAAGTTCGAGAAACAGTCTTCGACGTGGTGGAAGGATAACCAGATCAATACCGTACCTCGGAGCTCCATCCGCATGAGCGAGGGAGACCGGCGATGTGCGTTGTGACTCCGATCCTCGCCCTGGTTCGCTCCCTTCTCCGCCCTTACGATATCGGTGCCGACAAACTCACAGACGACGATGGAAACTGTGTATAAAAAAATCGGCGGCGACAAGTCAGGAAGATGTGACTTCCACTCTGGAGGCAGAGCGCAAGCTGAGAGTGAAAAATCCTGTAGGCGACCAGTCAGTCTCCATCTGGAAACCCTAATCCAGATGTGAAGACGAAGGCGGAGGAGACCGAACATTCAACGTCCGAAGGAAAACGCAGGACGTAGAAGAAACCCTAACTTCGGAAGCGATCATCAAGCAGACGAGAGGATTCGCGTCAGAAAAATCGCCGGCTCATCGCGATGGTAGCAAATGGAGCATCCTTCCATACCTCGCGAAGGACATCTTCGTCCTGCTGTTGCTCCTGCATCTGTAGCCGCTGCTCGGAGATCTGCCCGCTGCAATTGCTGCTGCTGTGGCTAGGAGATCTTCCCGCTGCAATTGCTGCTGTGAAGGAAGCAGAGAAGAGTGAGGGAGAGGGTCCTCCCGCTAACTGCCCCTCTTTTTATCAAGGCCGACCCCCGTAACTCACGTGAGAGGGGCCCCCGCATGTGATGAGAGAGAGAGAGAAAGTCACGTTCCGCATCACATGTGGGCTCCTACGGAAGGCCCCCCACCCCATCACAGAGTAGGACAGTCACTGACACCCTTCTCTCTCTGCGCCATCTTTTCTCTCTCTAGCTTCTGGAATTGACTGATCTGAGGGGGAGTCCAGTGGGCCCTACCTGGGGCGACTTTGTCCAGCTTCCCCTCACGTGAAGTCGAACGGCCTCGCCGCGTTCTACGAAGCACGAGACGTTATGGTCAGCACGTGGGGAATGACACGCCGCTCCGTCCCGCGACGTGTGGCCCGAGTTAGTTAAAACTCTGGTTAACGCACCCAGAACTAGGGTAGCCCAGTGGACGCAAGGAGTTGACGATGGGTTTATGCATAAAATTAGAATAAAAAAGGGGTTAATTGATTAATAGAACATTTTAGTGGTGAGTAAGGCTAAAAAGCTTGTAAAAATATTTTTAGAAAATACATACCTTGGAAATATTATTAGCTGATGTGTTTCGCTTTCTACAGTAGCCGCTGACGTTGCGGTCACTTGGCTTTCTCTCTCTCTCTCTCTCTAGATGACCGGCCCACCCATTTTAAGGTTTTACTAATTTTAGGAACTTCCGACGTAGCTGGGCGCGCAAGGGATTCGTGTCTTGTTTTGGGGATCCGACGGTGGCGGCGCGCACGTGCTAAGAAATGGCGGCCAAGCGTGACACTTCAGCCTCGGGCAGGCTGCCCAGTTACAAGCGTCTCGGAAATGGGGAAATGATGACGTCATACAAATATGACGCGCTTCTTGTCGTCTTCCAGCATCTCTTTCCTCTCTCTCTCTCTCTATATCCATTTCTTTTACTGCATGCCTCTCTCTCATCCCGCATACTGTTTCACTAGTGAGGTGTATTAAATAATATATGCAATACAGCGCATTTAAGGCAAGTGCTCACTATTTATGCTAATTAATTATTACATTACTAATTTATTTTTCAGATCACGTGTTTCTTATAATATTTAATTCAGTAATTATACGACAAGAGCTTACTATCAATCATTGATTCATAGCGTCTATTTTCAATGAAATAATAATTAAACATTTGGGACAAATAATTTATTGTGCCCCACCAAGAGATAGAGATAGAGATAGAGAGAGAGGGAGGAGAGGGAGAGAGAGGATAACAACATCTAATGATCCCATCCATAGGTGTGGTGGGCATCATGAAGAGACAATTATTTTTCATTAAATTTGCTCTCAAAAAGTTTATGGTCCTCTATTTAATACTATATATATTATGCTTATTTGACAAGTTATTCTCTCTCTCTCTTAATATATCTGCTATTGGAGAAGAGGGAGAAAGGTTATTGGTTCATTCTCTTTTGTTACCTTTTCCTCTATGGCCAACATAGAAGGAGATAGAAAATGAGTTTCATAAACATGGAATGGAAGATAGGTAACTAGAGAGAGGGAATGAGAGATGGTACATGATGAGAGCAACTCAATCTTTTTGTTACAAATTATATATTAACTATGACTAATTAGATAAGTATATTTAATAATAATAATAATAATAATGGGATAGCTTCTCAAGTTCTAAGAATCCAATTAGAAATTAAAAGGGCACATCAACTATTGAAATAAATGGCATTTCCTCATTAGGGTAAAAACTGAAAGAACAACATTAAGTAAAAAAAATATATGATGACATTTCCTTATGAGGAAAATAATATTAATTAAATTCCCAACAATGTTAAAGTAAAATACTAGTAGAATAACATTAAAATAGCATGATGATATTAGAGTTAACAATGTTGAGGATATTCTCATTAAAGACAAATAAAATACAGTATGAACCAAGAAGAAAAAATGACTTTGTTGGAGAAATTCATGTCCAAAAGTCAACCACATCTTGTGGAATTCATGTCCTTATTGAGAGAACAATCACATGTTGTGGAGTTTACTTTGTAAAAGAGATTCAAATTACAACCAAATAATATATGACATTTCTTTCTAAAAAAGGGACAAATTATACCATCTATATAGAATACAAGTATTATTAGAGTCAAATAATACTTCCTTTCCTAGTGAGAAAACAAGAATAAATATAGGTCACTTTCAAATGAACAAGATAAGAGGAGAAGAACAAGGTAAGAGGGAGAATGGGAAAACAAAAATGAACTCAACTTGTTTCTTATAGCAATCACCTTACATTAAATGGCCCCAACCCCCCCAAATGACAACAAATAGGAAAAGACAAAAAACTCAGATGTATTACAAAGTCTATGTACTCATAAGACCAAAATGTCCCTCAGTATATATTTATAATTAAGTTTTACAACACTCCTTCTCAATTAAGAGTAGCTGACAATCACGTTCAACTTGATCAAAACCAAATTGAAAGGCTGACACCACTAGTTTTATAAAAATGTCTACAACTTGATCTTCTAGTTATGTGTATGATACACATCTCATTTACAGAGTTTCTCTTGAATGAAATTTTTATTGATTTTAATGTGTCTAATTATGTCATGTTGTCCTTCATTATTTACAATGTGCATAATAGTCCACTTGTCAAACTTAGTTCTAAATGATTGTTGGTGTCCATATTATTATTTCTTTAATTTACGTATCACATCATTTTTCAAATTACTTTTACATTCTTGTGAGACATCCAAATATATCTCTTGATCTAGTTCTTTATGTAAATATATTTTTTTACATCAAATTGTTAGATCTTCTAACCATAATTTATTATTAAAGATAGTGAGATATAATCATATACATCTTTATAACTATAAAAAATATTTTTAAATAGTATACTTCATAAGTTTGAGTATACCCCTTAACTACCAATTGTGTTGTATATCTTTCTATTGTGTCATCAGTCTTATACCTACTAATATACAATAATTTATAGTCAATTATCTTATTTCCTTGTGGTAGCTTAACCAGTTTTGAAGTCTAATTCATTTTTAGTGTTCTCATCTCTTCATTCATGACTTATTTTTATTTTTTTGGGATAATACCACAAATACAG